TTCGATTATCAGGTTGCCAGGCAACGCGCCGTGCTGTGCACACGCATTTGTCCGTTCGGCCACTCCCTTCCCCTTCACCACTTAGGAGTGCAGACTTTTAGAATGTTAATCTCCTTACTAGTCTACCAAACAATATCCTAAAGTCAAAAATTGTGTCCGCATTTCCTTCTATAATCATTCATTGATTAGACTATCAGGGTGATATATACAGTCGTTCCTTTAACTGCACTTGAACGTTCCCTCAAAAAGGAATACTTCCATGAAATTCCAGCAAAAAGGGCTCCTTTTAGCCAACTTGACAAGTCATCTCTGTTTTAGGCTACTGTCTTCCAATTTCTCATTTTCTTTCACAAGATATATTATTTATTTAATGTAGTTCTCTAGGCCAGAAGTATTCCTCTATTCTGTAACACTTTGTTATTCTTAAGGGACTTTGTCCCAGAATAAAGTTATTTCTCTATCTATTTATGCAGGGTGTCCCATAAGTCGGGGAAAATATTTAAAGGATTCAAAGATGACCTCAAGGGCTACAAAAAAGTTTATATAAACAATGGCCCTACTTTCAGCAGATAAGTATTAAATTTAAGTTTTGTGTTTAAAGTTTAATTTAAGTTTTAACAGGACATAAAATTACATCATTTTTTTACACAACTTTTGGAGAATCTTAAATTTTTTTCCAAATAAAGCTGAATTTAATTAATATGGACTTAAAGCTTATTAAACGAGCAAGTTTTTCTAAAAGTGGGTTAGCTGTAGTATAGTTAGATGATGACAAAAAAAATCGTGAACAATTGATGATTTTTTTTTAAACAGAACTTGGCTTAGTTTAGCCCTTTTAAACTTCTCTTCTCTAAATGGTTTTAACAATGACAAAATCTATTTTCGTTTGAAGTAAATTTTGTCTAGTTTACAGTGAAGCAATGGTTAATTACATAAATTAATTTTTTTATTTATCTATCGCTTCTTATTCTGCAAAAAAAAAAAAAGGTGATACAAAAAAACAACACAAAACATAAATTTTCTACTTTTCTACTGAAAATTGGCCCATTGTATATATGAATTTTTTTCGTAGCTCTTGATGTAGCTATACTTATGGACCACCCTGTACATTACAGACCCATTTGACTGCTCTGAAGAGCGATGGATGGACAAACGAGGTGTCAAAAAAACGAGAACTTGATGGAGAAATGACAAATGCCAAATTCAATGTTAGAGTGGACGTTCACTTTCTCACATATTAACGTCATTCACTTTCTTACATATTTCATTCTATCTAACCATCTGCTCTTTGGTCTTCCACATGGTCTTTTGCCTTCTATTGAGGTATTCATTGTTACGTAAAGGCTTCCACATGGATTGCGAAGAGCTAAATGCCCGCCCATCTTAACCTCTGTGCCTTCATATCATGGGATATTGATTGAACAGTTTCTGTATTCAGTTCTTTTTTTGGTCTTTCTTCTCCATGTGTTAGTACTCTGATACCAGATCGCTCCGGTTATCGTGTGGAGGATTTTCAAATTTATACATTATGAATTGTCAGCGAAGGCGGAAATTTATGAAGAAAGGAAATTTTCAAGTAGGTGTAGTTCCTGACTTGGTAATAAATCACAGACTATTTATTCTTAAATTTCAATATATCAATATATTTTCATTATAACAAAACAATATGACAATCAACAACAACAAGAACGGAACATCTTGATTTTTTAACTAAAAAGATATTTAAAAAATATATCATAGGAGCTATATATAGTTTCTAATTAACTATTATGCCACAAAGAGATAATCAATTTTCCAGACAAGAATGAGTTGGAATATTGATTTGCTATAGAAATAAACTACAAATTCATTAAAAGAGAAAATATAATTCAATAAAAAAGTGGAAATCCTAACTTCAAATAAATTTATTTTAAAACTCCTGTATAGATACTTTAACAGAACAACAATAAGATACAATAATCCGCAAAAAAGAAATGCAACAAGTAGGACGAAAAAAAATATATATGTTATTTTGCATAACTGGCAAAAGAACTATTAATTTAAATATAACAATTACACAAATTAAGAGAAAAAGACTAATTGGTGCTATAACTAATTTAATTAATGCAAGATATTGACACTTTCATATTTTAAAATAGACAACTAATAAAGAAAGGGGTAAAGATTTTTTTTTTATATGAAACATATTTCACAAGCTCGGTTTCACCTGCCAGTAAATCTCACATGCTGACGTGGATGACACATCAAAACTTAGACTTGCTCTCTCTTGAGAACCAGGTCATGTACCAACCTTGGGAACAGTACGGCTTCTTACAAGAACGCTTTAACCGTTTAAAAAAAAAAAAAACTCAATGGTTCCAAGTCTAAACCCAGAATAGAAAAGAAGAAATTCAATTGTTATAAAAATACCAAAAAGTTCTCAAGGAAAGTAGCAAAGAAAACAATTTTTTTTCTTACGTTTAAATATACGCACACAGACTAAGTAAATAAATTCGGCATAAGGCATGAAAATTTATCTTAATTTTAGATCACGTAAACACACAAGGTCAAAAAATTAACCATGGCCTCGTTAGTTTTTCCTCAAAGACAAAACTAACGAATGCAGTATGATACATGAATGTGAATACATCTAGAGGATAATAAAAAAAAACTAAAATGTCAACTAATTATAAATCTAATCTGTAAAAATTTCAATTAACCTAATTTGAATATTACAATTTTAATCAAAACAAACTTCAGACACACAAAATAAAAACATTTTTAAAAAAGTAGGTAATCAAAAACATATGTTAACAAATCAAGAGCCACAATCAAACAAGAAACCATTATTGTTAATTAAATACTGTAAAAAATGTAATATTTTCCACTGATGAAACATTGCCTTTTTATATTGATAGACAAAATCACTATTGTTGCTAGGGACCTTTTATTATTAATAAATTATTTTATTTTTTAATCGTTTAATGTTTATAGTTTCTCATACCTATGTAATCGTTTTTTTCTTAGCCCTGAACTTTTGGCCGAAACATCGGCAAAAATAAAAATAAATATACTTATTTATTTTGACTGATCACCCCAACCATTCTTCTCCTCAATTATTCAATACAGTCAACCATCAACCGACAATTACAAATAAAATATATTTAGAGTTTCAAATCCGTCAAATTGAATGGTTCTATAAATCAATTTTCAAAAATTTAACGATTTGTCATTTAAATTTTGAACCAAGTTTTGAAAAATATAATTATCTATAGCTCAACCACAAATAGTTAGAATCTAGGGAGCAAACTTGTTCAACATTACCTCGAAGGTAACATTCTGGTTTTTCTCTTACTCTTTAATAATACTTAACAATATTTATAATTAAATACAATTATCGCTAATAATTATATACGAGAATCACAAGATGACAATATCATCTTTTAATATATGTATACTATTTAAACATAGAAGATTAAAGTAAAAAATAAAATGTTAGTTTAAACTTGTACCTCATGAGTTAACTATCTGCACACTAACTAATATAAACAAACTATAATAAAATTTTAGGGTTCAAATTTTCTTTATTATTAAACTATTGTTTTATTATTATTAACTATTTCGAATATCATTAAGGTAAACATAGATAAAAACTAATTGAATAAAGGCGCAGAAATATTATTTTGAGCTTTAATTTAATTATTGGTCAAACAAATAAAACTGTTGAACAATTGATTTAATAGCATATGAATAGCATTCTACATTTTACTTATATAAAATTCAATTGAGAAACATTTTTATAATAATTATTAAATTTTTATAAAATATAATCAATGAGATTTACGTATTAAATTTATAAAAATTAATAATTATATGTAAGATCAAACAACATCTGTACCACATCCTCCCTCCAACTAAACAACCTATAAATAGCTACAATGGACTTAAAATACAACAAAATTCTACATGTCTAATTATTCTTTACAAACAATGTAATTTAATATACACAAGAAAAATATTATGACATGTAATGTTGTACTATAAGTTAGTGAAATATTGAAGTAAAAGCAAGTAAAATTAGATAATTGTATTCTTAAATGATACAATTACGCACTAACGATAGAATAACATTGAAAAATAATGACATGAATTATGATATATTCAAACAGGAAACATGTGTTGCTTTTGTATCATGGGATTAAATACTTGGCGGTAATACTATTAATGTAAACACATTTTATATTTATAAATAATAAAGTAAACATTTAAGTCATAAGTTCTTGTTAATTTAGATTTGAAATGCACAACCAGATGGTTAACGTTAACTTCAATAAATTTCAACAAAGTCCGATTTTTCATGTTCAGTAAAGTTAATAAATAAGGATCATAACATAAGAATAAAAACAGATACCTATAAGACATTAAAAGAGTTTATAATTAATAGATAATACTTTTAATATATGCAAAGGAAATAACCATTCAAGATGAATCATCTGTTGATTAATGAAAGACTCTTGGTTTTATTGCACACTTATATTGACAATGAAGTCCATAACAATAAATTACCCATTCAAACCTTGAACTAAAGTAAACAATGAGTGCTAAAAACGACAATTAAAAGGTTTCTCAAGTTTGAATAATAAGTAATATTTGGTGTAGTATTTTGAATAAAAGTATACAAAACCTAAAACCATGACAACAATGATTTAATATTTGTATCCATGATAATAATAGTATTCTATCAATAATAAAAAAAATGAAACCATCGCGGAAGAATTAATGGATTAACACTAATAATTAGCCTACTTTGCGAGGTCGTGTTGGGTTTATTATGTAGCTACCAGGCAGAACAAAGCCTAACTGTCAAGAAAAAATTGAATACTTTTAATGTCGAACGGAAGCATGAGAATGAAAGTATATTCAATTATCAGTATAATAGTAAATAGAAAAACATAAATACAAAAAAAAAGAAAAGACAAAGTACAGAAATGGCTGATGGCGAAAGAGAGTAAGGGGGCTACCTGTTTTAATCATATAGTATCCCTTTATCCAAATCTTCTTTTGACATAGCATCACATCACGTCTTCTTGTCCAACAGCAGTCCATTTCAGACGCACATCTCGCTCCACGGAGTGTAATATGTCGCACACAGAATCTCTATTAATATATTATCTATTTATCACCGACATACTCTCGAGCACAACCTCTTCATAAACTTTCCTTTGGAGTGCGCGCGCAACTCCCTCCACTATTCTTCCCCCCTCCTCTTCAGAATTCCAATCGAACCTCTGCCAGCTGAAATAGACCGTTGAATAGCCAAAATCACTCATTCTGAATCAATTTTTTTCTTTATTTTTAATATTTTATGATTCTCTAAGAAAAAAAGAAACTTATCCTCCTTGAATATTCCATTCATTTATATATTTATTAACTGCAGATCATTCCATAACTGAATTTCCTTAAACTTTTTCTCACTTCTTAAAAATAATTGTTTACTTCTTTTTTCTTTTTTTTGGGAAGTTGTATGTTTTACTGAAAAGTAAAAGATTTAAGGAAATTAACTAGTATATAACGATAATGGGGAGTTACGAAAAACTTAGGACATATTGTACTTAACTTCTAATTTTATTAATAATATTAAATGAAAATCTTAATTTATCTTCACGTTGAAAGACCTAAAACATGTAAGAAAAAAAATAAACTTTATTCTGGGACACTTAATCCTTTAAAAATAAGTATAACTAACAGAAAAGTTACTATTTGTCTGGTGGTCAAATAAATACTAAATTATAAAAATAGTATATTTAATTTATTACGTTTCGATCCACCTTTCAGGTCTTCATCAGGACTACAAAAGATGCAAAATATGAAAGGTACATGGTGAAAATAAAATAAATGAATGTTAAGTAGATATTAAATAAGAATTATTATTATTATTTCTTTATCAGACAAATGTTTCTTATTTAATGCCTACTTAACATTCATTTATTTTATTTTCACTATGCACCTTTTATATTTAATATCTTTTGTAGCCCTGATGAAAACCTGCAAGGTGGGTCGAAACGTCGGCATAATAAATTAAATATACTATTTTTATAATTTAGTATTTATTTGATTGAATCCCCCTGATCAACTCCTCAAAAAAATAAAAAAAGCTTATTAAACTATTTTCTGTAATTGGAAAAAATATGTGAATTCAGGTATAGAAGGGGTTGTAGAAAATAGTTATGTCCATGAATGAAATATTTGTGGATATAGACAAGTAATGGGACTCACTTCATAGAGAATAATGAAATATTAGACTAGAAATATATAATGCATGAATATGTTATACCCTTTATATTTATTACAAACTTATGATAATATAAATGATCACAATCTTTTGGTCTACATGAACCAATTGTTAATTATTTCTCTATTGTCTTCTAATGCCAGACAAATAGTAACTTTTCTATTTGTTATACTTATTCTTAAGGGATTAAACGTTCCAGAATAAAGTTTACTTTTTTTTCTTACATGTTTTTGGTATTTCAAGGTGAAGATAAATTAAGATTTTCATTTAAAAGTATTGATACAAGTAAACATTAAGTACAATATGTCATCAGTTTTTCGTAACCCCCATTATCATTATATACTAGTTAATTTTCTTAAATCTTAAACTTTTCTGTAGTATAACCAACTAGCCATAAAAAAGTGTAAAAAATTATTCTCTGTTATTTGGCAATGATACTTCCAATTAACAATAATTGAATTTATTTGTTGTATTTCCAAAATACATTTTTACATGTTAACGTTTCGGGATATTTACTCCTATCTTCAGAACTACAATCCCAATGATTTTTTGTTGATACATGGCTAAAATCAGTCAAAATATAGTGCATGTTACAATACATGTAACAACCCAATTCTGACATGTATTGTAACATGCACTATATTTTACTCAATTTTTTTTAAATATGTAGCAACAAAAAATCATTGGGATTGTAGTTCTGAAGATGGGAGTAAATATCCCGAAACGTTAACATGTAATTTGGAAATACAACAAATAAATTCAATTGTTGTTAATTGAAAGTCATCATTGCCAAATAACAAAGAATAATTTTTTACACTTTTTTTATGGCTAGTTGGTTGTACTACTGAAAAGGTAGAGATTTAAGAAAATTAACTAGTATATAATGATAATGGGGGAGTTACGAAAACTAATGACATATTGTACTTAATGTTTACTTTTATTAATACTATTAAATGAAAATTTTAATTTATCTTCATCTTGAAATACCAAAAACATGTAAGATTGTGATCATTTATATTATCATAAGTTTGCAATAAATATAAAGGGTATAACATATTCATACATACATCATTTGTACTTCTAGTCTATTTCATTATTCTCTATGAAGTGAGTCCCATTACTTGTCTATATCCACAAATATTCCATTCATGGACATAACTGTTTTTGACAACCCCTTCTATACCTGAATTCACATATTTTTTCCAATTATAGAAAATAGTTTAATAAGCTTTTTTTTTTTTTTTGAGTTGATCAGAGGGGTTCAGTCAAATAAATACTAAATTATAAAAATAGTATATTTAATTTATTATGCCGACGTTTCGACCCACCTTGCAGGTTTTCATCAGGGCTACAAAAGATACTAAATATAAAAGGTGCATAGTGAAAATAAAATAAATGAATGCTAAGTAGGTATTAAATAAGAAACATTTGTCTGATAAAGAAATAATAATAATAATTCTTATTTAATATCTACTTAACATTCATTTATTTTATTTTCACCATGTACCTTTTATATTTTGCATCTTTTGTAGCCCTGATGAAGACCTGCAAGATGGATCGAAACGCCGGTGTAATAAATTAAATATACTATTTTTATAATTTAGTATTTATTTGACCGCCAGACAAATAGTAACTTTTCTGTTCCTTATACTTATTTTTAAGGGATTAAACGTCCCAGAATAAAGTTTATTTTTTTTCTTACGTTTTTGGTCTTTCAACGTGAAGATAAATTAAGATTTTGATTTAATATTATTAATAAAAGTAGACGTTAAGTACAATATGTCATTAGTTTTTCATAACTCCCCATTATCGTTATATACTAGTTAATTTCCTTAAATCTTTTACTTTTCAGTAGTATATTGATAATCTACTTTACTGCTTTTATTTCAGAAAATCTATCTTCAACCTATAAAAATACATTTTCATTATTCTACTTGAGAAAACATTTTGAAATTTGTATAAGTCCTGTCAAGACTATTTCAATCATGTTAAAAAAATTAAATAAAAAGTAACATATATATATAAGCGATTGGTGGTGTCGGCATCGAACCTTCGGGTTCGCTAAGCCTTTTATTATTATTATTTATTATATATATATATATATATATATATATATATATATATATATATATATATACAAAATTTCTCCAACCTTCTTTGAGTAATATATTTTGGAAGATGAGGTATGAACTTGATGGTTTATAATAAATTTTAATAAAAAGTGAAAGAAAAAAGTATATTTATTATTTCACAAACTGATATTTAATTAACATAAAATTATATTTAACAGGATTTTTTCTTTGTTTAACATTTATATATAAAAATCTAATCTAATTTAACAAACCAATTTAAAAAATAAATATAACACAATGTAAGCTAAGATTTTTTTAAGATTTTAGTCAAAATTGGTAACACAATAACAGTTCAATAAATCCACCTGAAATGAACTAAAATATTTGACAAGGTTTTTTTTTTTCTATTATTAAATGTCAACTGTTAATAATTAATCACAAATACTTTAATTTTAAAGCCTTTAAACTTATACATCATAAACAAATATGTTTTAACAGTAGGAACTGACAATTTTAATTAATTAAAGCAATAAAAAATTAACTCAAGAAAGGTCTGGGATTCTAGCAAACTGAAACTAATTTAATATATATTATATTAACGTATTAAACATAATCAATTAAAATGTTTATGATCATAGTAATAATAATTAATGAATAAAACATAAGTAAAATGTGCAATAAGTAAAAAATTAAAACTAAAATAAATCTAAGGTGAAGGCTAAGAGTTAATGAACGGAATCAAATAATTTTTACAATCTTACCATTTCAGTACAGCATTAGAGATCTAATTTAATTGGCTACAAAGAAATATTACTATTTCATTGAAATGGTTGTTTGAAAATATAAAATATTAGAATAAAATGCAAGGCAGTATATTTTATACACAATTAAAAAAATATTATAAATGATCCGTTAAAGCGTTTAAGTACAAATATAACATAAGGCATTGTTAACAATTAGGAAACATTTTTAATAAGGGTTACAATTACCAGATCATATAAAACTTTTAATTTTGGTGAGTTCATTAAACCTAAGGATGCAACCATCCCTAACCACCAAAAAAAAAAAATAGTAAAAAAGATGATAGCAAAGCCTTATTTTGCTAAAAATTTTGAACATAGCTAAGTTTCTACAAATTAGTACTCAGCTACCTTTAAAGCAAACATAAGGAAGGTAAAGAAACATTTTTAAAATAAAGCTAAAATAATATTTTGAATTTTTTGTATGGAATATACACGTTATATAATACACACGCTTTGAACCAAAATGGTTCTTCAACGTTATAATATACATACATCTTTACAAGAATGTGCATAGCTTTTATAATCTATGTAAAAATAAATCAACGTTAGAAATCGGCATCGAGTGTGAAGACACTTTCCTCCTTCGAAGACATAACACCAGCCTTTTGATACTCTCCGACTTTCTTTTCAAAAAAGTTGGTCTTTCCCTCAAGAGAAATATGTTCCATGAAGTCAAATGGATTAGTAGAATTATAAATCTAAAGAAAAAAACATAATATTTAATATGAAAAGTATTCAACAGAATAAGTTACAAACCTATACATGCCAAGCTTCAGAAATTTATCATGGTAAATTTTATGTTAAAATTATATTACATTTCGACTTAAAATTTCTGAAAGTGAACCAAAATAAGATTTGAAAAGACTAAAATACTTTGCTGAATTATTTCATTTGCTTACTGGCCTTATTTGCAATAGTGATTAATTAAGTTAATAAATTAAGGGATGCATTCATTAGAGTCGAAGAGAATAATAAGTGTATTTTTGTGTGCCTACATTTAGACTTAATTTGGAGGGCATCATCAGTACTGTACAGAGATGACAAAAGACAAAAAGCCATTCAGATCTGAACTGAAAAGTGGATCGAAATGAAGTTACCCGATAAAAACAATAAGTCGCACTTATTATTATATTTAAACTCCATCCCATGGATCTTACTCCTGACCAACTTCTTGAAATGTAATATGATTAAATCGAACTAGCTTGTTATTCATTTAACTGCTAATATCAAATTGTAATAACATAACATGTTGATACGGTTTTAATTTAAAAAATATATTCTGAATAACAATAACAACAAAATAAAGATAAATTACCTTTGGACAACCAAGTTCCACTAGCAATCGATCTGCAACAAATTCAATGTACTGTTTCATCAGATCACAGTTCATCCCAATCATAGCAACTGGCAGCGCTTCGGTAAGGAATTCCTGTTCTATTACTACAGCATTACTGATAATTTCGGTCACCCTCTCGACTGATGGTTTCTGAACAAGGTGCTTAAACATTAGACAGGCGAAGTCACAATGAAGACCCTGAAAAAAAAAATTTGTATATATATTATATACCCACTAGATCTAAAAGTTTAAAGAACTTTATTTCTATTATTTTTTTATTATAAGCAATGCTCAGGAAGTCAGAACAACGGTGTAGAAAAAAGAAAAATCTCCAGATCTCCACAATATAGATATACCAACAATCTCAGAATTAATCATGAGGCATGATAACTTCTTGGACTTACTTAAATATCTCCCTAACCAATTATTCCATTACCATAATTCTGACATCAGCATCACCACCAATGCGATTACAGAATGCACCACGGGAAAGTGATATAGACTTTCACGATTGTATATAGTGTATATATAGTGAATACAGAGGAATATTGGTCTTAGATTAGTTTAATTTCAATTAAAAAAAAAAGATGTGCCCTAACGCCAACCATTGATAAGAGCTAACGCTAACTAGATTTATAAACCAATATAATAAAAATTATTACCTCGTCCCGAGATATTAGCTCATTAGAAAAGGTAAGTCCTGGCATTAGACCCCTCTTCTTCAGCCAAAAAATGGAAGCAAAGGAACCAGAAAAGAATATTCCTTCGACCGCAGCAAAAGCTACAATTCTCTCGCCGAAAGTGGCTGTCGGGCTGGAAATCCAAGAGAGTGCCCAATCAGCCTTCTTCTTAACACACTCCATTGTTTCGATGGCATTGAACAGATAATCCCTATAAAATACAAAAATGTGAGAAATGGCTCTACATGCTCAAGACAAATCAAAATATTTTTCAAATATGCAATTTAAAATTTTATGGTATGAAAAATGAATTTAACAGGTTAAAAAAATTATCCCGCAGATGAATAATCATGCCGTATAAATGTTCTTTGTACTTTGGAAATTTATAATTTATGCATATTTAATAAAGCATTTCACATTCATTCAAAAAATTATGTAGAGAGCAATAACCAGTCGGTTATAAAAAAAAAAAAAAATTTCTTTTCAGTCAGTAGCTTTTTATTATTCCAATACGTTTTAATAATCCAATAATCTGACAAGAAAAAGAAAGAAAATGTTTTTGTGTTTTTACTAATTGCACAATCATCCACAATCTCTAATCTTTTCTTAAATTATCATAATTGTTTGGTTAACTATTATGTTACACAGTTTTGCTAATAACATTACCTATTATAATGATGAGAATAACCAGGAGGGAGTAACGGATTCAGTACTTAATTTTGGTAGAAATAGCTTTATTACTTTCATTTAATAATGGTAATAACAGAAACAATAATGTTTTAATGAATAAGATTTTTTAATGATATGTGCTTATATTATATAGTTGAAATGCGTGAGTAATAATTTCAAAAGAAAATATATTGTAAATATTGCAATATTTGGCTAGATCACTCATTGAAACAAAAATGGACTAATAAAAAAATATTTAATTTTAGAAAGATTCAGTCCAAAAAAAGCCTCTTCTCTCAATCTGCTAGTAGCAGTCAGTATAAATATTAAGAGTTGGTAAGAGTTATAATTACATGTTTTTTAATGATCCAAGGAAAATAATGACTTTGGAAAAGAAATTTTGAATCATCAATTTCAATATTAAGCTTCTTTTTTTTTTAAAGCATAATGCTTTATATTCTTATTTTTCCTCTTAATTTAAAATATTTTATCCCTCAAAGAAAATAAACAACTAATAACTAGATATTTTGATAAGTTAACACAGCCAGTTTTAACCTAAGGTGAGAAAACATAGTTATTTTTCCTTAAAATTAGATAAATAAGACAAATTATAATTAATTTATAATTGTAAAAACAAATTATAATTAAATAAATAATAAAAAATTAAGTCAAATATTAATTACCTTTCCTTAGAATCCCTAATATAGGTATCGATAAGAAGGCTATACATTTCAGAATGGACATTTTCCATTGCAATTTGAAAACCATAGAAACATCTTGCTTCAGTAACCTAATGTAAAAATGATTTTAGCAGCTTATAAAAAATATCAAAAACACACATTGTATCGAGTTAATACCACAACAACGTACCTGAACTTCTTGGGAAAACCTTTCAACAAGATTTTCATTTACTATTCCATCTGATGCAGCGAAAAAAGCAAGGACGTGAGATATAAAATGCCTTTCATCAGGCTTCAGTTGTTCCCAATGACTCAAATCCTATTGTACAAATATATATTAAATTATAAATACATCTTTATCGTTATAATAAACTATTTGTTATAAATAAAACAACATGATATAAATAATTGTATATCTACATAGCTTTAAGAATTCTACTTAGACCATACAAATTAATCGTACAAAACCAAAAAACCTTGAAGAGTAAACTAGATCAAAGGAACTAAACTGAAACAATGCATATTAAAAAAGCAATAGGTAAATAACCTAATATAGCCACAGGAACACAGAATTTAGGAACTTAAGATACTTTTTTCATTCAGTAGTTATTATAATAGCATACTATCATATACCATGGTCTAAAGAACATGTAGATTTGACTACGAAACGAGGTCTACTTAATACATACGCCATGCCTGAAATATACCTATACAGCCTGAAATATACAGAGACCAAATTATACAGATACCTCACATTGTTCAAACCATAATAACTATTAAGAAATTACTTAATTTCTATTGAGACCAATTCGAGTGTCCTTTCCACTGACTCACTCAGGATTAAGGACAGTGATAATCTAAATTCATGGATTATGACTGATCAAAATCATTAGGTGCCTGTGTACCTATATTTTTATTCTTGAAATCTGTGTTGTGCGTATACTATAGAAGTAATCATGAGTGAAAATTTAGTCATTACTCATCACTCTCAAATATGAGTGATTAATTATCTCCTTAAGTATTTAGCCAGTACCCACTAGACTGTTGAAGAGATAAATCAGAATGTCTCTGCCAATTCCAAACAACCAGTAAGCAGTGGCGATCCAATATTCGATTCATCAAACAAAGAATGGAAAAGGACATCAAATTTGAAGATAAATTTTTTAGATGGTAATTTTTTAATTAAAAAGATCTGAGGGTAACGTATTTATCAATGCTTGAATGCTCTGCCTCTCTAAAAATGTATACATCACGGGTTATGAAACATCTACCAATTTCATGTTCATTTACAAAGAAAACATTGTAGGGGAACTGTCAATGAATAAAGAAAAGTATGCAAAAAAAAAAAATTTACACAATATTTCTCCTTCTGGTAAAAAAATCATCTGGAGTTTCATTGTGATTTACAAATCAATTACAAACCATTGTAATTTACAAATAAATCAGTACTTTGATAAACCTTCAAGAAATATAGTTAAGTTTGGGTAAATAATCAGCCGTAAAAGGGACTTTCTACAAGTACAAAGCCAGTACTTTCCTTATATATTTCCTTTTCCCTTATAATCCCTATACCGCCCTAGGACTTCAAGGGAAGTTTTGGGCCGACGAGGAAAGAAAACCCATTGATTTGCCTCTCGTCTGCTTGGGCAGCATGGTTCTCTTTGATAGGCTGTCATCCATTCAAATACTTACTATTCTCAAAGTTGTTCAACTTTAATTACCTATTGCAAGCACCTCAACCTGCTCGGTCACCATGGCATCAAGAAATATAAAGAATGAAATATACTGAACTAAATATAAATTAGATTTAGATGTTTACTAATATTCTTCAAAAATAAACATAAAAGATACAATTAGACCCTATTTTGTGATAAGAGCCATTTAATATAGTCAGAGAGAAAAAAAAATTCAAAACAGTCTCCACTAAGATGGTAGAAATTCAGTAACATTGGAAGAATTAAGTTTCAGCACGAAGCTAATAAAGATGATCCCAGCAATCACAATTTTACTAAGGAAGAAATTATTGAAAGTGTGATTACTGCAAAAACCTATGATAAACCTTACTGAAAATAAAATACCATCAAGAACACTCAATAAATATGATAAATATAACAGTGATGAAAGAATATCTAAATAGTAAAAACATCTGAGGCCTCAATAATAGTTGGTTATAAAAATAATAATTGCCAAGAAAAAAAAACAAGTATCAGCATTTCCTGTAAGCATGACTAATCAAGGTATGCCATGTTCTAATTATATGATGCACAAGCTATGCAATATTCAAATAAGGACTAATATTACATAAGATTATATTTTATGGTTTCGAAAATCCTTACATTCCTTGAATATACAATGTACTTTTTTTTCTAACTAAGCAGTATTCGAAATGCAACTTAGCTCATTTCATAGGTTATTAATATTATCAGTTCTTCCGTTAATTTAAGCAACCTTAAGCATGAATTAATCTAGAATTAAGAGAATCTACTACATATTTTACCTTTGAAAGATCAACTTCTTCAGCCGTCCAAAATGATGCCTCAGCTTTTTTGTACATCTTCCAGATATCATGGTATTCAATTGGGAAAATAACAAATCTCCTCGGGTTATCTCTAAGGAGGGGTTCTTTCTGTGCATCGTAAACTTCCTTTTCACAAGCCTTCCTGTCTGTAATCACCTATTCACAAGGAAATATCCAATTATCGAAATATTCATCAATCTAAGATTAATCTAGGATATTAAAATGGAATCACCATACCTTTTGCTCATCTCCAAGAACATTATCTAAATTCTTATTCTCAGTTAAAGTGCCCTTCTTGAGGACCTGTAACAATAACAACATAGATCAAACATCAGCCCATCTCGAAAATAACATTACAAATGAATTAACTAAATGTAACAAAAACTTACAGGATTATTGTCTACCTTCTTGCCAATGTATAGGTTAGACATAGAAGTGTTCATATTTTCTTTATTAATTGTCTCAGGAGGTGCCATTGTATAAAATTGAACTTACTACAAGCAAAGAACGCTTGGAACTGAAGCTAAAAATTACATACGGGTCAGTTTGAGCGGTAAAACTCCATTTTGGCGGCATTTCATCCACCAATCAGCTAGTATGTTACAAATACAAAATTCAAATATTGTTTGGTGATCATTGAAAAAGCAGCAGATAACTATTTTTTCGTCTTATTGAAGAAACTAAATGCGCAACATTGAAATTGCTAACAATTGATATCAATTAAAAAAGTGGAGTTATTTAAAACACGACCCTATTGGCTGAAGTAATGGCGCCAAACAGTCAGCTGATGATATATTGCAACATTATCACGCACAACATTAATATTTCAACTTTTTTATTAACTATTTACATCTTTGCCACCTAATTCATTTATAATTTACAACAACTATTTATCTTGTTCTATTTGTAATATATTTAATTCGGTCTTGGTATCCCAAATTGAAGTGGCTAACGATTTTTTACTACAAATTATCACTTAAATGATCAACAGTGTTCTTTCGACACATCCTGAAAACACCAGAACTGGCCGTTCATCCATTTATTCAACTGGAAAACTTCCAAAAGTATTCAATGTATCAGAGCCACTAGAATACGAGGATTTAAGTTTATGGGAGGGATTTCGGCCCAAAAGTTTTTTTTTCACAAATATAACGATAATTACTTAAATCCTTTTTATTTAGAAAAAAGAGGAAACTAACTATCTATATGAAATGGTGTTTAAGTGATTCTTATTTGTCGGTACGCCATAACTTCGTCCATTCATCATCAAATCTACTAGCGGATCCAGGATTTAATTTTTGGAAAGGAGGCTTCAGCCCGAAAACTTTTCTTTTTTCATCTTTGGAAGAAAAAGAAAGAAACTATATGAAATGGTGTATAAGTGATTCTTGAAGTCGTATTAAATATAATTATACGAACAGTAATATTTTCAGAGATATTTTTTTCACAAGACATGGTTATATTTTACCATTTTGGTGAGGAGGCTTCAACCCGAAAGCCCTCCCCGTAGATCCGTCTGTGATCAATATTAGTTTGGTTAAAAAAAAAAAAAATCAGTATAAGGGAAGCACTTAAAAGAGAACTATAGATATGTATACTTTGAAAAACAGTATAAGATAGCCGACTATAGAGCGTTGGAATATTCACTATCTTTGCCACAGGCGGATTTATGGTGGAACTTTTAGGCTGATTCCCGAACCTCGCCCCTCCCCCCCAAAAAAATGGTTAAATGTAACCATATCTTATGAAAAAATATTAAAAGTTATCATTAAAAGTATTTTTGTTCGTGTAATTACATTTAATAGGACTTCAAGAATCACTTATACACTATGTCATGTAGTTTCTTTCTTTTCAATCCAAAGCAATTATCGTTATATATAAATATGTAAAAATTTCGGATTGAAGACCCCTCCCCAAATTAAATCCTGGACCCGTTGATGATGTTTACAAACCAACGGAATCTTGCATCACACTGCACTTTAATTATTTCTTATCATTTTACGCAGGTAAAGAACACTTCAATTGTTCATTAATATTATTCTAAGGGAACTAAATGACCCAGAATTAAATTGACTTTTCTTCTTCTTTCTTTCTTTTATATTTCTAATTTAATTTTAATTTTATCACCCTAATAACTCTTAGGACCTAAGCTTCAACAAACTTATGTCGAAACGTCAGTAATTTTTTTATAATTAAAAATTCTAACTATTTTTAATTTAAACGGCCCCTTAAACGGTCAATAATGTGAAGTCGATATTATTGAAGAAATATAACTGATGGCAATATATTGAGGAGCCCCCCTGCTATGTTTTGGGGTTAAACATTACTCGGGATGCCACTGGATAATAATTATGCAGAAATATTTAATTAAAAAAATTAGTTAGGTAATTATTAAAACAAATTTGAATCTATAATATACTGATTGGTCCATGATTAATGAATTGAATTTCTTTTCTCAAAGACTATATTGTGTTTATCATGCTTTCTAATTACCAACATCACCTATGATTATCATGATATAAATGGGTGGCAGAATTAAAATAACATTTTTCTCAAGTAAAATAGAACTGCTCATAGTAAATCTGTGCCAACACAGTTCGCTGTAGCTATGACACAGCCACACTACTGTATACAGACAGCCCTTGTTTAGGTGCTAGATTCCTCCAATTTATTAATTAATTGTCCTAAAAGTAATTTACCGCCTTAGTTGGAAGTCAAGATTGTTTTCTTGAATCCGATGCATTAATGAATAATTTATAAACTTATTATTGATGTATTTGGTTTCATCTGAAAAGCTGTTTTCAGGCCTATTATTGGAATAAAGTTATTTTAACAAATAAATCAGAACTTCACTTTAAACATTAAAAACTATAAGGGTATTACAATAGTTAATTTAATTTGTATCACCCATGCTCCCTCAATATTATACTCTACGTGATGTGGGAATCGAGAGGGGAAAAATGAAGATGACTTATTTTTATCTAAATATCTTTATCACTTCAGCCAACATCGGTTATCTCTCCCACACCTTACAATTTACTTGATCAACCCGCAACACGTTATATGCTTCTCTTACGAAATATTACACTATTTTGTTATGCTTTAAATTGCAGGATTTAACATAAAAATCAAATTTAATCAAAGGCTAAATAGTGGTAAAACTATTTTTATTAAAAGCCGACTTTTCGACCCGACATTGCAGGTCTTCTTCAGGGCTAGAACGAACAAGATAAAAAAAGATCTTTACCACAATTTAGCCTATTTATGACCGCCATCCCGGACCATCTCCTTCTTTTATAATGCAACGGTCAACTATTCAATAGAAAATATTCAATAGAAATCAAATCATCAACGGACATTAAAAAACTTATTTTTCAAATCCTTAAATTTTTTATTTACTTTTTTACTTTCCTATCTATACTAGGTAAGGAAAGTATTGCAATCGGGTCAAATTTCCGACATGCGGTTTTCGACGGATCTATACGTTTCAGATCCTCCTGAGTCCGAAAAACACAATTGGTCTGTCTGTCTGTCTTTCTGTGCCAAGATTTTCTCGGGAACTACTGAACCGATTTTGTTGCTTCTTTTTTTATTTTGTAGGGTTTTGACTACTGATGCCTGTGACAGAAATTCGGTGCTCCATGCGCAATAGCTTGCGCGCAATAAATGAAAAACATGTTTTTCTATACACTGTAGCGCAAAAACGGCTCTAACGATTTTGATGAAACTTTTCTATAATGTTCTAATCATTGTTTTTTCAATTTTCGTATATAGACTAAATTCCCCAAAAAATTCAGGAAAAAAATTTATAAAGAAAAGAAAAATGTTATAGGGCCTAACTCCCTAAGTATATATTATGCGGTATAATTTATAATAAAACTTTTGAAAGGTAATTAAATTATCAACAAAATAAAACAAAAATCATCGGAATCGAACCAGTATTAGCGATGATACAGCTTATTCTATTTTTTACACAAAAACACACCGTTTAGCCTGTCGTTTGAAAGGTAATGAAATTCCCTACAAAGCCATATAAAAATCGTTCATTTTGGACAACTATTAACGAAGTTACAGCTATTCAATTTCCAATGTAAGATTACGGTTTCATATCCTGGTGTCAGAAAGGGGTGAATGAGAGAATAAAGATGACTAAGTGAAAATAAGAAAATCTGTTGCCCGCATCACACAACCTTCACTATTTCCTATACTTTCAACATAAATTATTGTTTGTCAATACTAAGCTATGCCAAAAAGTTTTTGATCAGCAATATTAGGAAGTATTGAAATTTTTACACTGATTTATCTTAAGCCGGTTTACATTTCTTTAGTTTATTAAATAAATCGTACTCAAATCTTATGTTTGATCAATTTTCAGGAAAATGTATCAAGTTCAATTCTGTTTTGTTTCTTCATGAACATATGTAAAGATATAAAAACTTTTTGAAATAGGTAGGAAAGTCGTGTGAGTGGACACACCAGATTTTTTTTCCTTGCACCTAAAATTTTCCCATCTTATAAAAACAGGTGCTTTGATCAAATGACCAGTCCGTCTCTTTAGAAACCATGACTTGATTCTGATTAGTATCGAAAGGAAGGCATCTCAGTTTTATTTATCTATCCTTGTCTCAAGTTCTAGACAGAGAGATGTAAATTATATAATTCATACCTCTTTGGTTCTAGATAACAACTAACGGAGGTTATCTCTGTATTATTTTCATCTTCCTAGTCTGGTTGTTGGAATTATTATTGTTGAAAGTTTGAATTGACACTTTGTATCGATAATAATTTATATTGACTGGTTTACCCTACTTGCTGATCCGTTAACATTAAACCGAATTACTGGTAATAAACTGAAACTACATAATAGCTTAATGACTCTAATGTACCTATTTATCAATTAAAACTACAAAAATATTGTAGATTACGTAAAATATCATCAAATTATTGTTTTAGTTAGTTATGAGGTGAGTATGGAGATTCTAGTTAGATATAAAATTCTGAAAGATAACTGTTGTCATTTCGAACTATTTTTTTGAATTATTTATTTTTGTATATTAATCTTTCTCTTAAGAGTCATTATCATGCATTATTTATTTCACTGAAAATTTTTCTCATTTTCAGTTGCATCATGTGATGACAGAATTTTCTTCATCTGATAATGTGATGATTAACATTTGTTATATATATATATATATATATATTTTAAAATGTTAATGTTCATTTGTTCTCTTTTGTTATTTATAAATTGTTTTCACTAAATGAGAAATTTTTTTTTTTAAATTGTGTCCATGCCATTTCATTGCTGTTGAATTAAGTATAGCAACTATCAGTCATGTGTGTAGTACGATGTTTTGGTTCCAAGTGCAAATAAGGTACTGTTTGTAGAACATAAAAACAGTAATACATGTGAGGCTGACAGTTTGCTGATAGTCAAAACTTATATAACAGACGTACTAGTGGTACAACTGTACAAGTGTCGCTCCACTTTGATAGGTGGTACAACATCTCTTGGTCACACTCTAAACAGAATCCCAAAATCAGTCGAGTATCTCCGAAAGTAGACAGAAGTGAATGAATTGTCTGGTTAGCTCTGAAAAGGAAAAAGGACCCGTTATGGATTTGTTTATTCCTTCAGAGTGAAAGCAGCAATCTAATTAATGCTAATTAACGCGATTTTAACTGAAAAGAACGAGCTATGAGTTTATCAAAATCCTGAATAACCTTAGTTAAAGAAGGTGATCTGTGAACACGTTGTCAATTCTCGGCTTTTCTTGGAATTGCACTAATAACGCGATCTTGTGTTTCTTATTTTTAAGATTTTTGTAAGCACAAAATGTTGATAACTTTAGTTCTGACTGAGATGTGATGGCTGAGCACATTGTCGTGTGCGTCGCAGGGTGCCCGCTTCTAAATGTTGTGGGCTTGATTTCCACCTGGGTCAATTCATATTTATTTTTCGGTGGCTCCAGAAAATGAACACTAACAGCAACCTGATAACCTAATTTTGAGATAAAAATATAATTACGAGTTAAAATCCTGTTGCCAGTGGGATTTTTAACTCGTCATAATTCCCCGGCCTGGGAAAAACCCTGTGTAGCCTAAAAGGCAAGGAAGGGGAAACAAAAAAAAAAATAAAAATAATCCCACTCTGGTTTGTACGTGGCGGAAACGTCAGGGGTTGGCAAAAAAAACCACAAGGCCCACTTGCTGGATAATTACCATCACCTCACCATTAGCAGTACCAGTACCAATGAGATTCTGACTGAAAAAGTCAATTATCCTCATCTGAAGTAAAATTAATTTAGTAGCTTTTGTAATAACTGAACTTATGATGTCAATTGCCTTTAATAACACATATCGTTTTGTATGATGAATTTTTGTGGTAACTTACACTCTTTGGATTACTGGTTAAAATAGACAGAATTCAACAAAAAGGAACTAATCCATATTGCACATGTTTTTGAGTAAATTCAAATTAAAGTTAAATGGTCTTATAATATCTGAGAGGCTTTAAATAAGTATATTTTCTTTTTTGTCACAAATCCTATTTTAAATTGGGTAAATAAAAAATAAATATTTTTTTAAACTCCTCTCCGGCTTCTATGCTTAGTACTGAGAGTAGCTTCTTAGGAGTTCAACCAGGCTGTTCCTCACTCAAACAAGTCCTTAAGTATTCCAAAACCAGGAAACAAATATATCATAGTATCTTCTTCAGTTGCACATAAGAGGCATGCTTTTTCGCCTTGAATATAGAAGCCTGAGCGTAGGTTCTTGCACATTCATGATCTGCGAGACGAAATGATATTAGATGGGTGTTATTAATATCAGTTTTCAATGCTAAATGGGAATTTCCCTTTAGTATCATTTTTAAATTGAAAAATCACATTCTATCTCCAATATTTTTTTACTTTGAATTTTCATTGAAGATACTTGAGCTAACAGATGATTCTTTAACAAAAAACAAAAACAATAATTAGCACTAATCCCATTCAAATCCATCTCTAACTCCAATCATTCAATCAAGAATCAGTCATATTGTTGATGAAATTCTAAAAGTAGCCCAACTGTGCTCAGTCGGAGGCCAAACAAATTCCTGTATGTTCAGTTTATACACTCTACTACTTTCAGTATACTGTTTACCGTGTGATTGGTGTGACCTGGACCTGTCAACCAGACATAACACTTGTGAATTAATACTTCTGGTATTGTTAGCGTTACTTTAAATTTCAGTAGTTCACAATTGTTAACTTCCTATTCTTCAAGTGAAAAACGCTCTGTGTGATACTTTAAAATCTTTTTATCAGGGCGTTATCGAATAGAGGTGTTTCATTTTAATTGGAGAAGTTAAAAGGAATCATATTATAACAGAAAAGTTATATCATATTATAAACTACTTAATTTCTGTTGTTGATGTATGTGCTTTAATTATAATATGTATGTGCTTTTCAGCTCCGAGGGAGGAGTCTTTTGAGATGGCCAGTGGTGATCAAATGCCCAAACTGAATCTGGAAAAAGATAAAGTTGATCGAACAGTGATTGATTACATCAAAATTGTTGAAGCCCAGAACCGGGCTCGTGTTGAAAAGTTACGCCGCATTCGAAGAAATAACCTGATCACAGCATTCGGATTGGGTGTTGGAGTTCTATCCATTTACGGGTATTCGATATATTCTGTGAGCCAGGAGAAGTTCCTGGACGATTTCGAACGCCCTGCAATTAAGAACTAACATTAATACTAAGTAAAAGAATCAGCCATGTCAGCCCCCGCTTTGAAATCAGCCAAGCGACTTCCACCACTTCCGACGATTAAGGATTTATTGAAATTATATGGATTACGTGCAATGAAACATCTATCACAAAACTTCCTGCTTGATATGAGGCTAACTAACAAGATTGTCAAAACGATGGGTAACATCGCGGGTGGTCAGGTGTTGGAGGTCGGCTCTGGTCCAGGGTCCATTACCAGGCCTATCATTGAAAAACACCCTGCTCGTGTGGTTTTGGTGGAAAAGGATAAAAGATTCCTACCTACTCTAGAGGTAAGTAAACTAAACAATATTTAGTTACTATTGTAGAGCCATAATGGTGGAGGAAGATCGGGCTATTGATAATATGGTTGGAGCTCACAGTGAAGTATACACACAAAATTCTTTTCTTTTGTGCCTGAGATTCAGTTCTTGATTCTTTGACTGCGGGAGCTCATTCGTGTGTTTCTACTAGATGGCGGGTCCCAAAATCCAATAAGATGTTCAGAAAAACGGATTTTTTTTTCATACATTTGCTTAAAGTACTATTTTGAGTCACCTTGTGAGATCTTAGCTTTCAAAAATGCATTTTAACCTTTTTATTCAACTTTTAATAACATATGCCTATAGCAATGCAAAATTATAGCAGCAATCCCTCGAAATTTCGCTTTCTTGTGTATTTGCTTATTTCTGAAAAGCAAAATAACTGAAAATTTTCATCAAAATAAGTAAATGATAATAAAAATTAAAATTATATTATTTCTGAAAAACGGACAGCGATGGCGGGATTCGAATTATATATTTCTTTGTATACACAAATTTTTTTCTTACCTAAAAAAGTTCCATATTGAAACTGCAGTTATAAATTTTATTATTGCACTTATATTTATTTTGAATTTCAAACACTTTTATATTATATGAAATATATGTATTGTTATTATAAGTATCATTTTAATTCTGTATATTTTTATATTTATTAATTTTTACTATTACATTTTAATTTTTGTATATTTTTACATTTATTCATTACATTATAGAAATACACTGACAGGCAAAAAATTCCACCCACTTGATTTTTTCATGTTTTCATCTAAAAATATTTCTGCCACTTTTGATAAATGTTGTATTTGTATATAGTACATGGTATTTGTAGATAATACTTAGTATTTATGGAATTTTATAATCTTTTTTACCTTTAATAATCAAAATGTGATTGGGTAAGAAAGATTAGAGAAAAAAAAAATTGAAAAACAAACCATTATTATTCTAAAACAAATTAATTACATCATCGTTTAGTAGCGTGTGTTTCCTCCTCTTGCCTTCACTACTTCTTGAAGACGCCTCGGCATATTTTCCACCAGTCGCGAAACGTCCCTTTGCTGGAGGATAGCCCATTCCTCCCGAAGAGCCCTTTCAAGGTCCTGCAGTGTATCAGGAAGTGTTGCACGAGCTCTTATTCGTCTTCCGAGGTTATCCCATAAATGCTCAATGGGGTTCAAATCTGGAGAACGTGCTGGCCAGGCTAAAACCTCAATATTGTTCTGTTGAAGGAACGTCTGCACTATGCGGGCGACATGTGGGCTTGCATTATCATGCATTAGAATAGAATGATCGCCGATTTTGTTGAGGATAGGCAACACATGAGGTTCCAAAATCTCATCTACATAGCGAATGGCTGTCAAAGACCCTCCACGAACAACAACCAATTCTGTGCGGCGCTCCATTGAAATCCTAGCCCATACCATTAAGGAACCATGTTGGAAAGGTTGGCTCTGGGAAAAATTACAGGCTGCAAATCTTTCGTTTCTTCTTCTTCAAACCCTTTCACGTCCGTCTGGAGATCGAAGAGCAAATCTTGACTCATCTGTAAAAAGTACAGCACTCCATTCGTCCATAGTCCAATGGCTGTGTTCTTGAGCAAAAGCCAGCCATGTTACTCTGTGAGTTCATTTAATCTTCTCCATGTGGTACGTTCAGAAATTTGCACACCTTGAACTTCTTCAAGCTGATGAATCGCTTGAACAACGGTAAGGTGCCGGTTTTGTAAAATTCTCAAAGTCAAAAACCGGTCATTCCGTGATTCTGTTACCATAGGCCGTCCAGAACCGGGCCTTCTATTGTAAGAACCAGTTTCCCGAAAACGCCTGACGGCGTCTCGTGAAGTTTCATATGGAACTCTGATGGCATTAGCTGCATATCTAATGGAACGTCCATCATCAATAAGTGCTACACCACGCGCAACATCCTCAGCACTAAGAGACATTTTTAAACTTAATATTGAAAAAATTAAAAGCCGTTGACTAAGAAATGTGCTGCAAGAAACAGCACTGAACTAATGATACTGAATTAACATTTTGATTCCATAGAAAGTAAACATTGGAATCTAGAATCATTTCATTGAATTAAGGATTAAGAGTTATTGTCCTCTATATTAACATTCCTAATTGAAAACAGACAAAAAGATTACCTATCTATTCATTAACAACAATAGACCAATCCAAAGCAGAAATATTTTTAGATGAAAACATGAAAAAATCAAGTGGGTGGAATTTTTTGCCTGTCAGTGTATAATATACACTTAGTTTTCTACATTTATTTGTTTAGTAGACAGAGATTCACATGTACCAAAATCAGCATTTAGTCAAAACCCAAACCAAAAAAAAAAAAAAAATTATGAAATTAACTTATTAATGTTTATTTGATGTAAAACATTTAAATAAAATATAAATAAGATCATGCCATCATCAAAAAACAGGAAAAATGCATACCTTGGGTTCAGAATAAATCTACAACTGATAGCTTCCAGATGATCAGAATCCGGAACGATTGTACTGAGTCAGCTACAGGGGACTAATGAAGCACCGACCAAGCCACAAGTCAAATGGTAAAAGCGGGACCTCTAAATTGAGTGGCGACAACCAAGGCAAGGAGGCATATATGCCGGCCACACCAGTGACCCAATTCACTGCCGGGAAGGTATATGTCCCATTCTCTTCAGTGACCCTACTCCTGACAGGAAGGCTTGTATCCTGTCCGCAGTCAAAGGGTTAATCAGGGCTGAGGCAATGCATGATAACAATTGAACAAATAATAAGACACAAAAAAAAATATTTTACATTTAGTTAGGAAATTTTATTTAATTTCCTTGGAAACATGAGATTTCCATTTTCGAGATAACGCAAGGTATAGGGTTCGCATCCACACAACCTTACGTTAATTGTAGTACTGTCATTGAATACATGTCTCATTTTGTCGAATAGAGGTCTCTATGATCGAGAGACGAGGAGTTTATATTATTTATCGATGGTGTTTTTGATCGGCAAGCCATACTATCGTTAATTCTTAACCAAATTTCAAGATTGAGCCACCAATTTCGAAGGCTTCCTTCTCCTTCAGGCGGGCAAAATAGTCCAATCACCCCAAAAATTCAGGCAAACAAGTTATGAAAGAAAACAAACTTTATTTGCGATAGAACTATCCGGGTCTTGCTGTACGCATAAAAATCTTCAAGATCCAATTTGTCCCGTATCGATCTACAGACCTACCACCGTTCAGGTATTGAAGCCTAGCAAAATGTTTGTATCGACTTCATTTATTTTTGAAAGAAAAACAAAAGTGGAGAATACGATTTGCTAATCTCCCGTGAAATTTTGAATCCAATGGTACCCCATTCATGGTATTTGAGCATGACAGGAGCTTATATCTGATACAAAACCTATTTTGAGCCTTACTGTAATAATATATGTATGGATATCATAATTATGTTTGTACAATATTATACTTAAAAATGAATATGTAGATATCCTGCATTTTGTATTTGCATTTATGTGGTATTCCCTTCTCATTTTTTTAACTTTATGGAGTTCTTATTTGATTTTCTGTTGATATCTGCGAATATTTAATACCCATATTGACAAATATGCAAAGAAAAGTTAAGTTTTCCATTTACTTTTGAGAAATTAGTAATTTTTCATTTAAAAGTTTGATATTTCTTTGTATTTCTAATATTATTTCTGTTATAGATGTTATCAGAAGCGGCTAGCTGTGATGTGGACATTATCCTGAGTGACATATTGCGCCTGAACATGGAAAATATGTTTCCTGAGGAAGAAGTCAGAGGATGGACGGAAAGGCCTCCCAATATTCATTTAATTGGCAACTTACCGTTTAATGTGGCCACTCCGCTCATAATAAGATGGTTGAAGGATATCTCTCTCAGGTTCAGTAATGTTTATTTTTATTGACATTAAAGAAATATTAGAATTAAACAAAATCGTCAAGAATTTCTGTCAGGATATTTTTATTGAATAAGCTGACGTTTCCACCTAAACATGAATGAAATGAAATGAAACGAAAAAATAATTTTATTCTAGGACTACTGTCCCCTAAGAATAATAACAGAGTTACAAATTTATGGGTCTTAGACTGACATAATAATAAAAATACGAACTAATTTACTGTTAATTATTATTTCAATTAGATTGAAATTAAACAGTGTACAGATGCAAGTAATTTTACATGTTAGGGGAAGTTTGAATGTGGGGTAGGTGTTGGAACAGGAGTTGTTTGAAGAAATTTATGGACGAGGATTGACATATGGAGGTAGGAAGTGAGTTCCATAAGGAAGCAGCACGAATGACGAAGGATTTGCTGAAGAAGGTAGTTTTATGAGAGGGGATATATAAGTCTATAGGTTGAGACCTAGTATTGAGAGAGTGGATAGAGGAGCGTAGAGTAAGGAGTTCCAGGATGTAGGGAGGGTTTTTGGTTCTGATATATTAAAAAAGAAATCACCAAGAAGGAATAGCTGTTGGGAAGTAGGATGAAGCCAACTTTAACTCTCTGTACCAGCAGGAAACATGAGAACGTCTGGGAATCCCAAAGATATATGTTATGAACCAATTTATGAGTCTCATTTTAAGCCTGGCAGACAGTCCTCCATACACCAAACAACCATGTTCCAAGTGGGGGAAAATAAGGTAGAATACAACGATTAGTCTGTTTTTTAGAGGAATACACTCATGGAATCTTAGAAATTATTTAAGGATAGTTATGGATTTTCGGGTAATCTGGAAGATATGGTTATTCTAGGAGTGGTTTTGGTTATAGGTTACTCCTAGGTTTTCGATTGCAGGGAAAAATGGATGGGGTGGTTATTGAAGTAAAGTAGATTAATGTAAGATAGAGATCTGATGAGATGTCTGGACATGATGAGAATATTCGTCTTTAACTTATTTATTTCTGCCTATCTGTTAATACAGTCAATGATGATGTGCATCTTCAGACCTTCCTAAAATGTTATTAGATTCCTTCTCTTGATCATTTTAAATATAATTTAATTTTAATGGTATATTAAACCCGTTATAGGCGAAGCGCTTGGAGGTACGGAAGAGTGGGACTAACCCTGACCTTCCAGAAGGAAGTAGCTGAGCGGCTCTCAGCGCCGATACTCTCGAAGCAGCGTTGCAGGCTTTCCTTGATGGCTCAAAACTGGTGTAGTGTCCACCACGTCTTCAACATACCTGGTAACTAAATTAATGTAAATTCCTATATACAATGAATGTAATAATAATATTTATTTATTTGTTTTCGGGGAATGCCTCATACAAATAGAGTTGGCTATAACAATGAACAAATTAATATCAAAAACATTTACAACTTATATACAAAGTAAAATTCATTAGGATTTAACAATATCCTCTCCTGATAACAACCAAGCCTAAATATAAACAATGAAATATAATATAATACCCCACATAATACAATAATTGAAAATAATATATATGAATATAGTGAGCAATAAAATGACAAATAGTAATAAATAGCACTAGTAATAAAGATAAATACAGGCATGGTATACAATATATAATATATAAACATGTCAATAGTAAATAGCAAATGGTACAATAATACGCAATATGCATATAAATATGTTTCATGCATGTATAATAAATACCAGCAGAACAAAGTAAATAAACTTCAAAGCGTTGGAAAAATATATACAATGTTACTATTCATTGAAAATAAAGACTCTTAATCTGCAACATTGTCTCGTATAATAAAACAGGTTCTTGAGGAAGACTTCTTTATCAATTTTGAATAATTCCAAATAATTCGCCCTGGTCATGTTAATGGAATGAGGTAGGAAGTGTTGGCGGAAGTGAGCATAAATCGGGATCGGACAAAAATATGAAAAAGGTATTCTAATACATTTAGGTTACAAAGCGTGCAAATTTCTTTTGGCTTGAAATAGTAATAACTATTATTAAACGTTAATTTAATATTATAATTTCCAAATAACCTAATCTGTGTTAGTGTTTTCGTCATATGGAACGGGGCATTTAATACGAGATAAGGCTGATGCTTATCACTCGCTGTATACATATTGAGATACATTGGCTGTACCTAGTAGGGGTAATCAGTTTTTGTTTATTAATTTCCTCTATATGGCTTTTAAATATGCTTATTATTTCATTCATCTCTAGCTGAATGAATATAAATATAAAATTAATGTATCACTTTATTTATTTTATGTAACAATTATATATCATCAAGTATATCTTTCCAAGAACTCTCGCATTAGATAATGTTAGAGACTAAATACTATTATAAATTTATAAGTAGTTTATAATTAATTAAATCTAGGAAATATCACGAATATGTTGTTATCTGTAAATGTTGATATTACATGAAGTATTACAGCTAAGCTTAACCCTTACGAAGTACAACATTCTATAGCTGGACCAGCTCCGAGAAATAACTCATGTGGGATGAGCGTCAAAGCACCTACCCTATGGTCCTGCAGGTCTGTTCATCTTCACTGGACAGTTTTCCTCAGCCACAATTTCGTCTTTCATCATCAGCCCTTATTTCGCACATAGACAGCGTAAAACAATGCGTACAAACATTTTAATTAGACAAACTGAAGATTTCATTTAATTATTTTTACTTTCACTTACCTATATATGAAATATATATTAAGGGAAAGCATTAGTCTGTGTGTGTGCTTAACAATTACCTCAAAAACGAAAAGGCATATGAAAGTGAAATTGCATATTTAAGGTTTGTATATGCCTAGGATGTTACAGCAACTTTTTTTTTTCAAAATCAGCTAACCAGAAGTAGCATTTTTTATCATCAATTTAACACATTTTTACGATTTTCTCAAAAACGGCTTTAACGATTTTGATTAAATTCATTATATCAGTATAAAATTAAGCAGTTTTTAGTATAATGAAGGTTTTATTCTCATTGATGTTCTCTAACAAGGCTTAAATGCCTAATTTTCAATATTTCTTTCTCTAAAGTACCTTTATTTGAAATAATTAACCATTTCAGATTTAACTCTGATATAAAAAGTAATTGAATATAAAATATGTAGGAATTTTATAATTAACTAAAGGAGAAATAAGAGATTATAACAGAGAATTGGTGTTAGAAAGTAGCCAAAGAAATACGAGCTCGCCCAAGCTCACCCAAGAGATTAGAATAGGCTTCCATACTTAACATGAGCTTAATATAATACGGACTGTGACAATGTTAAGTATATAAACATAAATGCTATTGTTTGTATTATTTAATATTTAATTGTATAGATTACAGTAATATAAAATTTAAAATTTGTATATATTTCGGTACTTAAACAAATAAAAATACCCACTATGAAATATAAATAATTATAGTGGCTTAAAAATATTTCTTGACTCTTTATTATTGTTTATAATCATATAAATAATTGAAATAAACAGCCCTAAAAGGAAATGGCTATGGTCAAACAAAATAGATATAATATACTAGACTGCTATGAAAAACATATGGTAATTAATTGTAGAACTGAAAACTTCTTTAGGCGCGTTTTGCACTTTTTTTGTAGAGAGTGAATTAGATTGAGCCGTCACATCTCCGATGTGTAATGTTCAGGTTAAGTCGGCTGGATTCGACTAATTGGAGTCTTATTGCAAATGGATTAAAATATCTTGAAAACTAAAAATCAGACAGACATATTGTTTACTTGGGAACTGTTCATCGTTTCATCCTCTTTATAATAAGCTATTATTTAAAATTGCATCTTGAGGTGACGCCGTGTACGAGAGGCGAAAAAGAAAAAATTGTGTCGAAAACCAAATGATAACAAGTTTTATTGATGATACGGATTAAAATATCTCAGAAACTAAAAATTGGACCTACATACTGTAAGCAAGGAAATTTTTCAGCATTTTATCCTCTCTATAATGGGCAATAATTTATAATTTATATTTCGTATTATTAATCTCGTCTTGTTGATGTTTTCACCTCTATCATGTGGTCTAAAGCACACACTGTTTTGTACCATCTATAATTTTTACTTTCGTTTCCCTTTGTCTGAAGAAACTTATTTCTGCTAAGGAGAGGGTGATAAATGAAAGTTGTGTGATGTGTAAACAGTACAAGATTTTTTTTGTAACAATATTGTAAGTTATTTTATTCCATCTCTATTTTTTTTAATATGAATAAAACATTTTATTTTCCTTTTAAAATGATTATTTGCTTTGTTCAGTCTATTTAAATATTAGGAGTTTGGAATTCCAAACGAATGATATTAGTAAAAACATTTTTAATTATTATCAAGGAAGTCTGTGTACCACATGTAATTGATGAAGCTCCGCCTTTCATGACTATGTTGAAGTAATAGTTTCTTCAATAAGTAATTAGCTTCCTCTATTGAAAAATATCTCTTCAGTTAAACAATAAGACTCAGCTATAAACTAATCTACAATATACACAGAAGCTGCAGAAAAAGTTACGAGGGTCGGTATAATTAGATTTCCAAAAAACTCTAAAAGTACACACTTTTGTTCACGAATAGTTCTAAAAAAAAATTATTGAATTCAGATAATTTGGAGCAAAGATATGGAATTCTAGATATTTTTCATATGTTCTACTGCAAAGGTTATATTCTTTGTTTTGGTTTTTGAAATTGTTACTGAAGTGAAGCTATTCTTCTTCGCAAATTACCAATGATGAAAATAAAAATATTTAGGTCAATAATAGGAATTATCTTTTCTTTATTTTTCTGTATGTTAGCAGTAAGGTAATGTTACTTTAGATGTATAATTGTTTGGAAATAATAATAAACCATTGTATAATAATTTGTAGCATTTACGATATGGATTCATTTAAATGACTTCATAGTGAATTTATTTTTCTTTTTTTTTAGGTAAGGCATTCTTACCCAAACCTGATGTAGATGTGGGTGTTGTTAAGTTGGTTCCGTTGATTTCTCCAGTCTGTGATTATGAATTTCATCTTGTGGAAAAGGTCTGTAGGGTCCTATTCTCTGGTCGCCAAAAATATATCTTAAAGACAGCGAGGTGAGTAGTATAATTCATTTGTAGTGTTATGTTCGGACGTTAATAATTATTGCATGGATATGGATTTACGCAATATTTGGATTTACGATTTGACTTTGAAATTTACATGAATTTTCAATTTTTATTTGTCATTGAATATTAGGTTTTAATAACAAAAACACAAAAAAGCGTTAAAGAAAAGTGATCCAAATGGAGCTACGTCACAATATTAACACCAAGGCCTGCATTTTTATGCTATTGCATATTTTGTTCACATGCAATTTTTAGATTGCTGGTCGGATATCTTTAAAAATCAGTGTACCCAGATGCAATTACTCAAATTCTATACTTCATATTTTTACATATTTGATGAAAAATTTAAATGATTTCAAATACAAATAATAATAATAATTACAAATAATAAATTAAAATGACACATTGAAGATGAAATTCCATAATACGATCGTCGGTTGATTTTCAATCAACAAATAAGAACAAAATTCATAATTGGTAATTGGTTGACTGTCGTGGATAATGAAGAGAAGAATAGTTGGGGTGCTCAGTCAAAAAAGGAAGGCAAAAATAAATTATAATATTTATTTTTTACATCTGCCGACGTTTCGACCTGAAGTTCAGGCCATCATCAGGGCTAAGAAAATAACCAGATAACAAGGTATGAGAAACTTAAGTAATGATGGTAAAAAAGATAATAACAAAAAAAAAAAAAAAAAAAAAAATGAGAAAATAAAATAGATTAGATCTAGATAAAATAGATCTAGATAAAAGAAAAATAAAATAGATAGATATAAAGTAAAATAAAATTGTTAGAATAATGACTAAGAACTAAGAGATAAATAATACAGACTGTTACATAGCGTGGAATGATGAAGTAGGCATAATCAAAAAGGGGGTGACAATAGTGTTACATTGGGAATCTTAGAATAAAATGTAAAAACATAAAAAAGAAATATAAAGTTATATAAGAAATGAGAATAAAATAAATAGTAAAAAGAAAACATTGAGAATGGAGTAGTTTGATAGAAAATTGAGATATTGTAAAGTCTATCAAGATGTACAGACAATGTATAATATAATAGAGAGTTAACAACAGAGAAAAGGAATGAAAGGAAGGAGGGAAGAAATTGAGAAAGCTGAAATAAGAAAGAAATAAAAGAAGTAGTACCTTTCTCCTGAAATGTCAAAGTGAGAATGAAGTCGTTACAAAGAAGGTGGAGAGAGAAGGGATGTGGAGGTGGCGTCATCTGTAACGGTTATCGGACGAAGCTAGAACTAGAAGAATGCTAGTAGAAGCCTAAATAGTTACGAGAGATATATTATGTAGAAAAATTATGGAATATTGAACGAAAGTTAATAGAAAGTGAAAGTGAATATATATATATGTATATATATATATATATATATATATATATATATATATATATATATATATATATATATATATATATATATATATATATATATATATATATATATAAGGGAGTTGTCAGCAAAAAGGAAAGGAATATAACTATGGATGTTTTAATAAATTCAGAATTTGGCTATAGGTTAGAGAAAAGTTGTTTTTGTCAGCTTTAAGATTCACTGTCTTTGGTTGAAGCTGGATGTGGAGGGTTTCTGAAATGAGTCGTTTGTCATGGTTGAGAACTGTGGCAAGGATGGATGTTTTGTCGAAGTCAAATGAATGATTGAGGGAGAGAGAATGTTCGGATAATTTGGAAGCGGTGAAATTACGAGAGGATACAGAATATTTATGTTGGGTTATGCGGTCTTTTAGGAGATTTTTGGTTTCACCAATATAGGATGAAAAACAATTGGGGGTAGAACATGGAATACGGTAAACGATATGAGAGCGGTGTGAGAGAGGAAGAGGATCTTTTAGGGATGTGTATAATTTCGAGAGAGTGTTGTGAGATTTGAATGCAAGTCGTAAGTTAGGGTTAGTGGATCGTAAAACTTTGTTGATGTTGTCTGAAAGGTTAGGAATGTAAGGTAGAGATCTGTATATAGGGGCTGAAATGGGTTGTGGAGAATTAGAGAAAGTTGAGATTAAGGAAGAGCGATTATTGTGGTCCGTTATAAGTTTGTTAATGACATGGAGAGGAAAATTATTGTTTGACAGGATCTGTTTTATGCGTTTGGTATTGGTAACATGAAATTGGGGATCAGAGAGGGAGAGACTACGGTGGATGAGGTTTTTCGCAACGTTAATTTTTTGGTGGTAGGGATGTTTGGAATGGAAATTTAGGAGTCTGCCAGTGTAAGTTGGTTTGGTGTACCAGTCTGTGGATATGGTGTTATTGGGATTTTTAATGATTAGAAGGTCGAGAAAAGGGAGAGAATTATTGAGTTCGCGTTGTACTGTAAAATTGAGGCGGGGGTGGTAAGAGTTAAAATGTGATAGAATATCAGGAATTTTGTTTGGATTGATGATTAGGAGGAGGTCGTCTACGTATTTCCGAATAAAGATGATGTCGTCAGGGTAAAGAGGGATAATGGTGTCTAGAAGATCATTGAGAACGATGTTCGAGATGTCGGGAGCGAGGGGGTTACCCATTGCTAGTCCAGAGATTTGGTTAAAAAATTGTCCTTGGAAAGTGAGGTAGCCTGATTTACAGCATAGATGAAGGGATTCGAGATATGAGGAGCGGTTAAGTGAGGTGTGAGGTTCAATGATGGTCCAATTGTCGTCTATTATAGTAAGTGCCTTGTCTATGGGTATGTTCGTAAATAAACTTTCAACATCGAAGGAGCAGAGAATAAAATTGTCTGGAATGGTAAAGGAGAGTAGCTGTTCACGGAGATGGAATGAGTTTTGTATATCATAAGGGTTGTTGTGGCTGAAGATTTGTAGGGAAGGTAGTAAGAATTTGCTAAGTTTAACAGAAGGAGAATTAATGTTGGAAGTGATCGGACGGAGTGGGGTGCCGGGTTTGTGGATTTTAGGAAGTCCATAAAAACGGGGAGCAACTGAATTGTAGGAGATAAGGTTTCTGTAAGTAGGATAGTTTATGAGTTTTGAATTTAGAAGATTTTTTAGGTGTAGGTTAAATTTGGTTTTTAATGATGAGGTAGGATCACGGGATGTGGGAGAGTAAGTGGAACGGTCTGATAGGAGTAAAGTCATTTTGTCAGTGTATTCTGTACGGTCCATAATTACAGTTTTGTTGCCTTTATCAGCTTTGGTTATGATTATATTATCGTGGGATTTTAAGAAGGATCGGGTAAAAGAGAGGTCTTTGAAAAATTCAGGAGAAAAAGAAGAAGAGGAGAGCGGTGGGTGTAAGAGATAATTGGAAATAATGTTGCAGATGGAAGCGCGTGACAACTCCTTATTTTCTTTTGCCTTCCTTTTTTGACTGAGCACCCCAACTATTCTTCTCTTCATTATCCACGACAGTCAACCAATTACCAATTATGAATCTATCCACACGGGGCCAACGACCAGATAACAACCGTCTTTCTTCTCATCTCCGAACTAGACATCAAAATCATTCTAGAGCTCCGCAGTCACCAGCAGCAACTTTTTTGCCACGCCCACCTAGCCACCATTCACCTTCTTCAACTCCGGCCAGTACCTCATCTCGCGTCAACACTTCATCTCCGGCCATCACTTTTTCTCATGCCAACTCTTCTTCTTCATCTACAGCTCTTCAAGCACTTGATGTACTACCCTCCACCCAACCTCATACATCTTTTTCCTTATTGAAGTCTACCTACCCTCATCTTAAATCACGCATCAACAACCTGTGTCACCTTCATCAACGTCTTGCTAATAGCACCCAACATCGTATATTTCTTCTCAAATGCCGTTCTTATTCCATATTTCCTAAATTCATAGAAAACTCTTTTAACCGCTTTTCAATATCACCTCCGTTCAACTCTAAATTATTAAATTCCTCCTTTAAATTTAAAAAATCTTTGCTTAACCTAAAAATTCGTGAAACCATTCAAAATATTAATTTTCTCCATAAGCAAATTTCTGTTCTCACCCAATTTTTTGTTCATAACATCACCCAAGAAGACGTTAATAATCTCTCCCTTTGCATTTCCAATATCTTTAATTCCACTAAAGCACAGAAGAAACTTATATTAATTTCCAAGTTTAATAATTTGTACCAGGCCACTCTCAAAACCAAGGTTTATCCTGCAGGAAAAGAAGAATGGGTGGACAATATTTCCTCCACTGACATCCCTTCCAAAGTCACTAATATTTTAAGTTTAGGACCTAATTTTTCCACACCCAACACTTCTGTCAAAATCATTCCACAACTTATCACTGATCTCGAATATATTTACGCAGACGACTTTTTCACCACTTCAAAAGAAAATAAGGAGTTGTCACGCGCTTCCATCTGTAACATTATTTCCAATTATCTCTTACACCCACCGCTCTCCTCTTCTTCTTTTTCTCCTGAATTTTTCAAAGACCTCTCTTTTACCCGATCCTTCTTAAAATCCCACGATAATATAATCATAACCAAAGCTGATAAAGGCAACAAAACTGTAATTATGGACCGTACAGAATACACTGACAAAATGACTTTACTCCTATCAGACCGTTCCACTTACTCTCCCACATCCCGTGATCCTACCTCATCATTAAAAACCAAATTTAACCTACACCTAAAAAATCTTCTAAATTCAAAACTCATAAACTATCCTACTTACAGAAACCTTATCTCCTACAATTCAGTTGCTCCCCGTTTTTATGGACTTCCTAAAATCCACAAACCCGGCACCCCACTCCGTCCGATCACTTCCAACATTAATTCTCCTTCTGTTAAACTTAGCAAATTCTTACTACCTTCCCTACAAATCTTCAGCCACAACAACCCTTATGATATACAAAACTCATTCCATCTCCGTGAACAGCTACTCTCCTTTACCATTCCAGACAATTTTATTCTCTGCTCCTTCGATGTTGAAAGTTTATTTACGAACATACCCATAGACAAGGCACTTACTATAATAGACGACAATTGGACCATCATTGAACCTCACACCTCACTTAACCGCTCCTCATATCTCGAATCCCTTCATCTATGCTGTAAATCAGGCTACCTCACTTTCCAAGGACAATTTTTTAACCAAATCTCTGGACTAGCAATGGGTAACCCCCTCGCTCCCGACATCTCGAACATCGTTCTCAATGATCTTCTAGACACCATTATCCCTCTTTACCCTGACGACATCATCTTTATTCGGAAATACGTAGACGACCTCCTCCTAATCATCAATCCAAACAAAATTCCTGATATTCTATCACATTTTAACTCTTACCACCCCCGCCTCAATTTTACAGTACAACGCGAACTCAATAATTCTCTCCCTTTTCTCGACCTTCTAATCATTAAAAATCCCAATAACACCATATCCACAGACTGGTACACCAAACCAACTTACACTGGCAGACTCCTAAATTTCCATTCCAAACATCCCTACCACCAAAAAATTAACGTTGCGAAAAACCTCATCCACCGTAGTCTCTCCCTCTCTGATCCCCAATTTCATGTTACCAATACCAAACGCATAAAACAGATCCTGTCAAACAATAATTTTCCTCTCCATGTCATTAACAAACTTATAACGGACCACAATAATCGCTCTTCCTTAATCTCAACTTTCTCTAATTCTCCACAACCCATTTCAGCCCCTATATACAGATCTCTACCTTATATTCCTAACCTTTCAGACAACATCAACAAAGTTTTACGATCCACTAACCCTAACTTACGACTTGCATTCAAATCTCACAACACTCTCTCGAAATTATACACATCCCTAAAAGATCCTCTTCCTCTCTCACACCGCTCTCATATCGTTTACCGTATTCCATGTTCTACCCCCAATTGTTTTTCATCCTATATTGGTGAAACCAAAAATCTCCTAAAAGACCGCATAACCCAACATAAATATTCTGTATCCTCTCGTAATTTCACCGCTTCCAAATTATCCGAACATTCTCTCTCCCTCAATCATTCATTTGACTTCGACAAAACATCCATCCTTGCCACTGTTCTCAACCATGACAAACGACTCATTTCTGAAACCCTCCACATCCAGCTTCAACCAAAGACAGTGAATCTTAAAGCTGACAAAAACAACTTTTCTCTAACCTATAGCCAAATTCTGAATTTATTAAAACATCCATAGTTATATTCCTTTCCTTTTTGCTGACAACTCCCTTATATATATATATATATATATATATATATATATATATATATATATATATATATATATATATATATATATATATACATATATATATATATTCACTTTCACTTTCTATTAACTTTCGTTCAATATTCCATAATTTTTCTACATAATATATCTCTCGTAACTATTTAGGCTTCTACTAGCATTCTTCTAGTTCTAGCTTCGTCCGATAACCGTTACAGATGACGCCACCTCCACATCCCTTCTCTCTCCACCTTCTTTGTAACGACTTCATTCTCACTTTGACATTTTAGGAGAAAGGTACTACTTCTTTTATTTCTTTCTTATTTCAGCTTTCTCAATTTCTTCCCTCCTTCCTTTCATTCCTTTTCTCTGTTGTTAACTCTCTATTATATTATACATTGTCTGTACATCTTGATAGACTTTACAATATCTCAATTTTCTATCAAACTACTCCATTCTCAATGTTTTCTTTTTACTATTTATTTTATTCTCATTTCTTATATAACTTTATATTTCTTTTTTATGTTTTTACATTTTATTCTAAGATTCCCAATGTAACACTTTTGTCACCCCCTTTTTGATTATGCCTACTTCATCATTCCACGCTATGTAACAGTCTGTATTATTTATCTCTTAGTTCTTAGTCATTATTCTAACAATTTTATTTTACTTTATATCTATCTATTTTATTTTTCTTTTATCTAGATCTATTTTATCTAGATCTAATCTATTTTATTTTCTCATTTTTTTTTTTTTTTTTTTGTTATTATCTTTTTTACCATCATTACTTAAGTTTCTCATACCTTGTTATCTGGTTATTTTCTTAGCCCTGATGATGGCCTGAACTTCAGGTCGAAACGTCGGCAGATGTAAAAAATAAATATTATAATTTATTTTTGCCTTCCTTTTTTGACTGAGCACCCCAACTATTCTTCTCTTCAAGAACAAAATTGTTATTTAAAATTAGAATTAAAAATGTATATATTTTTTAAACTCTACTATTATTCTAAGGGGACCCAGAAGAAAATTATATGTAAAATATATAAATTATTTATTGTTAATGTGCTGACAAATTTATATATGTTAATTCTTTTTTTAACTTTTTTATTAAAAAATATTATAATCTGTCTCAGTTACGGACACTTATAATAGAGTTCAGAGAGCACATTCACACCATATATACAGAAACATAAATAAATAAAGTAATAACAAAAGAATTGAGAAATAGTGAAATAGATTGTTGTGGAGTTTTTCCCTACCTCACCTTTTATGGTATACGGGATTTTCTCGGACTGGGAGGTGAGGGCGGGGAATTTAAAATCCCCTCCGGTATCAGGACGTGAACTCGTACTTTTTAATCTCTCAAATCTGTCATCCGGTTGCCAGGCTACTCGTGGTGCTGTGCACACGCTTTAGCCTATTAGACCACCCCAAAAATTGTTGTGAAGTATAAAGGGTTGTTTACATGGGCGCCAACTAATAATGGGGCTTGAGCCCTCCCCCCTCCAATGTTGCCATGGTAACCCCCCAAGGAATTGCTATAGTATGAACTTCATAAACATATCGATAGTATACATTACAATTCCATTACAAATGACTTTATCTATCTAATAGAATTTGTTTAGCGGGGTCCTGTTCTAGAATCACAAATGCAACTACACTATAAAAGGTATCATCTATTGAAATGCTATACTGTTTTAGTTTAAAGTATTTAGTGTGGCAACACTTTTTTTCTCAACAGGGCGGGCTTGAAACGACTTGATACCTGCCTGAGTCGATAATTTTTCATAAAGGTATATATTATATATTGTATACGGGCATATAGGATATATTCCAGATAATATACCTATCCTCTCATGCCCTTCACCCCGTGATCCTATAGTTTGCCGCTCCTCTTCCTCCCAATAATTTTCATAAATCGGCATCTATGGTTGTTGTCTCAGAATAAAATTATATTGAATAATTATAAATCTTTGAAAACTTAATATAAATAATTTTATGTGAAATTAAAAGTTATTTTTCATGTTAAACTTAATCTACCTTCTCTTTTCTGAGAATAAATCTTGGAATTGGTAATTTTTTACTTTATTTATTCATTTTTTTCATGTTAAATTTACTTTATCTTTTTTTAAAATTATTATAATTTTTTAGTAATATAGTAATTTTTTTGTTTTTGTTTGATTTCAGTCTCCTATTTCCACTAACTTTAAGAGAAACTCTTGCTGAGAGATTATTGAAAGAGGCAAATATACCACCTCAGACTAGAGCTATTCAGGTATCTTCAATGTTTATTATTGATAACCAAATGAACAAGTTTAAAAAAAAAATAAATAAAAATGAAGAAGACCAACATAATTGATAGGGATGAATAATTATTTCAAAATTTCCAAATTTTATGAAGCGGAATAAATCTTTGAAGTATAATGGCTTATATATTCCTTCAAGATACCATATTTAACAAATTGTATCATTTACTACAGCTAAATCTCTATATTTCAAACTTGAGGGTTCCTTAAAAAATCAATATGCAAAAAGATTGTACTTTTACATCCTCATGTTAAAAAAAATTACAATTATTTTATAAGGGTCAAAGAAGTATTGGGTTGACCGGAAAATAATGTAGGATTTCAGTTTGAGAGGAAATTTTTACAGCTGTTTTATTTAATCAAAATAGTTTCCCCTACTATCAATACATTTCTGCCAAGGTTTTGGCAACTTTTCCATTCCCTCAGAATATAATTTCCCATAATTTTCTAATTCTCTTAGTCCATTAAATCTTTTGTCACGTAAGTAGTAGTCCAGGTGCCTACAAAAATTATAATCCGTTGGCGAGAGGTCTGGAGAGTAGTGTGGATGGGGGAGAGTTTCACATCCAAGCTCAAACAGTTTTTGTGACATCACATGTGAGACATGTAGTCGGGCATTTTCATGTAACAAGATGGGCCCCTTCCGATTGACCAAAGATGGCTTTATTATTGCCAATTTCTGATGCATGGCATTAATTTGGATACAATATGATTCAGCAATGATGGTTTCTCCAGGATTTAAGAAGCTGTAGTGTAAAAATCAAACCAAATGAAGCCAACCAAATACTAACTATCACCTTTTTTTGATGTGTTGGGAGTTTTTGAAAATGTTCTGATGCTTCTCTTTCGTCGAGTCACTGTCCAGAACGACTACTATTATTTTAAAGTATCCACTTTTCATCACAAGTAACAATTCTGGACAGAAAAGGGTCATATTTGTTTTGGAAAAGAAGTGTAACACAAACTTCATAACGCTGTCTTTTTGGCAGTCTTTTAACTTGTGCGGAATCCAATTTTCAGGCTTTTTAACTTTACAATCGCCTTGAGATGGTCATTGATGGTCGATTTGCTAATGTTAAGTTTCTCTGCAAGTTCTTGAACAGTTGTTCTGGTATTTTCTTCAAGGGAGAAAGTCCTTCCACGACCTTTGTCTCCAAGGTGGAAAGGGAAGTCTCCCTGCCGAAATTTTTTGAACTATCGTTGAACACTGCTGTTCTCATCACAGACTTGATTGATGTTTATGAATGGATGGACTCCATTCATGCCGAGTTTAATAAACTCATAAAACAAAATTAGATGAAAATCACACGTTGATATCTTAGTAAATACTGAATTATTTCTAAGCAGTGAAATTCTACAGAGGTAAACAAACATTATCGTTTGGAAGAGGATTGATAAGTGTTGACATTCATACGAGTAATAATCCAGTAAACGTAAACAGTTTGTTATATAGAGGGGTATTTTAAAGAAAATTAAAATCCTGCATTATTTTCTGGGCTACCTAATATTAAAAGATTTCTTTTTTAAATTAAATATCACTACTGCTTCACCAATATTTATCATATTTAATTTTCAATCATTAATCCTTAATTTCCAATCCTTAATCATAAAAAAATTTTAACATAAAGAAGAATGTTCAAAAAGTAAAGGGAAATTTCACATTTTACAGCCTATATTAATTGGATTCGGGCAGTATTTTGTAGTTACGTTGGTGAACTTATCTTAAATCCATCTGTACACTTAGTACAGGGTTTCCACTTGGGTGAAAAAATTCCAAGGTTGGGAGAGAAAAGAAACAATTTTTATCACTTAAAGCCTTTTTTTTCTTTCTATTTTTTAAATAATTCAACTAAAATATATATAAAATATGTAGTTATATATAATATTATGGATTACATTGTATATATTTGGGCAAAAGGGGTTTTTAAGTTCACTCTGAGGAAAAAAAAAGAAGGGAGAATCTGGTTTCAAACGACAACACCATTCTTTTTTGTCATATATTATTATATATTATACATATATATTAAATGAAAATTACATTAGTATTTGTGTATAAAAGGCATATGGTTATTATTTTTAATGAAAATGAATAAATTATCAAATTTAGTTGTTATTGTTTTTATCAAAATTGTCTGAAAAATTTAATATTAAATTTTAACATCTTAATAATTCAATTGTAATTTTTGTAAACTTTTGATAATGTATGTCATAACTAAAGTATTTTTTTTTACATCTTTATATTTTATCCTGCTTTTACCATCACTAGTTTTAATATTTATTCCATTCCATTTGATATTTATACCAACTTTTCTTTCACATTTAAATATTATTGTTTAAGAGTCATATTCACAGTGCAAAAGAAATGAAACAAAACTGAATTTAAAGTGAAAATTTCACACTATTGTAATATTTGTTCATTGCTATTTGGACACCAAATCTAATATTTAAATTTTTAGACATTTTGGATTAAAAATAATAACTAAATTTAACAATTTATTCATTTTCATTAAAAATGATAACCATATGCCTTGTATACGCAAATACTAATGTAATTTTCACTTAACAATGTATGGCCCTGCGCGGCCAATCCATTGATTGCGATATGGCATATGATTGAGCAAGTCCGGTCAATGACCTTAATTCCTTATAAAAAAGGGTAATTGAATGTTGTGAAACAATAACACATATCTAGTGCCGTTCTGCCACTGCTGCTGTTGAAGAAAGATGCCAAGCCTGTCTTAATGCTCAAGGAAATCACTTTAAACAACATTTAATATGAATGTTAATGTTTACATTTAATTCATAAAGTAGTTAGAACAAATAGATAGGTTTTATTTATTTCATATAACGTAAATAATTCATAACAACGAAAATCTTTAGTTGTGAATATCTCCTGAACAAAGTGTTACCTTACATACATACATACCTTCAGAGGAGATTTTGTTCTTATTTTGTGATCCTTAGTTCATTTTTGTAGTTTGTTTTAAAGCCTAAATTCTTCCTCCATAATGGTCTATCTGATGCAAAAATAATTTTTCTAATCAAACTTGTAATTTCTGAAATTACAACCTAGTTTAGGTTAAATATAATAATTTTTGTTTACACAGGTGACTCTCCCAGAGGTGGGAAGGATCATCAAAGCTTACAACGGTATCATATCGGAACAACCATCACTTGCTAGCTACAACTTCAGGAACCGTGATGACGTTGAAGTAGATTAGTTGTGCCTTTTTGTTATTTTTATTTTCTGTTACCTTAAGATTTAATTATATTTTGTAAAAATATAACTTATAATGACCTTAAATGGAAGTTATGGAGGTCCTTGGCTGAATGTAGTATTGTATTTTTAATGAGCTATTAAGATTAATTGTATAATAAATTGATTTAATATTTTATTTTATATGTTGTTCAATTTATTTTAATTAATACTTGATTTATCTTTCCTTTCTCTCGCAAGTAATGGTTATCCAAAAAACTTTAAAATAATCAATATTCTTCTGTATTATTTGGTTTGATATTAAGCAATTTCGATATATTTACAATTTTCTAATAATGAATTGAAAAATTAATCTATTCTGAGACACTCAGTATCCTAAGAATAACAAAATTTAAAGTTTAACAGCATTTTCCTGGTTGTATTATTTGTCTGGAACTTACTTACTTCTGAAAGACAAATAAATCTCTAAAATGAGACATCAAAAATACCTTAAGTGACATATTAGAATTTTTTTTATCCAAAACATGGAGAACTTAAGACTTACCATAATTTTTAAGAAAATATTTTATTAAACTACTTGGGTAACAAGTATACTTGTAATGCATTCAATTTGTGTAATTTATTTAAAAAATCTTATAAATTTGAGGGAGACATAGAGGTTAAAACCTATGATGAATTCAAATGGAATGACTTAAAGCGAATCGAGTGGAATAGTCAGATTGAAGTGAGCATTATGCTAAAGGAAGGAGATGAGTTAGGAATGGCTTTAATAAATTTGAATGAGCCTGAAGTCAAGAGTGTGTAGTAGATGGACCTTATTCTATGGGCAAATAAGTTATCTTCTAAGAAGCCTCCACATCAGAAATGAAAACGCCCAGGTCACAAATAAAGGAGTTGTTGGACAATACCTAAATAAAATTTGAATACTTAATGGTTGACCCTAATAAATAATTGAAGAAGGAGATGGTCTTGGGTGATGGTCATAAAAAGACTCACAATAGTGAAAAAAATATTTTATTTCAAGCCGATATTTCGACCCAATGATGCATTTCATTCTTCAGTTCTAGAATGAACAAAATAAATAGGATAAAGAGAATTGTGGGAGTTACATGAAATATGTATAAAAATGTTAAATGGATCTAATAACAAAGTAAAAAGATTAAGTATCGCTTAGTATACAGAGTAATTGAAGAATACTACACATAATAAATGAAGAGTTACTAAGATAAACTTAGTTATCCTTCATTTACTCTGTTTAGTTTAGTTCATTTATTATGTTTAATTAGTTAAACTTCATTCATATGCTTACTTAATTATACTTCATTTCAAGAATTTAATTTTGGGAGTAGAGGGAAGTTCAGTCCGAAAGCTCTTTTTATATATATAACAGTAATACGTAAGTCAATTTTTTTTTTTTTTTTTTTTTTTTTTTTTTATTTTTTTTTTTATGAGACATGATAATATTTTACCATTTTGGGAAAGTACTTCAGCACGAAAGCCCCACCCCCATAGATCCAACAATGTTTCATTTAATCTTTTTACCTTGTTATTAGATTCCTATAATATTTTTATATAATTTCTATTCATACTGTTTATAATTTTCATGTAAATCCCATAATCCTCCATATCCTTATTAGGTCCATTTAATATTTTTATATACTTTCTATTCATACTGTTTGTAATTTTCATTTAACTCCCACAATTCTCTATATCCTTATTTATCTTGTTCTTTCTAGCCCTGAAGAAGACCTCAATCGTTGAAGTTGTTTTTATCCTACTTCCCGATGACAATTCCTTCTTGGTGTTTTCCTTTTCCAAGTCCTCAGAACCAAAAACCCTCCCTACATCCTGGAACTCCTAACTCTACATTCCTCTATCCACTCTCTTAATACCAGGTCTCAACCTATAGATTTATATATTCCCTCCCATAAAACTACTTCCTTCAGCAAATCCTTCGTCATTCCTGCTACTTCCTTTTGGAACTCTCTTCCTACCTCCATATGTCAATTCTCATCCTCAAATTCCTTCAAACAACTCCTGTTCCACCATCTACTCCACATTCAAACTTCCGCTATGTTAAATTACTTGTATCGCTATATTGTGTAATTTCAACTATAATTTCAATAAGCAGTATATTAGCTTGTATTTTTTATTATTTTAAGCCAGACTAATATCTATAAATTTGTAACACTGTTATTATTCTAAGGGGACAATAGTCCCAGAATAAAATTATTTTTTTCATTTCATTTCATCATTGGGTCCAAACGTCAGCTTGAAAAAAAATGTTGTTTTTTTCTCACTATTTTAAGCCTTTTTATGACCACCATCCCCGACCATCTCTTTCTTTAACTAAATGAATGTTCAATATTGAAAATTTTAGCCAGCTCTAAAGCTCACCTTACACGGCCAATATTCTTGAACGTACATAGTAAAAGTGTCATTATAATTGTTACAATATATCCCTCAGACGGTCAATATATTCGATATTGATTCAATAATATTGAATTGCTTTCGATGAAATTGATCTTTAGGACTATGAGATTGATTTATTCATGATATAAGACTTATTAATGGCTTATGAAACTGTTTTAAATCCCATTAAATATATTTTTTATACGTTTCCTGGTAGGAGTTATCTAAAAAGATAAGTTGTATAATTACATAATCCAGACCCTATTACACAATCAAATTTTTCGTTAGTTTCATCCCGTTCTTAAATAGCGATTTTACTATAGCTATAAAGTCTTTTCATACTAATTATATCATGAAGAATTATTATTTTAAGTAAGTAAAATTTTTTTATTATTTATTAATTATTACTTTTTCGATCTAGGGTTAAAGGCAGTAGGTTTCACCGTGTTTACTTCCTAACCTGTCGTAATTTTAAAGTTCGTAACTGTCGTCACGTTATTGTGTTGTAGTGAACGTTTTTCATTAATATTCTGTTAGTTTCATGTCTGCCGACAATGTCAACTGCTCTGTTGAAAAAAAGTTTGGAATTAGTTGATACAGAATTCGTTAGGAATAGTAAAGGTATTTTGGTGTTAGACTTAACAATTATTTCTTTTTAAAACTCATTGCGTTATTGTAGTTTTATTGTATGTTATATTTTCAGTTCACAGGCGTAAAAATAGAGAGAAAAAGGTCTACACCGAATTGAAACTAAAAAATAAAAACAAGAAACACAAAGAGACAAGAAGTATTGCAGATGTCAAACAGGGGAATTTGAATTCAGTTGAGAAAATTCGAAAACAGTTAAAAAAGAAAAACGTTAATGATAGTTACAAGAAAAAATTGAAATTACTGCATACACCTCCAAGCAGAAAACTTGTTGAACAGGTAGTTTAAATAATTTTGTTTGCTATTATTTTACAAATATATATTCGTGTCTTGTGAGAAATTACAAATCAAAAAGTTTAAATTAAGAGCATTCATTCATTACTGGCACAACAGAGGCATGTAGCGGTCCTTTGCCCAGTCATCCCTGTTGGCTCGACCTCATGGATATACCATTTTTTCTCAAATCTTCTTTCACATTGTCTATCCATCTTGCCTTCGGTCTTCCCCTAGACCTAACTCCCTCTGGCTTCTCCTGATAACGCCTTCTCGCTGTCCTCGCTTCATCCATTCTCAGGACATCTCCTAACTATTTCATTCGTTGCACTCGAGCAAATTGGGAGATAGGCAGATTACCGTACATTGAGTATACCTCCTTGTTTGTTCTCAAGCAGAGTAGTCCTTCCTCCAGTTTAGGTCCTATTATCCATCTTAGTATTTTCCTTTCAAACCGATCTATTCGTTCAGCAGATGCCTTTGTTAGAGTCCATGTTTCACACACATATGGTGCAACTGGCCGAATAATCGTTCTGTATATCCTAAACTTCGTTGTACGACAACAATCTAAATTAACAGCATTACTGATCATTATTCTTTCATATCAAATCAATGGTTTCAGGCTCTGTATTGAACAATTAGTATGTATCAATAAAATATAGTTCGACTGCGATTAGTCGGCAACCCAAAGGTGAATTCATGCTGCACAATATTGGAACATTTTATTGTTTTCTCTCTGTTATTACTTACATAATGTTTACAAATATAAACACTTATTGCAAGGTGATATTGTTACCTAATTTATGTATACATTTGTAAATATTTTTCAAATAATATCAAATAGTTAGGGTAAAAAAAAAATGTTTTTCAACATTGTAATACGAGTTCACCCCGGGGCTGGCTACTATAGAATATTACTATCAAACTAAAGAATGTAAAGTTATCTCAATAAAACTTATTCTTAATGAATTTATTCATTAATGTATCTATTTATTAATATCAATGAGTAAATATATAATGGTGCCACGTCTGGTTGATATGTCCAACAAAATCACAAGAGTGCTACTGTACATGTGTTACTCCTCTTTGATATATGACATAAGATTTCATGATCACACCATAAATATAATCCCAAGAATAGCCGAGTGTATCTGAAAGTAAACGGAAGTGACCGACCGTCTAATAAGGCCCGCACTTCAACTGACAATGACCCCTTGGAGATATGTTTGTCCCTGTATAGTGAGTGTAGCGAGACAAAGTCAAGCATTGGTTGGAATAAAGCTAATTAATGTCCTGATTTTAACTAAAAAGGACCACTAGAGAAGTTTGCTGAATTCATAAATTGTGATGGGTGCTTAAATTACCTGTTATAATCAGATTTTTCAAATGCCATATTTTGTTTATTTTAGGACAAAATGTTATATTTTACTAAATTTTTAAGGAAATAATATATGTGTGCCATATTTTACTTTATTTTAATATTTTTAACTCCCCTATTTTTTTTTTTTTTTTTTTTGAAAATCCATTGCAATTAATTTTTCTTTGAATTTGTTTTCAATATCTAATCCTACCAAACTACTTATGTCCGTTTTTTCTTATTTAAAATCAAACTTCGTCGTAAACCTATGACTTCCTGTCCTACAGTATCCTTTAACAATACCCCACTTATCCCTGTTGACCAAATCCGATACCTAGGACTCCACCTTAACAAACGACTCTCTTGGAACCCCATACCAGACTGAAACGACTAGAAACTGCCCGACGTTTCCGACTACTCCAGCACTTACTAGACAAACACTCTAAACTGCCAACTATTTACAAAAGTCTCATATATATTACTATAATAAGGTCTATTTGGACTTACTGGATCGATCTTTGGGGCTCTACTAAACCATCAAATTCCTCTCGTATCCAATCCCTACAATCCAAAATCCTTCGTAAAATCTTTAATGCTCCCTACTTTGTCACAAATAAAATCATCCATAATGACCTTAATGTACCATATGTTTCCGATTTAGCTCAATCCAGATACCTGTCCTTTCATAATAAACTTCTGAACCATCCGAACCCTCTCGTTTCCAACCTTGCTTCCTCTTCTATTCCTGATAACCCTCCGAGGCGTCTGAAAAGAAGATGGCCTCGGGACCTTCTAATATAGAAATATAATTGGAGTGCTACCAATGGGTAGTTTCTCTTCATGTTGTACATGTCATGTTACTTGTTCATATTTACTTGTTGTATTTATTATTAATTACAGTTGTAAATTTCTTTAATAAAAAAAAAAAAAATCAAACTTGATCAAATTTAGTGGACACTTACCCCAAAATATCTTAATTAATAAATATAAATTATTTATATCTCCTTTCTAGGTCCTAGGATATCTGGGTTATGCTGAAGATACTAAGAAGAAGGCTGAGGAAGAACAGAAAACCGCTTTTACCGAGGAAGATTTCCTCAAATTCGAGAAGGAATACGTAGATACAGACTGATGAATGACCGCCGGCTCGGGAGTATTCTTTTAGTGGCAGGACTAGCATTCTACATCTATTTTCTTTTCTGGGTGATAGTGTCGCCTTTTTACCCTCAAGTCGCCTCTCTCTTTCCTCCAGTTCGATATGCTCTCCTTTCTTCCGCCTCCCTAGGCCTCATCTTCATTGGAACTTTATCTGTAAGTTACTTTTTCATCCAAGAACACTTTATTTAATATTCTTTTGAAGCGATTGTACTTATTATTATTGTTATTATTAATAAAAAGGAATTGACATTATTTGGATTTTTTATTTATTTATGGGTACTTGATACATATTAAAAGATATCATTTTAGTTAAAATCTTCACAGGAATTTATAAGTTCTCTTCACAGGAAATTAGTAGCCCTCCTAAGGCGGACAACGCTCACTACTCAACTGACCCCCTCCTCCCTTTCCCCATGAAATGTAGAAAGACCATATATGTGAATTCCTGTTTGGATTTTTGGAGTGATAATGAGTGGCTGAAATTCCATTGGTCCTTAACTCCATCATGCTCGGCAAAGTACAGTTCTTCCTTCTGATCTTGAACATGATAAACTGATGGAGTGAGCTGTGAAATGCAGATTTTTATTCAGTTTTTTTCCCCATTTTGGCATGAATATACTGCGACTAACCATATGGATCTATTGTGCGCCATGTAAAGGCCGTTTTATATTTTAAACTTAATTTTGTTATGTCTGCATATTTTAATAGACTTATAGGATTAATTGACTCACTGCTCTTGGGGCCACTCTCTCAGTCCTCACCAAACAGCTCGAGTCTGAACCATGCAAAACTCTCGTACTGACACACAATATGAAAGGCCGTTTCATTCTCACCATGACAAAATATACCTAGTGGATCCCTTGTCAGTCTGAGATTGTACAATGATAATTTAACTTACAGTGACCAATATAAATCACTGTAAGTTTTTTAAGCGTTGCTCTATCAGAACTGAGTAGCAGCTTACTAATTTTATCGTAGTGCCCTTCAAGGAACAGCTTCAAAGGTCGCTGTTTCTTGCCAGATCAATACTGTTCAAACTTAGCCCCATAAAGCTCCTTTATCCTTCTTTTGGCAGTGCTTAGACTTATTCCACAGACGGGTTCAGGAGTTATAGATATAGGATCTGAGCCTAACCTGGCTTATCTATCAGCCTCTTCATTACCTGGGCTGGGATGCCTGAGTGACTTAACAGTCAGCTTGTTATGCTCAGCTAGGTTGTTAAGCATTGCATTGTAGTCTTTAACAACCCGTGAAAAGCAGGTTTATAACATAATATTATCTAGGAAGTTTTATAATAATCGTAAATAGGTGGCCAGATCTCTATATGGAGAGATAGTCTCAGTCACAATATAGAAGACCCAAAGTTGAATGCAAATATAGGCACCGATTACAATAAACAATAAACTTTGTTTGTTCTCAAAAAGTGTGCTATACTTAATGCTATTAAAGGAAGAGGACAGCAGTTTCTTGTAGCTTCCTTCCGGAGAGATCATCAGACCAGTCTGCTGAAGGATTTTGTAAATGCCTAAATATTAAGAATCTATTAGCAGTATATGACTTCAATGGAAGTCTTGGGCCGACGATAGAAAAAAAAAAACAATCTATTAAGATAGTCAAGAAAGAGGTACTTGGTGAAATAACTAGGAAGTTATTTACCATTTACCTTAGGTAAGGCTGCACCAAATTCTTAAAAGTCATCTGAACGGGGAAAAAATCATGCAATTAATACATGCAACTACACCCTTCCAAGCATGGAACCATATAGTTTTGGTATGATGAACTGGAAAATTACCAAACTTTTAGAAATGTATTACTAAGCAGTAGCAGAAAATGAGAAAAAATTGTATTGTGAAAAAATGATGTAAGTAACTGGCACTTTTATTATTATTATTTTAATTGAAAAGTGATTTGTAATAAACAGTTAATTTTGTTTATACTTTGTACTAAAAAACAATGAATAATTTTAAAAATTTAAATATTTACACTAAAAATATTTCATTTCTTGATGAAATATCTGAAGATTGTAGCTGAAAGTAATTGCTAGAGTGCTCTGATCCCTTGAAAACTATATTTAATTGATTTTTTTTTAATATATAATTTAGGCCAAAGGTCACCAAATATACAGTTTTTTTATTTCCTGTATTCTTTATTCAACGTTTCGGCTTCAGGAGCCATTTTCAAGATCCATGCACCGCGCCATTAAATTTTTAAAATCTATCATTGCAATATGATTCGTCCTTCAGTCATTCTTTTATTTCAAAGAATGTCGTTTATTCATTTCTCTTTCGCAGACGATATCAAGAAAATTGTTGCTCCTCACTAGGGCATTCATACAGGACTGGAGGTGCATAGATCTTGAAAATGGCTCCTGAAGCCGAAACGTTGAATAAAGAATACAGGAGATAAAAAAACTGTGTATATTTGGTGAACTTTGGCCTAAAATATATATTAAAAAAATTATGAGAAAATGGCACCAAACCTGAAGGATGTGACTAGAAAATTATATTTAATTGAATTTGTGGAAAAGAATTATGCAAAAATGTTGTTTTTTAATTTCACATACATCAATTACAGTTAAGGAATTTTGACCACCATTTTATGATAGAATACTCGACAAAAAACTAAAATGTACATTTTTTTCACCTGTTTCACTAGTGCGCCCTCCTCTCATAAAATTCCTGGATCCCCCACTGTCGTCAGGTGCGAGCAATGATAATGAACGTTAAGATTCATCACCCAAAGCCCCAACTTCAGGATTACTGGCCCCACCCAACACTCAAAATTAAGACTACTGTGCAAATATGAAATACCGTACTATCCCTTTACCCTAGAAACACTTATGGAAAATGGCAATGTAAAAGTTTATTGATAGGTTTAAGATTAAAAGTTATTATAATCCTGTGTTAGCAGAATCCATATAATCTAGAAAAAAAAAATTATATTAATTTTTTTCCATCTATGATCATGTTGAAGATTATGTATGCTTACATTAGTAAATATTAACAATTCTAAAGATTACTAAGAAGTAAAAAAAAAAAAAACTCTATTTTTTTATTTCAGATGACCCTATCTTTTTAATAATTTTTGTTTTGGAAAAGAAAAATTTTAAATATATATCAGGCAACCATAGAATTTGGTTAAGTCATATGCTATAGATTCATTTTATTTTCATCATGTGTAAATATTTTAATTACTTACTTGGTTAAATCAAATTCTTTTACTTAGTTGGTCTTGTGTAAATGTGTTTGTCTTATTAGTCTTCTTTAATTTGTTTGAGGAACTTATTATATATGAGACTATAGTACATCTTTTTTCCTCAATAAAAATATTATTTATATCGATAATTATGCCTTTAATTTATCTGTTTATTCATTCTTTGTTTTATTGGATCGTGTTAAATGTATTTATACATATAAAAATTTACCTTGTTAGAAACCATTGTTTGAATTAGTTTTTGAGCGTGAAATGGATTAGATTCTCGAATGTGAATGAAAGGAGATATGGATATCAGAGATTTTTTGATATCCATTTCTTGATTGTTGGAAATCATGTAAGCTATTGACAATCTATTTGTAAAAGTTTGAAATAAAAGTAAAACTGATTAAGAGAAGTAAAATGTTGAACAAGAAGTATGAACGTAAGTTGAAAAAATGGTAGAATTACAGAATATGATCGTACCCAGCGTACCATTACTTTCGGGTTGTAAGACATTATCAAGGTTAGTTTTTGAACTTAATTTACTTATCTAAGTCATTGTTTTATATAACTATATAAATTAAATATTATATTTAATAAATTTATGGTAAATGTTTTAACAAATACACTTCATTAATCCTACAGATTTTGTTTCATTAATAAAAATCTTTTTAACTAGTAATTTTATTTCCTTCATATTTTAATATTCTGCCATTTTTAAGTATTACAGAACATAGTCATAACAATCAATTAAAAAAATAGAACAATTAATTTTTTTTTAACTTTTTATTCAGAATTATTACAATCTGTCACAATTAAGGACATTTATAATAGTTTTCAGAGAGCGTATTCACATTCTATTTACAATAAATAAAAATAAACTATACAGAAAAATAATAATAGTATACTCGCTTCGGTGATACATAGACTAAAATTGAAATGATGTAGATAAGATTAACAATGAATTAGAAAAACTTTTTCAGTATACTACCCCATGGTAGTAATCGTTAATTCGTTAATAGTTGCTTTCTTATTTTCTCCTTATCACAATTACTTAAGGTTTTTTCTCTCCCTTTTTATTAAAAACAATCTGCCTGAAAATTTTCCAAATTACTTATAATGTCTCAATTTAACAAATTATTTGAAAAATATACTTTATAAAAATGGTGTGTGAACAGCCTAGCTCAGAAACTAAAGTTGTAAAAAACTTAAATTCTGTATTTAAGGTTTGTATATGGTTCCGATGTGACAGCAACTTTCGTTAAAATCGGTTTACCTGTAGTGCCACTTTATATAAACGATGATAATCATTTTTATGATTTCTTGAAAACGGCTCTAACAATTTTGATTAAACTCGGTATATCAGTGTATTATTAAGTTGCTTTTAATATCAGCCAGATCTTATCCACATTGATCTCACTTTACAGGGCTTAAATATCCAATGTTCATATACGTTTTCCTCTAAAGAACCTTTAATTTGGTTTATTTTAAAAAAATAAATAATAACTCTTATAAAAATAATAAATAACTCTATAAATATGTTATGAAAAACGTCTAAATATAACATCTGAAAGAATTTGATAAAGGAAAAAAAAAGAAAAATGCTTATCCAGGTCGAAAATGAATCTTAGGAAATAATAGTCAGAATGATGTATACTTATAATATATAAGCGGAGAATTTTAGAAATAATATTATCTGATAAATAAAGTTATAGAAGGTAACGGAGAGTGACGAAAAAAATATAAATAATTTCTGAAAACTAACATTATTTAACATAAATCACACGATTCCAAGGAAATTAAATGGAATTTTCTTACTAAATGTAAACATTTAAACTTTAAACATTTAAATTTTTTTTTAAGTTTAAAAAAGTATTTAAAATCCACCATATCAAGGCAATGACATTGTTTAAAATACTATTTCATTGTATTTATGTGACAGAAAAAGTGAAATATTTCATGGATATGTAACCTTGAATGCATTTACTGTAGTTTAATAACTCTAGATTTGATATATTTAAATAATCTATCTATTGTCTGTTTATTCCAAAAAATCATCATGTAAACTTTTTGCAAATTAAATTAGTGAATAATTTGATGAATTTTCCCTTAGTGATATCCCAACAGTATCCACTTACAATTAGTGTGACAACTTTTGACCTATCTATGACAGGTAATGCTAATAACGTAATTCCATTTTGGTAAACTTTGCAATGGAAAAAAAAAAAAAAACAGTTTAGTAATTAATAGTTTTACAATCCATAATCAAGGGATCGTACAATCCATAATCAACCGTTGATATAATGAACAGGATTTTTGTTATTTTAATGGTATTGATGATTTGTTTACTGTAAGCTTTAAGGTTCAGCTCGATTAAAAATTCACTTAAAAAAATTTATAATAGCCCAACATTGCCAGAAAATAAAATAAACAGCGAAAAAAAATTGGTCATGAACTAAAGGAGAAATAAGAAATGGCATATTATTTACTTATACATGTACGATTTTCATAAATCCTAGTGCCGGTATTATTTAATATTTAATTGTTTAGATTATAGCGATATAAAAATCAAAATTTGTATACATAATAGTGTTTAAACAAAAAATATACTCACAATGAATATCTGACCAACTTAGTGACACTCTTGTTGGACTAAAAATAATTCAAGGCAATTATTTATTTATTATAATTAAATAAATAATTAAAATATACAGTCGTAAAAGGAAATGGGTAGGGATGAAAAACACATAAATTTTAATATATTAGATACGAGAAAAACCTATAGTAATTAATTGGTTCAAATAATATGTTGTACCCTCTATGATTTTTACTTTCAGATACTACTAGCTAAATATTTTAATAGTAGTATTACTTTATTACGGGTGCTTATGAATTAGTTTTGAACCTAAAATATCAAGACCTATTTTTCTCAAAGTAAGGGTGGTAAGTGAAAGTTGTGTGATGTGCTCACCACACCAGTTTTTATGTTGGTATATTCTATCTTCAATATATTGTCCACTTTCAAAATAATATATATATATAACTCATTGTTTTATATGGCTGTACTTATGAATATTTTTACAGATCTTTACAGTCTATACTCTCTATCCGTTGTAAGTGCCGAAGTAAGATGCGACCGAAATGGCTGGTGGTAGGCTTGTGCGGCGTGACCAACAGTGGTAAAACTTCCCTCGCTAAATCCCTCCAGGCTAGGTACCCCGGCGCTCATTATATCTGCCAGGATTCATACTTCAGACCAGTCACTTGGCAGGGGCACATCTACGTTCCCGAAGTCGACCACTTCAACTGGGATATCATGTCTGCTCTTGATATGGAAACCATGGTGAATGATGTACATCAGCTAGTGGATGGGTAAGGATCTTGTGGTCTTGCAGAGTTTATTTGGTACTTTTTTGTTAAACAGAGCCATTTATTTGAATACAGTAGACTATCGAGTATCCGGAATAATTTCTAGATGAATTTCCGTTGCTTTTTTTAATCTTATCTAGAATGGTCAATGATAGTCAGTCGAAGTATTTTTGTTATGAATGTGAAACAAAGTACTAGTTCCCTTTATTCCAAGATGGCAGCCTGTTTCAATGTTTGAAGATAATCCCCTAGCACCACGCTATTTCCAGATTCCCGAAAAAGCCAAGTATTGGCACTATTTGTACCCGATTATCAAATTGGAATCCTACAAATAGTATTTTTAAATAATTATTATCAACTTTTATATTTCCTTTTTATTTTGTATTTCCATGACTCTATAGCCCTTGTAGGACATTGGTATCCACAACACCTCTCTAATCTTCTCTATATTCTACCTTATCTTTTTTTTATCTGGTAATCACATGTATCAGGTTGCCGGGCAACAGCGGTGCCTTCTCTCCTTCTTTTGCCCCCTGGTTTACCATATAATAGTCTTTTCGAGTATCTATCCTTTCTACGTGGCCAAGCCATTTAATGAGGTTTGATTTGATTTTTTTTTTAACTCTATTTCTTCACCCACGCCTGTCATAAGCAATGACAATTAGCGGGTCCGCTGTCAGTAAGTATATAGGTAGTGGCTTGATCGACGTGATGGAGAGGAATGCCCAGCAGCATCTTTTTAAGCGAGGAAATCCATCATCCAGCTCCTTTTGAGCCTCCTAAGTGACTGTTTCTGGTTCATTATACAGTTCCCAAAGTTCTTGTTTCTTATATTCCATTGGCCATCTATACATACTAGCCCAAAGATCTGTCGACAGATCTTTCTTTCCCAGAGCCGGAGAATCTTATTGCATTCCTGTTTCACCCACATAAGTGCAAATTATTCTCAAGATCGTTTTATAAACAAATATTTTTTTTGCCTTTCATGACAGATTTCGAAAACTCAATGTTTTCCGTAATGCAAAAAGACATCTGTTGCCTGCTATGATTCTTGCTTTTATTTCCACTGTGATATCATTTTTGCCCATCACTAAAGCTCCTTTGTATTTGAAACTGCCAACTTTCTTAAGACTGTGGTGGAGCATTTGCATACTATCCTGTCCCTCACTTTTTGAGGATATCATATATTGAGTTTTATCTTTATTTATTTTAAGACCTTCCCAGAATTTTTTTCCCAGCATCTTCAAATTCCTGTAAAGCTCCTTTAGATCTTGATGATTCAGCATACACCGAGTGTTGGGTGAGTGTTTTATATTTATTGTTCTCACTGGATTCGTCTCAATTGTTTATCAACAGTAAAAATTTCTCTCTTAAAATGGTGAATGATTTACAACTAAGAGTTTGGGGTGTGTAGACTCCGTCTTCTTTCAGAAATGTTCTTGTATTTTCAGGAATATAGGAGTAGTGTGCTTTGAGTGATCTTGAACTTTGCCATCTTGGATTAGGGAAAGATAGATCTTAAAACAGTGTAGAAAGCAGGAGTAAGATGCCTTCATATGACTTATCAATTGTGTATTTGCTTAACATTTCGCTTTAACCACATATTTTCAAAAGCAATCAGCTGTTTATATTATACGTGTTATTTTTTTTTTTTTTTGTATGAACTTTTGATGCATTGTATTCAAAATTAATACTCATTAAATTTTATGTTAATTTATCTTTTGATAAAAATATCTAATGGAGGATTAGGTGAATTTATTGGGTTGTTACATATGAAATGTTACTTTTAATAGTGAAGGTTATTTAGTAAAAACAACCTTATGAAATCAAAACATTTTTATTCAAAATATTCGCCCTCATTTTCTATACATTTCCTCCGATGTGTTATCAAGTTTTCAACCCCAGAACTAAAAAATTCAGTGAAGAATTAAAGTCAGAAAATGCATTTTTGACCTGACAATCATTTTCAAAATTTTACCTTTAAGGACTGTCCAAATTAAAAGATAAAATCTGTAAGTCTGGTGAATAAGGTGAGTGTGGAAGGACTTTGAAGGTCTTGCATTGTGCAAGAGTATAGATTCCTTCCGATTAACCAATGCAGATTGTTTTTTGACAATTTTTGTTACATTATGTCAAATAACTGCTGTACGATATTCCTACCTCTGGGTAAAAATGAAAAATGAATTATCCTGCCATTGACCACCGCACTAAAACCAATCATTTTTGGATGCAATTTTTTTTTTTTTAAAGTGTTGTCTGTTTGTTACAACACGCTTCCCCGAACGCCATGGTAATGTTTCTTGCAGCTTGAGCTGCCAAGTGTCCAAGTTATAACTAAAAAATACTCCAAAATCGTGTGTTTCCATAGTCATATTTGATATACTAAACAATGCGCAATCAATTGGAATGATAGTAAATAATATCTAAAAAGAGGATTAATAATGGCTCATTATAATGTTTAAACATAAACCTAGCGAACAACAACAGCCCACTATTCCCAATTTAAATTTATGAAGTCAGACATATCATATGAATAATAAATATTTTATTTTTCCTTCTCGAGGATTAGATAAATAGAAAATACTTTTAACATTTGGCTAAGAGTATGATTATTATTATAAAAAATATTTTATTTTCCCTTCTGATGGAATCATTTTATCTTGGATACAAATGAGAAGGCGATATATATGAAATACAATTTTTTACTGATCTTTTCAAATGTTTCATAAACTTCTACGATAATAGATAAACAGAAAATACTTTTAGCTATTGGTGAAGAAATTGATGTTACTTGAATATATGATGTTTGAATGGGGTCTGCACCTTATAACAATAAATTTCATGGATGAAGCAATGAATGCTTTTGCCCTTTATTTAATTTTCTAGTTGATATTGACTCATTAATCGTATTAATATAGCACGTTTACTATTATGATGTAAACTTTTCGAAATTTGCTAAATATAATCACTTTCTAGGGAACCTGAAGGAAGCGAACAAGGTATTTTGATTCTGGATGGATTCTTGCTCCTATGCCACGAGGAGATTAGTAAAATGTGTAACATCAAGGTAAGTGATTTCCCTGACATAATAAACATTATTGATTATATATTATAAAATAATAACAATATTTTTCCTTTCCTACTGCTACTAGGTATGGAAAGTATCGCGATCTGGTCCAATTTCCGATGTCAGGTTTTCAACAGATCTTTACATTTCAGAGCTTCCCTAGTCCGAAAAACACATTTTTAGCCATTGGTCTGTCTGTTCCAAGATTATCTCGGGAAACATTGGACCGATTTTGTTGTTTATTTTCTTGTTTTGAATACTGATGTCTGTGAAATGAATTGAGCGCTTACTATGCATAAGCAGCAACACAATAGGAGGAAAATGTGTTTTTCTGTAAATGTGCAAAAATGTCTCTTAACAATTTATATGTTAAATGGAAACATTTTATTTGTTACTTTTCGGACGCTTTCTAATTTTAAATTAATGTGCTGGTTAAATAGAAGATTATTGTCAAATGTTATACCGAAGTATTTAACAGACTTGGCAAACAGGATTGGACAATCATTTAAGACTAATGTTCGGTGGAATTATAGGACATTGTTTTGTAAAAATAATAGCTTCAGTTTTGTCTACATTGAGGTTTAAACCCCATTTTTTAAGGAATTTAATACTTTTATTTTTTATTTATTTATTTTAAATGATATTTACAACTGTATACAAAAAATACATCTAGTAAATTTGCACATTGGTATAAAGACATGGAACACATGTTGAGAAACTACTCATTGGTAGCACTCTAATAATATGTCTATATTAGAAGATCACGTGGCCATCTTCTTTTCAGATGCCTCGAAGGGTTATCAGGAATCGAATAGGAAGCAAGGTTAGAGACAAGAGGGTTGGGATGGTTATGAAGTTTATTATGGAAGGACAGATATCTGGATTGGGCCAAATCTGATACATAAAGAACATTAAGGTCATTATGGATAATTTTATTTGTAACAAATTAAGGAGCATTGAGGATTTTACGAAGGATTTTGGATTGCAAGGACTGTATGCGAGAGGAATTTGAAGGCTTGGTGGAGTCCCATAGCTCAACCCCGTAAGTCCAAATAGGCCTTATTATAGTCATGTAAATCAATCTTTTATAATTGATTGGAAGGTTAGAGCGTTTGTCTAGTAAGTGTTGAAGTAGTCGGAAACGTCGAGCGGTTTCTTGTCGTTTCAGTCTGGTATGAGGATTCCAAGTTAGACGTTTGTCCAGATGGAGTCCTAGGTAACGGATTTGTTCAACAGGAATAAGTGAGGTGTTGTTAAAGGATACTGAAGGACAGGAAGTCATTGGCTTACGACGAAGGGTGAATGTAATTTGATGGGATTTATTGGAATTTATTTTAATTCTCCAGTTCTGACACCATTCTTCAAGGTTTGTGATGTGGGATTGAAGGGTTTGGGATGCAATAGATGGGTCGTTATTGACTGATAGGATACATGTGTCATCAGCATATGTGGTGATGACAGTGTTGGGATGGGTTGGGATATCAGCTGTATAAACTGTGTAAAGGATAGGACCTAGAATACTACCTTGAGGAACACCTGCAGACTGGGAAAAATGGGATGTATATACATTGTTGTGATTTACTTTAAAGTATCTATCATTAAGGTAGGAACGGATAATGAGGAAGTAAGTAGATGGTAGGAATTTTCGGAGTTTGTACAGCAGTCCCGGACTTTTATTTTTAAAACTTCTTTCTCTAAAAAGTTTCAACTCCTGCCATATTATTATTTTATAATCGATTAGTTTAATTGGAAAAAAAAATATTTTTTAAAGAATGGTACATTGTTTTCAGGTTTACATAGACCTAGAATACGATGAAGTGAAAAGAAGAAGAGAAACTAGATCATATGATCCCCCAGATCCTCCTGGTTACTTCGACAAGATCGTATGGCCCCAGTCGCGACAGGTCCGTCAACAGATCATATCCACTTTCGGCGACGAGCTGCTTCTGTTAAACGGTAAAGACCTTATTGAGGCTAATGCTACTAAGATCTCGATGAAGATTGATACATTGCTTAAATCATCTTCTCGATAAATTCTATCCAAAAGGATTTTCTCGCTCCTGTTGCTAAAAGATGTGCACTTATGTTTATCAGATAAAATATAAAATAATATACAGATGTTAGGATACAGCCTAGGATGCATATATAATAAGTGCCTATATATCACCGATGTTCCCACCAATTCGCTAGCGCTCTTACATCATCACGCTCAAGCAATCAATGTACTATTACCTTATTAAGTAATGCCTTAAATGTTATAATGTAAAATCAAGTAGGTCTCATAAATATATGGATATATTTTTTAATGGTGTTACAAATTTTAGTATTACTGAAGCTACTGTACAAATTTTAAGTAGTTATTTTCTTAATTTTAATTTTATATTAGTATTATATCTTTTAAATCTGGTAACTATGCATTGGCAATAATATTTCTGTCTTCAATTTCATTGCAGAATATAATCAAGTTTTTAAAAATTACATTCTGTTCACTTATATCTTGTATTTTAGAAGTTACACTTACAGTTGCTGTGTCATTGATTTTTAGCCATTTAGGATTTTGAATAATCTTCGCAGAATGCATTTATATTTTAGACGATTATTAATTAAGTTATGGATATTATTTTTGTTACCTTTGCTCAGGTTTTATGGTTGGTACTAGTTTAATAAATATATGATTTTGGTCAAAATATAATAAGAATTTAGCTGTAATATAATTATGTGTACTTTATAAAATAAAGTGTAGCAATTTTTTTTTGTTTGTTTTATATTTAAATATCCTTTATTTTCATGGCACCTTCTATCCAATGTGTATTTATTTTTATTTATGGTTTTGTCCAATAAGCACATTCTGTATATCTCAAAACTTTTGGATATAACTCTAAATATATATAAATACAACTCGCATTCTGCATTCCAACACTTATAACTCTCTCAGGAATAGTTAATAAAGTCAATTAATAATAATAGTTAACGGGCTTCTGGGCAAATGCTCAGGTTCCTCTGCCTTGAGGCCGATACGTCTTACCACGGGACAAGACTAAGCAAAGAAGAATTTTAAGTGGAAATAAAATATAGAACAGCTCTCGAAAACTACTGACGACTGCAAAATGAGCTTAACTGAGAAAAAGCTACAATGCCACTGAATTCCAGATAGTGAGAGACAGAAAATTGATTTCATTAATTGGAAAATTTAACACAAGACAAAAAAGAACACTAGTATCATCTTTTCAAAGCAGTGAATCTTCGAAATAGCAAGAGGCTCAGAAACAAAGTGATCAACACATCACCAGGTTACCTGGAACTTACCTGATCCCTCCCTATCAAAATTCGATTTTCCCCATCCATATCCACATTCAAAACCCTCCTATTCCAAAAACAGTCAGATAGTTGCTAACCATTCGACAACATACATTTATTTCATGCCATTCATTGTCAAATATCAATGCTAAATGATAATGTATTTATATATTAATCAGGCACGTTATATTGTCAGATTCAGCTTTCTGTTTTCTCAACAGAAACACAAAGCTCATTTTAACAGAGAATTTGATATATTTTTATTTTTTAATTTTTTCTTAAAAGTGTATACTGGTCTATCAGTGCAAATAGCTTCAAGTGTCTTGTCTTAGTGTTAATTGTTTTGTATATAGTTTCGTTTGTTTTGTATATAGAATGTTTACCTTATATTTTCTTTACATTATTTCTTTTTTTCGATTGATTTTATTTTGGCCAGATGTAATCTTTTAATTTTGTTATTCTCAAGGGACTGTGTCCCAGAATAAAGTTATTTTTCTATCTATCTATCTACTTACAGATATTTCTGAATCAAAGCATGTCCATATGAAGTTGAGTATATTAAAAACAAAACTTCCATAGGCTCCAAAATGAGGCGCATTCAAGCCGTCCCTACAGTAGGAGACAAAAAAGTGAATAATCCTTGTGATCAAATACTAACTTTCCAGTCAACTATTTAACAAATTTTCATTTGAAGTATCATTTCTCTACATTTTGGAAACTGACTTTGTTCCTGACATGATTTCATAATTAACAGCTATATGGGGCCGGTATAGCGCTATACTATACTAGTATAGTAACGATCATATAATCAAATCCCGGTGCAACTAACCACTACTAACCACTCAGCGAGAAGTAAGACCGTTACCCTCTTAATTAAGGGAGGCCTACAGGTTATAAAATACTTGTAATAAGTGCTCTAATCCACGATACAAAGGAGTTATAAAAAAAATAAACAGCCCCTCTTTCGTATATAAAACAGAAATATTAATAATTCCTCTTTTGAACTAAAAACAGAAGAAATATCTTGTGTAATAGTGATAGTTAAACTTGCTTGACACCTGAAACACACTTTTATGTCATAAAAACATTTGTTTTTAAATATAACAAACTAGTTGGCCCATGCGAAAAATTCGCAGACAATTTTGTTTAGTGAAGAAATAGCAAAACAACATGGAAATAAGTAGTTCCTATGTATTATGTAAGGAAGGAATTAATATTTTTTCCTTAGTCGATTACAATATTCCATTAAATAGAATAGACCAAAATATTTGTACAAATTGCTTTGCTAGGACCTATTTTTAAACGCTGACTGGAAAGATAATAAAAGTAATATAGACAAAATAATGCCACGATCATAGGATATTCTAAATTGTTAAAAAAATAAAGCGTAAGAACAACCAAATGTCTTTAAGAAATAATAAAGTTGATATATCAGCCAGGTTAATATAAAACTCCTAACAGGTTTTTATTTTATAACTTGAGTTCTAAATTATTTAGGAAGGTACAGTTTGTGTCATTTCGTGTGAATAGGTGGAAGAATATTGAAGTTATAGAACTTTTTGTGATTTTCAAAAAAATATCTAAGGCGAAAAAAATATCTGGTACTAGCTATGCACTCTGACACTCTAATCCGAGAATATCAGGACTGAAAATATAAGGTTGGGATAGATATCAGCAGAAGTCATAAACCAAATAGTGGAATAAATTGCTACACAGATGGCTCTCTAACAGCCTTCGGCTCTGGAGCAGGCATCTATCGCAAAGATATTAAAGACAAAATTTCTGTACCACTTGGCAGGTATGCTTCAGTGTTTCAATCTGAGATACTGGCAATCTGCCACTGTGCACAAAACCTACTGCGAAGCAACGTGACTGGGAAAAAGATTACCATCTATACCGACAGTCAGGCAGGAATAGGTGCTATTAACAACTATTACGTTTATTCAAAGGTCGTTAAGGCAATGCAACACAGCACTTAACGAACTAACTGAGCACAACAATAGAGTTGCAGTGGAGTGGGTGCCTGGTCACTCTGGCATACCAGGCAACGAGGCGGCTGACGAGCTAGCCAGATTGGGCTCAGATACCATTCCTGTAACTCCCGAGCCTGTCTGTGGAATCAGCCTTAGTACTGCCAAGGGCAGGATCAGGGAGATCTATGGGAACAAATTTAGGAATTACTGGACCGACAAGAAACAGAGACACTCGAAGCTGTTCCTTGAAGGTCCATGTAAAAAAAAAAATAAACAGCTACTGAACATGGACAGAGCAGCCCTTAAAAAGCTTACAGCTATCTATACTGCTCACTGTAAGCTAAACTATCTATGTTCAATCTCCGAGTATTGACGAATCCGCTATGCAGATTCTGTCAGGAGGAGAATGAAACAGCTTTTCACATCGTATGCAGATGTAATAGATTTACAAGGCTGAGAATGGTGGTATTTGGGGAGGAATAAATGGATCTCCCCAGAAGTTATGAGTCAGTCAATCCAATCAGTCTACTTCGATACGCGGAAGCGACAGGATTAACGTTTTAAATAAAACGACCAACTGAAATTGGCGCACAATGGACCCATTAGGGATCAACGTGCTTATGCCAACATATATAAAAAAAATTTAAAAAAAGGCGAAAAAGTTTAGTGTAACTAAAATAAATTTGATTGATATTACTTAACTAATACCTAATACCTGTTTTTCTAACTAACTAAAAAGCTATAAATTAGAAGTAATGGCTCTAAAAGATTATTTGGCAGAAATACGATTAAAAAAAATTACATCTTTGTCTTAGGCCTATAAAAAAAATTGAACCGAAAATATAATTCTCAAAGAACAATAATTAAGCAGTTTTTTATAAGTCTCCTGACAATTTTTATTCTTACAGGATTTTGCAGTGCGGTTGTCGATATATTGAATAGACTTTCTTGATGATTTTCAATTGAAATAGATTAAAATATTGATGAGAATGGATAAACCACTGTAACCGAGATTAAGGAAGCAGTGTAAAAAAACAAAACAAAATCTTCTCTCTTTTGTTTCCTGTGCCAGATTATTAATTTATATTTTAGCATGTCCATGTGCTCTTACATCTTATCTATCTTTTTTTGATGTTTAGATGTGACATGCCATACTATTGTATATAGAACAAGTATCTTTTTTATCTTAAATATCTTCCTATTTATTTTTAATTTTATATAATAATTATGTTTAAATTCCCTCTTTTTCCTTGTATATTTTTTCTTTTAATTGTACATAGTATTGATTCTGTAAATAGATCTGTTAACCTATTTTGCTGCTTTATAAAAATATCCAACCTAACCCCTTCTCACCTGAGCTAGCATGGTAGAATAAATTATTAATCATAGCCAAATAATGGGTAAGTAACTTATATAATCTATAATTATCTCGTTAGAGATGAAAGATTCCAATATAAAATTATATTTATTAAAAATTATATTTTTATTTTATCCTTTTTTTTTGGTCATACCACAAACACTGAGAACAAAAAGATATTTTTCTTACATGTTCAAATGAATGAAACGTTTTTTTTTGCATCAGCTGTTATTAGTAAGTACTTTTTCAAACTGGATTTGGTGTATTTATATTTAATAATAAATATTTTGTTTTTTTAACATTCATCATTCGTCCAGGTATAGTTAAATATTTTTTTAGTTTATAGTTACCAAAATAATTGATAAACAATAAAATTGGTAATAAATCAACTTCACTACACTTTAATGTAAGTGTATAAAGTCCTTTTCACCAGATATATATACATTTTTTCTTTTTAATTTTAAAATTATCATAACTGAAAGTATATTTAAAAAAAAATAATAATTTCATCATATCAGGAGGAAAATTAATTATGAGAACGAATCTATGTCAATTTATTAAACCTTTAACAGTGATCCAATATACCAATATCACTAAAACAATTCAAAACATTTAATTTTCAAATGACAACAATTCAAATATTAATTTAATTTTCAAAAGCTTTATAATAAATGTTCAAATCTAATTGAGCACAATCCAATCTGGCAAAATTAATACAATTCTCGTTATAAAACAGACATTTACTTTTTATTAATTAAAAAAAATTATTTAATTCAAATTTCGTAACTGTACAATAGATATTTTAAAAAATAAAAACTTATGCCTACTTAACAGACTAAAACACAGACTTCAGAATAGGAAAAAATAACAATAATCTAATAAAACATAACATTAAATAAGTTTATTTTCTTCTACACAATCCATCATAGTATATACATAGATAGTGTTATCACTAGCATTATGGCTTATCTGGTATTTCGATTTACTTACTTGTCATTGTTAATAGATACACAACCGTGGTTAACATTTCTTCAATTTGAAGGAAAGTATCTGTTAATGGATACGGTTATATAAATATCTAAGACGAAAGAAGAACATGGTGGAAAAGGAAAGGAAACAAACACACTAACACCTATATATTATTATGTACAGGTTTATGTATATTTATATATATATATATGTACCAACATAGAGCAGCAGTATATTGTATCAAGTAACCATTGGTCTAAGTTGACTGTGACACCGGCTGCCTGTGATGGTAATTGACCAGACGCCTGCCCACGAGGTATTTGTCGTTTTTGATGTGTTCGTACAGGCGAGAGAATTGCCGCACTTGAAAGTAAACTAGAGCTGCGACCGCAACTACCACCAGTACAGTGGGGTAAATCCTGCGAGCCACGAGCAGTCTTATCGTTGGATTCGTTACGAAAAGTGGCACCATTGAATGGGCAACGACGTATGGCACCGCTAATGCTAAGGACAGCCCTGTAAAAACAAATTTTAATATAAATAAAAATAACTTATATAAAACAATTTCAAGTTTTAAACTAAGAACAAAAAATTGCTATAAAAGCATAACCTAAAATATATTGGAATTATTTTTACATGATAATAGTAATTAGATAATTGTTGGAAATTAATATATATATACTGAGTCAATGAAATTTTGTTATTTGTATTACAATTATCAATAAATCGAGCTCTATTTATAATAATATTTTCAGGCATACATAAGGTATTAGTGCAGAGCCGTTAAATGCTTCGTGTACAATCTTCAGTAGGGCCAATATCCATGCTATTTTTATTTATTTCCCTTTGAATAAATTCCATCTGTCTCAATAATAATTTATTCGCTTCATGTTGTAAGTTCAATTCTCATCGCAGTATAGCATTTTCTGTTGATAATTGCTCAATCTTATCCACGAATATTGTCATATTTTTTGTATACAATATTTCCAACTTTTGGTCCACTCTCTGTAATTTCTTTCAATCAACTTACCTAAAGAGTCCATTAACTCGTTTAAGGTTAAGTTACTAATTGATGGTTCATCAGAGTCCTCAGAGTATTTTCTTTTTCTTCCTTCTTCTGCATTATCAAATTCCTGACTTACTTCTATCGACCGTTGGTGAAAAATAATTTTTCAGATTTTTATCCGTCATTATTAGTCAATTTTTTATTTTTTTCTCGTTTTAATCAGAAATTTTATTTTATAAACTGTTTCCAAAGATTAAAAAACGCGCTGTTACGCTTTACTAGACACAAAGTATCTATTAATCACTCACTTATTCTGTAGCTTTGTGAATATCCCTTTATTCTCCTTTCTTTTTAAACACAATAGCTTACAATGCATAAAACTGTCACTTGAAAAATAAGGAAAAACGTTAGGCTTTCACTAACTATTCCAAACAGAATAAACTTAGCTTTATAGCAACAAGCACTTAGCACAACACGTCCGATCCCTACCAACTCATAGCACAGACTCCGACCGCTCTACATATCATGAGTGATAAATATTCAGGACTCAGTCATTTTACAGGTTTTTATTGGTGCCAACGTTTTAACCCAAACATGTGAGTCATCATCAAGGAGTGTTTTGAGCACTGAAGGTATTCAAGTACTCTAGAACTAACTAGAGTGCTCGAAACACGCCCTGATGATGACCCACACGTTTGGGTTGAAACGTTGGTATCTTTAAAATGACTGCGTCTTGAATATTTATCACCCATAAAATGTTGTTTTTTAAAAGTAATAATGGATTTTATAAAATTTTAAAGGAAAATATAAAAATTATTGCTGCCACCATTATCACTGCCTAATGCGACCTCTCTTATAATGAAATGGTTCAACACCTATGGTATAGATGAAGGTACTCACCAACTATAACAGGAGCGGCTAGTTGAAAGACTACCCTCCTGAGGTCGATGGCCCTTACTCCGTCTCGGTAGACCGCCTCAAGGCCTCGCCGCAGACCCCAATCAGGACCCATCATGGTCACAGCGCACGCTATCTTTGTGTATAAGACGCCTAGAGCCCAATCCTGCCACAGCCAAGGAACGGGCGACTGGTCCAGAGGCACCCTCGCAGGACTAACGAGCACTACTTCGAGAAGCAGCCCAGATAACAGGGGAATTACACCTACCTGGAATGACATTCAAGATACGGAATCATCAAGTAAAACTATAAATATCAGGGCTTGATACTAATAAAAAGTTTCATTTTAACAGTTTGGTAAAATATTAAAGTTCTAAGGAATAAAGTTCAAGATTTATAACATAACTTTAATTTTTTTTTAATTCTTAAAAAAAATAAATTACCTCATTATTAACATTCTCCTCTTAAAAAGTTATAGACACAATCAGATTTTTCATAAGACCCGCGAACTATCGAGATATACAAATTACTGGGATTCTACTAATTGTTTTAATAAATTTATATCAAATCAATATAATTGAAAGAAGTTAGTCGACTGTTCTACATATCATGTGTGATAAATAATCAGGACGCAGCCCTTTTTTTTAAATTTTTTTAAATTTTTTATGTATGTGAACCCAAACATGTGGGTCATCTTCAGGGCTGAAATTTTTTTTCAAAATACAATCAGAGATATAATATTATACGATCGATAATGTTAAATAATAAACTATAGTGATTGATGGTACATGAATCTTAACTTATATTACAATACAATACATATTAAAAATGAAATATGTAAATAGTTATACAAACTAAAAATTAAAAATTAATGTATATAATTCATTTATACAAATATATAATATTTTCTCTTACTAACCGTGATCTGAGCACAGAGGGTGTTCAAACCACAGTTAGTAAGAATATGAAAATATTATGAATTTGTATAAATGGATTATATAGATTAGTTTTTAATTTTTAGTTTGTATAACTATTTACATATTTCATTTTTAATATGTTTATTGCAATATTAGTTAAGATTCATGTACCATCAATCACTATAGTTTATTATTTACCATTATCGATCGTATAATATTATATCTCTGATTGTATTTTTAAAAAATATTTCAGCCCTGAAGATAACCCACATGTTTGGGTTGAAACGTTGGCATAAATAAAAAATCAATCTTTTTTTTAAAAAAGGACTGTGTCCTGATTATTTATCACCCACAAATCAATACAAAAATAATTAAATGTAAAACGTTGATTACAGTCATTAATAATGGAGAATATCCCATCTGAAAAATGAAATCTAATTTAAAGCTATACCAGCAGTAATGTTGCAATAGCACATTTAGCAGCAATGATGCACCAAGTCTTAACAGTCTCGGCTAGGTGGCCTCGCCAGCAGTAGAGTAGAGATAGAGAGCGAGCGGTTAGCCAACAGAGGTAAGCTCCTGCCGCGGCAGTGTAGAGCTCGTGGACAGGGACGGGTTTAGGACCGCCGTGGTAGAGGGCCATCAAGCGCCGTCCGAGCAGCACCGGCACGGTCAGCACTGCCAACGAGGCCGTGGCCAGAGAAGCGCATGCTAACAGCACTAGGGCGGCGAGTCGTGCAGCGAATAATGGTGGAGCAGTGTAAGGCTGGTATCTATTCAACATTAATATATATATATAAATCAGTATTTCAATATTGATTGTTATTGTTTTAACACTGGACTCAGATAAGAAGCAAATATGAAACACTCAAAAGAGATTGAATCAATCTTAATACAGACATTTATCCTAAATTAAACTTGTAATATTCATGTTACTGTCAAACACCGAAATTGGAGAATGTCGACTTTCACTGGTGATTGTCAACCAAGTAAGTCGGTGAAAGATCGAATATTTCATTACATTCAAAAATGAGTTCTCCTTTCTCGACTGCACCTAGAATGATATATGAGCAGTGATACATTTCCTAATACACAAAGTATGAAACCAGCAGAGATTATTTGAATTCAGCAGCATATGGAGAGAGTTGTTTGAGTAGAAACAACATATACGAAAAGGTTCTGTTCTTTCTCCCATACTTTTTAACTTTTATGTTCACGACATTATCCAATCCACAAACACCTCCATAGCTATGTTTGCCGACGATACAGCTGTCTTTTCCCAACACAATGATATATTAATAGACAGAAATACACTGCAGTCTTACCTAGTAAATCTAGAACAATATTTTAAAAAATGGATGATTTATCTCAACACCGAAAAATGTACAGCAAAAATTTTTACTCTTAGACGTCCCTCAGACCCTACCTGAACTGATTCTCAAAAATAAAAAACTAAAATGGAACCCAGCTAGTGAAGCAGTAAAATACCTCGGAGTTTATCTGGACCGTCGCCTTACGTGGAATTACCATATAAATAATAAACTGACCCAAACATACGCAAGGTTAGCAATGTTATATCCCATAGTAAATAGAAAATCTAGTTTAAAACCAGAGACAACTGTTCTTATTCATAAAACCATACTAAGACCCTTGCTAATGTACGGATGTGAAGTCTGGGGAGCCGCTTCAGCTACGAAAAGAAAAAAACTACAATCCTTTCAAAACAAGGTATTAAGAATTGCAGTAGATGCCCCCTGGTTCATAAGAAACGCTCAACTACATCGAGAACTAAAATTGGAAACAATAGAGGAATTCATCAAAAAAAGATTTAAAAAATTCCATACGCAGCTACCAGCAGTTAAAGGTGCAGTGGCCTACAACTTAGGAAACCCAACCTCATCTCGAAGACTGAAGCCCAGGCTGATCCAAGACATCATGTTATGAACAATTAATAATTTTCTCTTTATTAATTGTAATTATTCAATAATTATAATGTATAAATAGTTAGGGGTGTCTTTTGCAAAGACTATACCCCACCAGAACAAATTGTTAAAAATCATCAAATTGTTACAACAACCATGTAAGGCCCACCAGGCTGATCTGGTAATAAATAAATTAAAAAAAAAAAACATATACGAAAGGATCGATCACTTTAAAAGTAGACAGGGTTTCTCTATGCGATGAACAGCTCAACTCAGATATCTGTTGAGGTTATGACGACGATATTCTGAGATATAGACATTTTGTTATTAACATTTTAATTCTCAATAAATTTTGAACTAGAAATAAAGTTGAAAACAACTAAACCAGATACTAAAAAAAATCTATCAATCATTGTTCATAATATCTACAAATGGCAATAACTTTAAATATTAACTACAGTCAATAATAATATTAATATTATCTTACCCGACGGGGCCAGGTCTCTGAAGCATGGCATGGTGGACGGCGCCCAATTCCGGCAACGCTTCCTCGGGTTCGGCTGCACCAGCCGGTGGCTCAGCTGCTCGCTCACCGAGCACGTATGATCTACAACAAACAAACAGATTTCTCTTAAATCTCTATTTGTTATACTGTTGGCCACAATACTATAATAATGTTTAGAAATAATCTACCTTAAACCAAGAAGCCACGAAGCCCCGACACACCAATAATGAATAGCAGCTTTTAGCCAAGCACGAGTATGAGATTGCTCAAGCAATGCAGGAAGGATCACCTAAAACACACAAGTTAAGCGTTTTCAAAACTTATAATAAGAACAAAAAAACATGAAAAGAAAAGAAACTAATAAAATAATAGTAGAGGTATGTTAGGCAACTGAATGAGAAGATGGTAGGAAGGTATGGCCAGTGATGAAATAAAACATACAAATAAGATAATTTATGTATTCACACTTGTAGGTTAGGACCTTAATAGCAATAATAAAATCACGCATTTGAAAACAATAGCCCTACTTTATTTGTTTTTTTACATCAACGTTTCAGTCCTTAGGCCATTATCAAGGGAAGAAACATATTTTAATAATTGAAAATCATTATGGACTGAATTTTCCTTGTCAACTTCATTTAATTAGCCATACACTAATATCTTCCCCTATAACCTTAAACAGAAAGGTTTAAGTGTATGACCAGTTAAATGGTGTTGACAAGGGCAATTCAGTCCATAATGATTTTCAATTATTAAAATACGTTTCATCCCTTGATAATGGCCTAAGGACTGAAACGTTGATGAAAAAAAACAAACAAATAAAGTAGGGCTAAAGTGACCAAGTATGTCATTTTATTATTAAGATAATTTATCATATTAACTTTAATTTCCCCTTTGTCTGAAAATACTTATTTTTGATAAGAAGGAGTGTTAAGTGAAAAATAAGTGAGGGTGTAAAGTTGTGTGATGCGTGCACCGCATCAGATTTTTTATTATTAATATTCAATGCAAATCTCATGAATGTTTTTTTGTTCTACAGGATTTTTCCTGGGCCAAGGGATGAGGGAAGGAATTAATGCTAGAGTTAAAAGCCATCCTAGCAAACTTGTAATTATTTTTTCATTAATAACATTGGTTATCAGGTTGCTGTACAACGTGCAGTGCTGTGCACACGTATTATTCCGCTAGTCCACCCTGCTCTCCTCTTCCCCAACCCCCCCTCAAAAAAAGTCTCATGAACTATACCTGATGAATATAATTGGGATAATAGCTTAGCAGCAATTAATTAAGGCATATAAAATTGCTAGGCTAAGTGAAGAAAAAATCCCTAAACAGTTAATATACACTGTGTTGACTGGTAACCACCCAAAGCGAAGGTGGCAAGATTGTATTAAGGCTGATCTGGCGGGGTTGGGTGGTAAAAGCAATCGGTAGATTGATGTATGTAGAGAGGGATTGATGGTATCGGCATCTTTAAGCTTCAATATTATTATTAATGTTATATATTATTTTCATAATGCTTCAATCTTCTTCTTTTATTTATTTTTTCTCTTTTCTTATTAGTTGTTACCATATTGGTTTATTATTTTCAATAATCAATCATTGTGATCGACCAAAAAATTCAAAAACTTAACCACCTCTCAAAATCTGGGGTTTCACGTTTCAGGATGCGTAGAATTCGAAAATCGAATAAAAATTTTTTTGTCCATCCGCCGTCAGTCAGCACATTTGCTCCGAAACTACTTGACCGATTTTTTTTCAAATTTTGAAATAAAATCAGAGGTCACCCGAGGATGATCCTCCTTCATCCACATTACTATCCGCCTTTTACTTTCAAAATGGCGGCCGAAAAACCTGTGGTACTGTAGACTAGCTCCTAAACGAATGTACCAATTTCAATGAAACTTCGCTAAAGTCATTTTCTTGACGTCCTTTAAATTTATCTATATAACATAATTCAACGAAAAGAAACTGGAAAAAAACTTACGAGGGATGGTAAAATTAAATTCCGAATAACTCAATAAGTTTACACTTTTTTGTGGATAATGTGATAAGATGTTTCAAATGTATTTAAATTTCATACAAAATGAAGGAAATTTCATCGAAATCAAACCACTAATAGTAGAGATATGGTTTTTTAAAAAGTTTACAAAATTTCCTATAAAAAATCGTTAAAATCGGACAATTAGGAGCAAAGATATGGTCTCCGTTTTTTTAAAATATGTTCTACTCTAAATGTTATATTCTTTGTTCGGTTTTTAAATTTTGAATATGTTACTCATGTAATGTTATTTTTTTGTTAGCATATTACTAATGATTAAAAAAAAAAAAATTTAGTCCAATAATTGGAATCACCTTTTATTTATTTTTCTTTGTAACTAGGAAGGTAATGTTACTTCAGATGTATAATTGTCTGGAAATAATAAACCATTGTGGAATAATTTGCAGCGTTTCTTTAATTAGACCTGAGAAAGTCCTCAAACTAAGGCCAAAATGTTGGGACACTTTAAAGGGAGTTTTCTTGTTGTGTTTCATTTCACCACTGACTGGATTCCCATAACAACTTATCCGGAAATTGAAAAAACCAGTTGAATCATTGCTTACCTGAAGCAGAAGTAGTTCTAAGGAGAGTTCGTCCAACTGAACATCGGAATGCAATGAAACAGTGTACGGTAAGAAGCCAGGGGCAGCCCAGCGGAGGATCCTCACAGGCAACCACAGCATCAATAACACCGCAGAGCCAAATATCACAGCTGAAGCTACCAATCTGCGGACGTGGCGACCCATCGGCAGCTGAATCATTTCCTATAAAGTGATTAAGGTATTATAGTAATTGTGTATAAAAGTGAATAATAACTAAACTCCTGGAAAAGTATAAGTACTAACCTGAATAGGGCTGAAATCGGGATCGTTGAGGTTCCTTAAGAACCAGAGAAGGCCTGGGCGAAGGACTTCCCTCAATAGCAGAATGAAAGAAGCGAAGTAGTAAACGTAGACCATTCCGACCAACCAATGGATAAACATGGAAGTTCCAGGTGCAGCCCTGTCGAGCAAGATTTAACATTAAAAGCAAACAAAACAACTATAACTTTTATATTAATTAATGAGAGTAAAACCTCGTAATCAAATAAGAAAGAAAAAAATATCTGGTGTGTTCACTCACACGACTTTCCTACCTATTTCGGAAAAGTTTTTATATCTTTACATATGTTCATAAAGAAACAAAAAAGAATAGAACTAGATATATTTTCCTAAAAATTGATCAAACATACATCAATCAAACATAGACTTGAGTACAATTTATTTGTTAAACTAAAGCAATACAAACCGGCTTAAGGTAGATCAGTATAAAAATTTCAATACTTCCTAATATTGCTGATTAAAAACTTTTTGGCATAGCTTAGTTTTGTCAAACAGTAATTTGTGTTAAAAGTAGAGGAAATAGTGAAGATTGTGTGATGTGGGCAATAGATTTTCTTACTTGCACTTAGTCATCTTTATGCTCTCATTCACCACTTTTCTGGCACCAGGATATGAACCCGTAATCTTACATTGGAAATTGAATAGCTGTAACTTCGTTAATAGTTGTCCAAAATGAACGATTTTTATATGGCTTTGTAGGGAATTTCATTACCTTCCAAACGACAGGCTAAACAGCATATTTTAAATTTTTTTCAAAAATGTGTTTTTTGGACTCAGGGGGCTATGAAACATATAGATCCATCGAAAACCGCATGTCGGAAATTTGACCCGATTGCAATACTTGCCTTACCTAGTATAGGTAAGAAAGTAATAAGTTAAAAAAATGAGTGAAAAATAGAATAAGCTGTATCATCGCTAATACTGGTTCGATTCCGATGATTTTTTTTTTTGTTTTGTTAGTAATTTAATTACCTTTCAAAAGTTTTATTATAAATTTTACCGTATAATATATACTTAGGGAGTTAGGCCCCATAACATTTTTCTTTTCTTTATAACTTTCTTTCCTGAATTTTTCCGGGAATTTAGTCTATATACAAAAATTGAAAGAACAATGATTAGAACATTATAGGAAAGTTTCATCAAAATCGTTAGAACCATTTTTGCGCTACAGTCTATAGAAAAACATGTTTTTCATTTATTGCGCACAAGCTATTATTGCTCATGGAGCACCGAATTTCTGTCACAGGCATCAGTAGTCAAAACCAACAAAATCGGTTTAGTAGTTCCCGAGAAAATCTTGGCATAGACAGACAGACAGACCAAAGGCTAAAAATGTGTTTTTCGTTCTCAGGGGACTCTGAAACGTATAGATCCATCGAAAACCGCATGTCGGAAATTTCGGATCAAATTTCCGACATGCGGTTTTAAAATTTCGGACATGCGGTAGTAAAATTTCCGACCTGAAAAACTTGGATAAGTCAGAGAATTTTCAATATAGGAAAAAAATTTAAAAAGCCAAGAAACTTTGTTAGTGCCTAAATATTTTATTCAAATTAGAAATAAATATACACTGGATATTATTTATAACGATCTGAAGGGGCCAGGTAAACTTCTTCACTATAGGCAACCGTTTTTATAAATATATAATTGTTATAACAACCGCAGTGGCTATATCCATCCACCTGTGACTGTCTCAATATATTAAATGATAGAGCTTCTTAACAGTATAAATTGGTCCTCACTATACAAATTATAGTACAGGCCTTAAAGTATAGGAAATACCAAGTGGAACAATTTAATTTTAATTAAACTCGGGATCTCGATGTATAAATATTGAATAATGATGTAGAGATGGTTGACCGTTGATATAATATGAGAGGGAGTTTGTCGTGGGTGCGGTCAGATAAATACTAAATTAAAATATAGTAATTATTTTATTTTAATTTTGCCGACGTTTCGACCCACTTTGCAGGTCGTCTTCAGGGCTACAAAAGATACAAAACATGTTGAGAATAAAAATTAAATATAAGTAGATATAAGATAAGAAGAAGTTGTCAGATACAGAAATAAAAGATGATATCAGAGATATAGTGGGTGACAATGTAGTAAAATATTAAGTATTATATATGTAGAAGATACAAATAAATGGAAAATAAGTATGAATAAAAATAAAAATAAAGGAGAATATAGCATGTAAGTTAAAAGTAAACAGATTACAATAAAAGATAAGGAATAAGTGTATAACAAACTAATAGAGATTACATTAGATAACTGTGGGTTAACAGATAAAGAAAATGAATGTTAACGAATAAATAGATTGAAAATTGAATAAGTAATGTTAAGTATAAGTAATGTAATGTATAAGTAATGTCGAAACGTCGGCAAAATTAAAATAAAATAATTACTATATTTTAATTTAGTATTTATCTGACCGCACCCCCGACAAACTCCCTCTCATATAAATATTGAACATGATCATTTATTACTGGAGCCGTTATTTTGAATATTATAAATTCAAAAACATTGTTACTGTATTATTTTTTATTATCATTTAGAAGTAATTATCGTAATTTGTGTATAAGTTGAAAAAAAATTAGTATTATTGAACATTGTAACTAAGATTAAGGAAGCATTGGAAAAAAAAAAACTAGACTCTGTTGTTTCCGGGGCCAGATTACTAATTGATATTTTAGCATGTGCAAGAGCTCTTACATATTATATCTCTTGTATCTTGACTATCTTTTCTAGATGTTTAGATGTGGCATGCCATACTATTGTATATAGAATAAGTATCTTTTTTTTGTTATTTTTACTATCTTTATTATCTTAAATATCTTCCTTTTTATCTTTAATTGTATATAGTAATTATGTTTGAATTCCCTCTTTTTCCTTGTATTTTATTTCTTTTTATTGTGCATAGTATTAATTCTGTAAATATTTCTTTCTGTAAATAGATCTGTTAACCTTTTTGCTGCTTTATAAAAATATCCAACCTAAACCCTTCTCACCTGAGCTAGTATGGTAGAGTAAATATTTAATGATGACCAAATAATGGGTAAGTACTTTATGTTTTCTAGATTTATCTCTTTAGAGATGAAAGGCTGGTAAGCCAGGCGCCCAACAAATGAAAATTCTTGTGGAAAATTATATCTATTAAAAATTATTTTATTATCTTTTTATTTTATCCTTTTTTTTTTGGTCATAACATAAAAGGCGACAACCCGAAGGACAGACAATAGTCCACGTCGTACTGATTAAAATATAAAAAAAGAAGAGAGAATAACAATTTGTATTTATTTCTGAAATATCGTATTGGTAAGATCTGTATTATTATATTTTGTTTAACATTTTATCTATCCATCTATAATAAATTGAAACTCCAAGTCATTACTAATGACCATCTTTATTTCACATATTAATTTGTTCACTGTTGCAAACGATGACCTTTATATTACGATACAAATTTTTTAGAACTCACCTAAAACCAGCTTGCCTGTCCCTGAGGGTCGCATCAAAGAGCCCAAGGCTGCAAATGTCCAGCCACCAACCGCAGATGAGAGGCAGCACGCCTATCTCCACGACCGACAGCAACGACACTTTCACAACAACGTAGCAATGACCAAGCACACGCCTCGACTTGACCAAGCTCAGCAATGCTGCCAGGGAGTGGAGCCCGACGAGGCAGAGCCCTATTACACAGTAACCGCACAAAGTAGTCACCAGCCCTGTAACGGAAGCAATAGTTAAAAATAAATATCAATCATAAAAAACATAATAATTTTTCAAAATATAAAATAACATTATTTTGTTCAAAGCTAGTCGATTTCTAAATATTATTATTTATTTAGAAATGTAATAATCTGTCATGTGGAAAATAATTATAGTGATATATGAACACATTAACACCATACATACAGAATATAAAATGTAGTAGATAGCCCCCTGTATTTACTCCTTTAGTTGACATTGTGTGAGAGAATGAGAAGGAATATAGAAATGTGAGGTTACATGATGAATTTTACTCAATTGTATAATGGACAAATTATTCATTTGAAAAGTCTCATATCGATAAATAATCGATGATGAAGGAAGAAGGTTGGAGGTACCGAAAGGATCCAGCAGGTAGCAACAGCTGGAGAGGGGAGAGGGCATTCTAGGCCAGGACAGGTAGAAAGGAGGTTGTCAGGAGAGAGGAGAACTTACTTGAGGCTGGACATTGAGGCGGAACGACATACCTGGGAAGAGAGTCAACTACAAGATTTAGAAAATCAAGTCTATAGTTATAACACTTTAATAGAGTCAATTTATTACAGTTGTAGAAATAAAATTATTTTGTTATACAGGAGTGAAAAGTCATTTATTTATTTAGTTGTCCTATATACCTCACGATTGAAGAATAACAAACCAGGTGAGTCAATTCATTCAAAATGTATTTACTAAGTCCCATATTTCAAATATATATTCTTATTGTTTCTTCTCACTCAGTATCACAAAAGGTATTAGATCCCCGAATTCCCAACTACAGTTAAACACCGTCAAAAAGTCTATATCCAGTGCCGGGGTTTTGTTTTAATGATTCACGAGTGTAAATAACCTAAAACCCCGATATAAAAGCGGAAGGCTATTCGCCTATTCCCGCCAAAGTAGGTTATTTACAAAAATTAACAAAAGTAAAATAATAACTAAATAATTATCAAAAACTATGTACAATAACAAATAAATAATCTAAAGATAAGTAAATTAAAAATATAAAAACACAGTCATACCTATATACAATTCTAAATATTAAAATCGATGAATGTTTCCAAAAGATTTTTTTTGGCAAAATTATAAGCATTAAAATTGGATATAATTTTTTTTTTTTTTGTGGAAAAATGTACTACAACCAAAAAGGCCTACTGTACGTCTAAATTAGTGTAGATCTTATTCAGAGCAGTCTCTACAAACTGAAGTAGGCTTGTTGGATTGAGAAGCTGGATTGTTGGCATATTACAAACAGGATAAACTATCCACCTTAGGGATTAATTCATCAGATAAGAAGCGTATCATAGTGACATAAAAATAAACAGAAAAACCAAAAGGACTTATTTGCCAACCCAATATTTTCGTTTACAATTATATTGGCCTTGTGTTTTTTTACATTTTATAATTTATTTTGTTGACATTTTCAATTAATTTTACTAACAGCCTAATTTCATTCATCTTCAGTTAAACATTCTCTTTGGTTGATAATTTTTTTTAAAAACTGTAGCACAACCTACGAAGGGTCTAGGATTCAGTATTTTGTAAAGAAATACTGTTTAAATACTAACGTTAATACAGGGAGGTGATTGGGAGCAAGATCATCTTCAATCCCCATTTTTCCTCTTAATTATTAAATTAAGAGTACTGACATTATAGAGGCTGGACATACCCCAGAAAGATCTCATGATAATCAGTCGATTCGCGGCAAAATAAATTACTGGTCATAATGGGACTCAAACTTGAGGCTTGCAGCATATGAAAAACGTACCTTACCCATCAAGCTAGCCCACACCCCATAAAATAGGATCTCATTTCATAAAAAATACTAGGCTTACAAAAATGTAAAAAATTATGACAAAATAGAAAATGCGTCAGATATCCATATCGACTTAAAATGTTTATATAAAAAACATTGTAAGGTTATAAGACCACAAAACTCCCACAAATATATTTCACTAATAAAATTGGTACTTTTTGTCTAGCCGGCACTGACTGCTATCTGCCAATGTTTATAACCTGAACACTGATAATTCCCATAACACATTGATAAGCCTTCTCCTACTTCATATCTTTGTATTATTGTATTAAATTCGTATTATTGAGAGTGTAAAAAGATACAAAAACAAATGTAATAACAAAAAAAACTGTTATTTTACGATACATATATTAATGAAATAATAAAAAACCACTTTAAGAAGAGATATAAGCTCTTTGCCCCACTTCATCGTTGTTAAGCTATGGGACCACTTATAAATCAATTTTAAAGCTGTTAAAAATGAAATCCTCGAGCCCTCCAACCATGTTCCTTTCCTTATTGAAAGTTTTGTGTCACAAGTCCTACGAAAGCATCTCCATTTGGCGTTCCTGGTTAACTTCATTTCATGACCTCGTTTCGTTCACACAATTTCATGTCTGCAAGTATCCCCACATTTTGAAAATATTGAATTGCCTGTTCTTCTGAAGACGGCAAATCCCATATTCTAAGAAGATCCATAATATGACGAAAATAAACGGAAAAAAAAAATGAAAAATAAACACAAAGGGGCCACAAACTAAAAAAAAATGAAAAATAAACACGAACGGACCAAAAACTAAAAATAATGAAAAATAAACAAAAACGGGCCAAAAGTAAAGAATTTAATAAGCGAACGTAATAAGGGAATAACTGAAAACTAAACAATGCAATAACTCAAAGGTTTGGCGGGATAAGAAGAGGGAGGTTATGTGACGTGACGTTAGATAAGAGAGATAACAAGTGAGGTTTCGTGCCGGCCCGTTAGACGTAAGTACCATAAAATTTTTAAAACCATCCTTACGCTTACAATTATATGATAATACCTTGGAAATGGGATGCCGTAACATGATGTTTAAGTCCCAAAGCAGACACTGCTAGCTGACCCATATGATACGGGCAGAAGGCAAAGACCAGAATAAATAGAGTGTTAAGAGAGACCACCCAAAAAACATGCTCCAGGAAGACGAGGGAGCCATCAAGACCTAAGAGGCGCTCCCACGTCAACTCCTCTGCGGCTCTGTCCCACTCCAGAGGATTCCAATCTCCAGCACCGCCTCCTCCGTTGTCGCCATTGTTATCTCCTCCTCCGACCTCCTGCAACAGTAGACATAATATAATTCACAATCATCATTTTATATAACATATTAGGTATTATCTCAAAAAGGTAAATTATAAAATATTATGCTCAGGCAGTTTTAAATAAGAACAAAATCAATTAAATTTAAATATTTATTATCATGTTATAAATGACTTACACAACTTGTATAATTAATTTAAAATACAATCTTTACTGTTGGCATTGTATTTTACACAGATATTTTTGCAATGTTCCCTAGGCAATATAAGCGAAGTAAATTTACAGCACTAAAAATAAAAGGTCCCAGAGTAAAATTATTTTTTCATTCATTCACAAAAAAAATCTTATCAACTGGCCGATTCAAGTCCTAAAGTTTTTGTACTTTAGCTTATCTAGTACTACAGCTTGTCGAGGGGGCTATGTTTAAGATGACGATTATGAACAGTTTCATAATCACTTTAAATGATAAATATTTAATATCATTATTTGGCACTTATCTAGTAGCGGGTAGCGTCAAAACCTCCCTTCTTATCTAATCTCATTTCAGATAACCTCCCTTATCTCATCTAACCTAAGTTATTCTGTTGTTTAGTTTTTGTTTCTTGTGCCAGGTGTGAGTTTATTTAATTATGGATCTTGTCACATTGTGGGAATTGCCGTCTTCAGAAGAAGAGGCTATCAAATATTATCAAGACGCCGGTATATTTGATAAGGTGAAATATTGTGATGAGGGTCATAAAATGAAGTTCGACGGGAAGATTAAATGGAGATGCTTTTGTAGGTGTAACAAAACCATTTCTATAAGGAAAGGAACGTGGTTAGAGGGGTCGAGAATTACTTTTTTAACGGCTTTAAAATTCATTTATGGGTAGTCCCATAATTTAACTACAATGGGGGAAAGAGCAGCTCAAACTATTTATCGGAACTGTCGTAGCATGGAACAAATTTTTAAGAGAAGTTTGTGCCCATGACATGTTATACAGGTCGAATAAAAAAATTGGCCTGGCAAAGTCGTCTAAGTAGACGAGTCTTTTTTTCGAAAAAAAAAAATCATGTGGGGAGAGTCCTACCTGAGCAATGGATGTTTGGCGGAGTTTTCCAAGAGAAACAGACAAGTGTTTTATCGTTAAAATAAACGATAGAAAAGCAAAAACTTTATTAGAAGCCATTAAAAACAATGTAGAATGTGTTTATATATATGTTGCAATGTTTTTGTAATGTTTTTTAATTATATAATTATAATGTTGTAAAATAAAAGCATTTTGTTAATATTACATTTGTTTCTGTTTTTGTTCAAAATTTCAATAATATCAATACAATACAATAAATACGAATAAGAACATATAATAATATGAATATAATACAATAAATATGAATACGAAGAGCTTATCAGTGTTAAGGTTATAAACATTGGCAGATAGCAGTCGGACGGTACCCGCTATTAGATAAGTACCCATTATTTTTAACCTAATTTTGTTTCATAAATAAAAAGTGTGTATTAATGAAATTCTGATGATTATAATATATCTCAGCAGGTCATAAAAAAACAAACAAACTAAGGCTTGTGCTTTAAACCACACGATAGAAGTGTAAACATCAACGAGGTGAGATAAATAATATGGAATATAAATTATAAATAATAGCTCTTTATAAAGAGAATGAGATGCTAAACATTTCCCACGCTAACAGTATGCAGGTCCGATATTCAGTTTCTGAGATATTTTAATCCATGTGAAAAAAACATTTCAATTAGTCGACTCCAGTCAACTTTACCCGAGCGTTACACATCGGAGATCTGACGTCTCAATATAATTTACTATCCACAAAAAAAAAAAAAAAAAAAAGTAAAACGTGCTTAAATAAGTTTCACTTCGAAAAACGAAATAATATACTAACAATAATTTATTTTAGCCGTTTTTACAGAAAATAAGGGTACCTTTAAGTGACAGGATATCAAATCACATAATTTTTTTTATACTTGAGTTGAATCTCAGTTTATTTCGTAATAAACCTCAACTTCATTAATATCAACGTGAAGCTTATTAAATGAAAAAAGTTTTTCTAAAAATCCGGTATCTGTAGTATATTTGTAGGGTAGTAAAAAAATAATCGCGCGAATAATTCATGATTTTTTTAAAAATCAGAACTTAGCTTAGTTTATCCGCTCAAAAGTTCTCTTTAAATAGTTTTAACAACAAATTCTACTTTACTTTAAATAAATTTTGTCAAGTTCACTGTGAAGCAATCTTTATATATTATTGCTCAAAGGTGTTTTTTTATTAGTACGCCATATCTTCGTCAATTCTTGTCATCAAATCTAATGATTGACCCCTCATTTTGTAGATATTCTTCACATTTAAAAAATATTAATATTTCCCCAAAATTTCTGGAAAAAAAGTTATGAAAGAAAATCAAATTTATTTGCAAATAACTCAAAAAGTATATATTCTGTTCCTGATTGGACTTATTTTGATTATTAAAAAGATTACTGAATTTCCTACAAAATAAAAAAATATTCATAAAAATCGGACAATTATTAACAAAGATACAGTCCATTAGTTTTGATATACTTAATAATGTCTTCCTGTTTTAAGATATGGCATTTAGGAATATAATAGTCAACTACATTTTTTTTCCTGGCTGATATATTAACTTTATTATTTCTTAAAGACATTTGGTTGTTCTTACATTTTATTTATTTTTTTAATAATTTAGAATATCCCATTATCGGTGCATTATTTTGTCATTATTACTTTTATTATCTTTCCAGTCATCGCTTAAAAATAGGTCCTAGTAAAGCAATTTGTACAAATATTTTGGTCTATGTCTATGTTTGATGGAATATTGTAATCGACCAAGGAAATATTAATTCCTTCCTTACATAATACAAATGAACTACTTATTTCCATATTGTTTTTCTATTTCTTCAGAAAACAAAATTTTCTGCGAATTTTTAATTTACAATTGCAACTTCTATAGTCATACACACAATCGCAAGATTAGATAACTTATTATTTATGATAATTCGCAAATGGAATTGAAAAATTATAATGAAGTATTGATATTCCATATTTTTCTTTAGTCTCATTCTACCGAAAATATTTTAAATATGACAATAATGTATTTACTAGAGTTCCAAAAATTCTTTAGAAACTTTTTTACAGATTTTCGAGTAGATATCGATTGTAAAATCTTATCCACAAAAAATAAAAGACCTGAAAAGATTTATGAGTTAACGACACAACGGAGGAAACGTCAGTGAAAGAAAATTGAAAACACGCACACTGAAAAAGTATTAAGATTTTCATATTTATCCGTCTTGGAATATAAATGAATTCGCTATACTTAATAATTATTTCCTCTTTGATGATACTGCATTTACTATTCAACTACCCATTTTTTCCTGGTTGATATATACTTCATTATTTCTTAAAATTATTTTTTGTTGGTATATTATATATTTTTAAATAATTTAGAAAATTCTATGATTGAGGATTTATTGACATCAGCATTTAAAATAGGCCCTAGAAAAGCATTTGTACAATTATTCTGGTCTATGATATCAAATGGGATATTGTAAGAGACCAAGAAAAAAAAATCAATACCTCCCTCATATAATATACAGGATCTACTTATTTCCATATTGTTTTGCTATTCCTTCACAAAAAAAAATATATCCTGTGAATTATCCGCACAGGCCAACTAGTTTTTAATTATTTAAATTAAATTGTTTTTTGTTTATTTCTTCCCATTCATAAAAAAAAAAAAATGACACAAAAAAGAAACGCAAAACTAAAATTTCTCACTTAGCTCATAAGGTCTACTATCATCCCTTTAAATATTTTCCGCTACTTACGAGACATATTATACATTAAGCCTAGTTAATTTAATTTTTTTTTTTTATTGGCTCACCTCGTTAGCTGGTTGTTCAATGAGGTTGTTATTGACCTGAGGTTGCGCCTGCACCTGCTGTTGTTGGGCGCCGCCAACCCAGCCTCCGTCTTCCCTTTCGAGCCAGTCGGGGCCGCCTCCGTGGAGGATCTGCTCCCGCAACCAGACAAGTCCGATAAAAGCAAACAGCGTACAAGTCACAACAAAGCATCCATGAAATATATCAGATCCAATGTTTTCAGTAGACAGCATATCCAAAGGGAGGGTCAATACCTAAAAAAAATAATGCGAAATGATTATCGCACGCTCAATATGTTGAGACAATGTGGGCTGCTAAAAAGAGAAGAAAAAATATTTTAAAATCGCGATACCTCTACTAATGGTGCTTTGATTTCGATGAAACATCTTTCATTTTTATTTAAATACCTTTGAAACATCTTATCACTATAACAAAAAAGAGTATACTTTTTGATTTATACGGAATTTAATTTTACCATCCCTCATAACTTTTTTACCAGCTTTTTTTCGTTGAAGTATGTTATATAGACAAATTTAAAGGTGCCGAGAAAATGACTTTAGCGAAGTTTCATTGAAATCAATACATTCGTTTAGGCACTAGAGTCTATAGCAATGCAGGTTTTTCTGCATTTTTATTTTATTTCTCCTTTATTAACTTATCAAATTCTTTCAAAAGTTATATGTAGCATTTTTTTATAACTCTGAATAATGCGAAATGATTAACTTTTTAAAATAAACCATATTAAAGGTACTTTTACAGGAAGACATATATGAACATTGGGCATTTAAGCCCTGTAAAGTTAAATCAACGGGGATAAGACTTAAATTATATTAAAGACCACTTAATTATACAATGATACACCGAGTTTAATCAAAATCGTTAAGAGCCGTTTTTGAGAAAATTGTAAAAATATGTTTCAGCGTTCATATAAAGTGGCACTTCCGGTTAGCCGATTTTAACAAAAAGGTTGCTGTCACATCTGGCCCATATACAAACCTTAAATACTTAATATCAGTTTCTTACTACTTTTCGTTTATGAGCTAGACTGTTAACACACACACAGGACCATTTTGCGACACTTGGTTATTTGAACTCAGGGGACCTCAAAACATGTATTTCCGTTGAAAACTGAGATTAACAAATTTTTCACGATCGCAATACTTACCCTTACTATATATTACATATATACGTAAGTGACAGTAAAAAGGCTTAAAAATTGAAATTTTTTTTAACCATACATAATATTGTCATACAATAGACAACAATTTAGCTATTTTTTCATAAACCAAAATAAATATTATTAAAAAAACAAATCTTGATTTTCAATATATAATGTACAAAACCTTTATATATTGTAATATACACCTTAATTGGAAGTTGGTAAAAATGGTTTAGTAAATTAATGTGAACAGTTAAAAGGCAAGCTAATCTATTTCTACTAGTTGAGGGAAAATAAAATAACTGCTCTGTAGTTTTCCCAAAAAAGAAAATCCCAAAAGAGGAGAGCGGATAAAGGATATTGTTTTGGCGAGTAGTTGGTGTTTAGCTGGGGTAAAGAGGGGATAGGAGAAGGGATCCTGGCTTCAGTGGGTAAAACACAGTAAATGCCAACTGAATAACGATATTACACTAATGTTATCCTATTAATCTTTCAATTTCTTTACTTCTTAACCTTTAGCCCCCTATCTGTTTACCTACAATCAAATTGTAGCCCTGAAGAAGACTTGCAAAGTGGGCCGCAATGTCGGCAAAAAATAAAATAATAACCATCTGTTTAATTTAGTTTTTATTTGACTGCACCCCCCCCCCTCCCGATTAACTCTTTCTCATATTATATCAACGGTCAACCATCTCTACATCACTGGAAGTTATTATTTGGCAGAGAGACTAATTGTTTGGAATTACAAGAGAGAGGATCTCCTAGGGAGCTTGAGTTGAGTAGAAGAAAGTAAGTGTCACCATTTTGGAAGATGTGTTTCGCAGATCATAGGAAAATGTAGGAAGAAAAATGAATTTAGCGCAACAAAGGAAAAAACATTATCTATAGAAAAAAGCTTAGCTTGCCAATTCATACATGACTTTATTTTAAAATCGGTGTTTAATTTTAGTATAAATAATAATAGTTTGTGTCTGAGTGTTTTAATCTGATTGACAGTAAAATTGTACCTTGAGATAAAATAAATATAAATTTCAATTTAATATATAAATACTCTTATAATTTTGTTTATTATTTAACAACCTTTTCTTTTGGAAGTATGCCAAGAGTATAAAGTGATCTTCCACGAGAGATATTACAATATAATACAGATTGTAACGCTGCGGACTAAACATGGGTGCACTAATAAAGATCTTATTCATATGAGAATTGAAAAATAAGGCAATTGTGAAGTCTGTAAAGAGCCAGAAGATTGAAATATTTTTTGTAAAAATACAAAACACAACATAGAATTTAGTTTAAATGTAAATATAAAGAAATCTGGAAATACACATGTTGAGAAACTACCCATTGGTAGCACTCTAATAACATGTCTATTTTAGGAGATCATGTAGCCAACTTCTTTTCAGACGCCTCGGAGGGTTATCGGGAATTGAATAGGAATCAAGGTTAGAAATAAGAGGGTTTCGAACTTTATTAAGGAAGGATAGATATCTGGATTGGGCCAAATCTGATACATAAGGAACATTAATTGTGTCATTGTGGATGATTTTATTTGTAACAAAGCATTGAGGATTTTATGAAGGATTTTAGATTGTAAGAATTGGATACAAGAGGAATTTGAAGGTTTGGTGGAGCCCCATAGCTCAACTCCGTAAGTTCAAATAGGCCTTATTATAGTCATGTAAATGAGTCTTTTGTAATTAATTGGAAGGGTAGAGCGTTTATCTAGTAAGTGTTGAAGTAGTTGGAAACGTAGAGCTGTTTCTTGTCGTTTCAGTCTGGTATGAAAATTCCAAGTTAGACGTTTGTCCAGGTGTAGTCCTAGGTAACAGATTTGTTCAACAGGAATAAGTAAGGTGTTGTTAAAGGATGCTGAAGAACAGGAAGTCATTGGTTTACGATGAAGGGTGAATGTAAATTTGCAGTAATAAATGTATAAACCTGTACCACAACAACTGGTGGAGGATCTTGGGTTCAGTTTTTTGTAAGGAAAATAATAGTTATGCGGGGAGATTTGACCAATATCACGCTCAACTGCCAGATTTACTCACTTAATAAATTATTTACTTAAGAGTACAGGCAGAGTGTACCGTACCCCAGAAGAGTCTTCTGACACTTAAGTCCATTGATAGATGATGAAAAAATAAATAATAACTTGCCACAACTGGGTTAAAAACCAAGACCTGGAGCATATGAACACAATGCCTTACTCACTGAGCTATCCTACTTCCCTTACATTTAATGTATAAATAAAAATGACTTAATTATCTTAAAACTTAATAAATACATTATAATATTATCAAATTAAGATTCCTTTGATAGATAATATAAAAAATTATATATATTAGAGGATATCTCAATTATAATTTTGGAAGACATTTAAGGCTCCTACACATAAATGATATACATTCCGGCGATACGACACCCTTTGTTTATGCCACAGTTAAAAAAAAAAATACACCTATATCGCTGTAGACAGGAATATTGTATTGCTAAGACATATTCCAATTTGTAAACAGGAGCTTATAACCTTTTCAAAATGAATAAAAAGAGTATATCTATAACTCAAAATATTTAAAAACTAATCGTTGCTAGATATCAAATACGCAATTTATCAACAACAGAAAATAATGTAAAATATGTATTTATACATCCCAAATAGAAACTAAGAATATACACTGACAGGAAATAAATTCCATCCACTTGATTTTTTCATGTTTTCATCTAAAAATATTTCTGCTTTGGATTGGTCTATTGTTTTTAATGAATAAATAGGTAATATTTTTGTTTGTTTTCAATTAGGAATGTTAATATAGAGGACAATAACACTTAATCCTTAATTCAATGAAATGATTCTACATTCCAATGTTTACTTTCTATGAAATCAAAATGTTTATTCAGTATCATTAGTTCAGTGCCATTTATCGCAATACATTTCTTAGTCTCCGGCTTTTAATTTCTGCAATAATAAGTTTTAAAATGCTTCTTAGTGCTGAGGATGTTGCGCGTGGTGTGGCACTTATTGATGATGGACGTTTCATTAGATATGCAGCTAATGCCATCCGAGTTCCATATGAAACTTTACGAAACTGGTTCTTACAATAGAAGGCCTAGAGTAACAGAACCACGGGATGACCGGTTTTTAACTTTGAGAATTTTACGAAACCGGCACCTTACCGATGTTCAAGCGATTTATCAGCTCGAAGAAGTTTCAGGTGTGCAAATTTCTCAACGTACTGCTCGGAGAAGATTAAATGAGTATGGATTAATGGCTTTTCGTCCAGTAAGAGGACCAGAGTTGACCAGGACTCACAGAGTAACATGGCTGGCTTTTGCTCGAGAACACAGCCATTGGACTATGGACGAATGGAGGGCTGTACTTTTTACAGATGAGTCAAGATTCGATCTCCAGACGGGCGTGAAAGGGTGTGGAGAAGAAGAAACGAAAGATATGCAGCCTGCAATTTTTCCCAGAGCCAACCTTTCCAACGTGGTTCCTTAATGGGTAACAAATGGGTGGAATTTTTTGCCTCTCAGTGTATAATTAATTCTTTATTACACATATTATTAAAATATTTAATGATGATTATAATAATAACAAATAAACTTACAGAATCTACAGATCCATTAAAGAGGCAACGATAAACTCTACATGCTGTAAGCGGTACAATACCAAGCCATGCAATGGCGACTAACGTATAATGAATCCAGTATTTGACGGCGGTGGCGATACTCGACAGGAGACCACCTGCCACATCTCTAATGGGCAATCGCCGAGGCATGTCAGGTGAATAGATTGGCATAAATGAGAACCTGGAAAACAAAAAAATTAAGATGATAATGTAACTAGATAAAGAGCAATCTCAATAATTAATTTCTGCATAGAATGTTTGGATTATAGAGGCTGTTCAGGAAAACTACTAGCAGTAAACGGTTAGTAAATAAACAAATAAATAAGCAGCTGATAACACACAAATGCATGTAATTAACACAAGAAAATATTTAAATAAAAACTGCCAAAAGCTGTATAATATTCTAATAGAACAAGTTAAAAATTTAGTTAGTATGTACTTAACAGAAACACACAATAATGTCAGAATCGTTAATTATTTATCCGAAAAGATTGAGGTCTGTCTGAGTTTAATACAAGGGGATTCCCTTTCACCTGTTCTATATGATTTAGCATTAGAACATGACATTAGAGAGGTAATGCGTACTAAAAAAGTTTTGAATCTGTTTGGAACAATATCCATGTTTGGTTATGCTGATGATGTGGTCCAAATGGTACACAGAAAATATAAAACTAAATACAACGTTGACAAATGCCGGTAAAGAACTGGGTCTAAGAATACGGATAAGACAAAATATATGGTTAGCTGCAAAAATGGTGACAATTTCAGTTATATCTATATAGAAAAAACCTGTACCACTACAACCCATGAAGGGTCTTGGGTGCAGTACTATTTAGAGAAAGTACTGTTACAAGGCCAACGGCTGTGCAGGGAGGTGATGGGGCCGATATCACGCTCAACCGCCAGGTTTTCCCCCTTAATTATTTTTTTAAATTAAGGGTACCCACTTTAAAGAGGCTGGGTGTGCCCAGGAGGGTCTCCCGACCCAGGGTCGATCCACAGCTAATGAAAAATTACTAGTCATTAGACGGATTCGAACCCAGGACCTTGAGCTCTGGAAGTCTGTGCTCACCCACTGAGCTACCCCGCTCCCCGTTATATCTATATAGGAGGGAATATGTTTGAAAACAGAGAACACGGTCTACAATAACTTAAAAAAAAAAAAAATGAAATTGAAGATGAGATTAAGGTACAGTTGAAGCCATGAAATTCTTGTTAGTTTTCTGTGACAAAATTATTCAGCTTGCACTTCTTGTCCTGTAGAATGTTCGGCCCAAAGAAGGATGAGTCAATAGCAGAATTTAGATGGTTATACAACATTGAATTGCGTAGACTTTTTCGTTTAATATAATTGAGATAATTAGATTGGAGCGAATAAGAGTGTGTAAAATGGTTGAGCTTAGAACAAAAGAATCCCTAAAAGGTTAATATCCAAAGTGTAGAGCGAAGCGAAGGCGGGAAGATTGCTTTAGGCCTCATCTAATGGGGTTGGGTTTGGATGCTGACCGGCGGAGGGAGGTGTATAGACAGAGAATGGTGGTGTCAGCATCAAGCCTTCGGGTTTAGTAAGCCTTTTATTATTATAATTTTTGGTACTTTTTGTCTAAGCCGCCGCTACTGACTGCTATCTGCCAATATTTATAACCTGAACACTGATAACTCCCATAACACAGTGATAAGCCTTCTCCTACTTCACATGTTCGTATTATTATATTAAATTCTTATTATTGAAAGTGTAAACAGATACAAAAACAAATGTAATAACAACAAAAATACTTTTATTTGACGACAAATATATTAATGAAATAATAAAAAAAACACTTTAAGAAGATATGCACACATAAAACATCAAAATGAAATTAAAAAAAACAAATTTAAAAGAACATATTTACATAGAAAAGAAAAAATAACAACACTATAAACAACGTATATACAAATTATTTTAAGTTAATTATTCACTTCCTTTCGTCTTATTTATTTCGGAAGGCAAAATTGTTTTATGCTACTTAAAATAGCGAGGAACGGGTCCTCTTCTCTGTGAACCCGCCGCCACAAAAATTTGCACAAATATGAATCGAGGTGTTGTCTGGCAGTTCCTCTATGTACTTTATTTCTCCACTTAGCTGAGCCCTACAATTGTTCTATGTGTTGAGTATGAACCCCAGTTGATGGATCGACAAAATTATACCGGTGATTCACATGGAAATGGTCATAGTTATGCTTTCAGATTCAGTTGTCGGTGTTGTATCCTTTCCAACCAGTCCGAATAAATGGTCGTGCCCTCTTCTATATATTTCTTTAATTGCTTGTAATAATGGTTGTTGCCTTTCTGTCAATTATTTTGACGATAAAACAGTCAATCTGTTTCTCGGCAAAACTCCACCAAACATCCACTGCTGAGGTAAAACTCTCCCCACATGATTTTTTTTCGTTTAGAAAAAAGACTTTCGTCTACTTCAACCACTTTGCCAGGCCCTCCAATTTTTTTTCTTGGCCTGTATAACATGTCATGGGCACAAACCTCTCTTAGACATTTGTTCCACGTTACCATAGCTCCGTAGGACAGTTTCAGCTGCTCTTTGCCCCACTTCATCGTTGTCAAGCTATGGGACCACCCATAAATCAATTTTAAAGCTGTTAAAAACGAAATCCTCAAGCCCTCCAACCAGGTTCCTTTCCTTATTGAAAGTTTTGTGTCACAAGTCTTACGAAAGCATCTCCATTTGGCCTTCTTGGTTAACTTCATTTGATGACCTCGTTCACACAATTTCACGTCGGCAAGTACCCCAACATTTTAAAAATACTGAATTGCCTGTTCTTCTGAAGACGGTAAATCCCATATTCTAAGAAGATCCATAATATGACGAAAATAAACGAAAAAAAAAAATGAAAAATAAACACCAAGGGGTCACAAACTAAAAAAAAATGTAAAATAAACACAAATGGGCCAAAAACTAAAAATAAACACAAACGGGCCAAAAGTAAACAATTTAATAAGTGAACGTAATAAGGGAATAACTGAAAACTAAACAATGCAATAACTCAAAAATTTGGCGGGATAAGAAGAGGGAGGTTATGTGACATGATGTTAGATAAGATAGATAAGAAGTGAGGTTTCAAAACGGCCACTTAGACAAAAAGTACCTAATTTTTTAAAGCATTCAGATAATGAAGAAGAATTTGTTTGAATATTTTGGAAAAGGAATAAAAAAGGCTAATAGGAGGATAGGAATTTCGATAGGCCCCATTGTTCATAATGTTCGGTTAATTTTCTGAACATACACCTAGTATCAAATTCATCCTGTGCTATTATCACTTGGTTATCAGGGAGTAATGATAATAAGTTTTAAATTGAAATTAATGTGTTCAACATATTGTTTTAAAACACACTTACAGGATATAAAAGTTTAACATGATAATTAATCTTAAATTTTTTCTGCAATTTTGTATCAAGATTTATAGCCCAAAAATGGGGCAGTAAAGAGTAAAATCAGTTTTTCAAAAACGTATAAAGGCATCATCAAACCACTGCTCCCACCCTGACCAAACCCATTAACTGTCTTTCGAGGAGAAATTCAGTTTATTAAAGCCAATAGCCAGACAAGTTCATACTGTTCAGTAATCAATTGCTCTAACCACAATGCTATTGTGTAGCAACAATTAATCTTCTTAAAAACGATAATGTTTGTTTACTTCTGTAGCGTTTCGCTGCTTATAAATAATGATGTCCTTACTAAGATGTCAATGCGTGATTTTCGAATAATTTTGTTTTACCAGTTTAAACTAGCCGGAATGGGACCGAGACAGCCAGAAACATCAATCAAGTCTGGGGCGAAAGCAGATTAATGAATGCACTGTTTAACGGTGGTCCAAAAAATTTCGGGAGGGAGACTTCAGCATTGAAGACAAAGAAGATGTTCAGCAGGCTTTGGTGGAAGAAAACCCCAGAATAACCATTCGAGAACTTGTAAGAAACTTAACCTTAGCAAATCGACAGTCGATGACCACCTCAAGGCAATTGGTAACGTAAAAAGGCTTGAAATTTGGGTTCCACATACATTAAATAACCAGCGTTATGAAGTTTGTGCTACAGTTCTTTGCTGAAAAAAAAAAAAAACTATCTTTTTCTGTCCAGAATTTATACTTGTGATGAAACATGAATAATTTACGAAAACACTAGACATTCTGTACAGTGGCACGACAAAGGAGAAGCACTTGTACATTTTTCAAAGCCCTCAACTCATCAAAAAAAGAAGATGAATATTGTTAGGTGGACTGCATTTGGTTTGATACACTACAGCTACTTGAATCCTAGGGAACTCATCAATGCCGAATTTTATTGTAACCAAAATAATGCAATGCATCAGAAATTGGCAATAATAAGCTATTATCACATAAGTCAATCGAAAGTCTTATTTTGTTGCATGACAATGCCCGGCCACATGCCACATCACAAAAACTGTTGGAGCTCAGATATGAAATTTTACCACATCCGCCCTACTCTCCAGACCTCTCGCCTATGAATTATAATTTTTATTTGACACCTGGACCACTACATAACTTTTGTAACAAAAAATTTAAGGGACAAAGAGAATCAGAAAAGTTAACGACACGTTAGCAGAAATGTATTGAGAGTTGTGGAGACTATTTTTATCAAATAAAACAGTTATAAATATTTCTTTTTAAACCAAAATTCACCATTATTTTCCAGAAAACCCAATATAGTCAAGAAATTCTATATTAATAGATTAGTAAGGATTGTTATTTCCTGAAAACACAATTTTATATACAAATATAATAAAATTAAAAAGGAAGGAGATGGTCCGGGGTTGCGGTCATAAATAGGCTAAATAGTGGTAAAACTATTTTATTGAAAGCCAACGTTTCGACCCAACTTTGCAGGTCTAAGCGAAACTCCTAGCTGAACACACCTCCCTGAAGAAGACCTGCAAAGTCGGGTCGAAACGTCGGCTTTCAATAAAATAGTTTTACCACTATATAGCCTATTTATGACCGCAAACCCGAATCATCTCCTTCTTTTATAATGCAAAGGTCAACTATTACATATTCAATAATAAAATAAAAATAATGGTAGACTTACCGATAACCACATAATTCACAATACTCTTTGTGGGAATACCTCATCCATTGAACAAGGCATTCTTGATGAATCCATTTGATAGACCCCGTGCAAATACAGGGGTGGAATAGAGGACGATCGCTGGAGCCCTCCGACCGGCAAACACGACAAATATCACCACTCTGGGTATCCTCCATCTTCTTTAATACCTGACAAACACATAGGTAACTTATTTATTGATTCGTAAGCAATAACTGGATGTTTAAGTTTCTATAATCACCATCTTTAAAATCTGGATTCTTGCCATAACTCAATAAAATAAAATTAAATCATTCATTAGTTCTTACAGCTTTAAGAAATGCCTACAAAATTTTAGATATTTGGGGAAACCAAAATCACATGTTATTTTCTTAAGGAGTGCACAACGATAGAGGTTCAACTATATACCAACATTGAAACATAGAAACTCATATTACAAGAAATTAGATTCATTTCCATTACCCTAAAATATAGAAATTCCATGAGATTGATTGAATGAGTTTAGGCTAAGTGATTATAAAATGAAATCATATGTTATATGAGAAAATAGGCTATCTTATACAAACATTGAACATTAATGTTCTTTTAATGTATTTGTTTGTTATTTAAAGAGTGAATAACAGTTATGACTAACTATAATAGAATTTTGATTTTCTATACTTAAAAGTTTTCCTTCATGAATTGTCATTAACATGGATCCCATGACTAGCTAATTTATAAACACAATATTAGGTTCAGTTATAAAGGGAGATATCAGTGAGTGTATAAATTAGTACAAATACTTAATAAACTTAAGTAAGCAGTAAGATTAAGTAAATTAGAAACAGAACTTACATTCAATAATAAACTTCACATTACAAATATGTCATAGTCTTAATTTACGAATTCTTTCACCAAATCCCATTATATAGAAATCAAAACTGCCATCTTGCGTAGTTTTAACAACAACAAAGAACTAAAACAGAATAAGTACCAATAACAAACAACTTTATTCCAAAATTCCACAGTTGTGCGAAGGTTGATGACAGTCCACTGGTTAGTGCTACCACTCCATATAAATACTCAAGAAGTAATAAGTCATCATTAATTGGATCTTCATTCTGATTCATTTATTAATGAAATGCAAATTTACAAAATTTCGAACAATACTTGGAAATTTAGTTTAGGTATCTAAAAAAAATAAAGATTTTGTAAATTACTGTATAATTATATTTGATGTATGCAGGTTTCTGTGTACCACACGTAAAACAAGATGGCTGACGTATTGAGTGTTGTCACTTCTGTTATCTGAAGTCCTGTTTGTATGAATCTAGAATTATTTATGGCCTTTCAATTTGGCGATATCCTTTTTTATTGTAAAAAATGCAAAGGAGTTTCAAAGCTAAAGAAATGTTTATAGTGCGAGCATTAGAAAAAATATTAGCTGATAAGGATATCAAAAGATCACATCATTCCCAATTAAAAAGAGCATGTGAGGTGGCATTAGGTAAAATTACACAATATTTAATTTTTTTAAATATGTATTTTTAAAATCCCTTTACTTTTTTTTTTTTTGGTTGTGGGGTTTTTATTTTTGTTGTGGGGGTCCTTATGTCTAGAATCTTTAAGGATTGCTTGCAATTGTAGCACTTATCATTGCAGAGGAAATAAGAAATGAATTGAAAGAGGGGGATATAGAAGACCCCAGTAGTTCGTCAGCTTTGCCTCTTCCAAAAGAAGGGAATGATATAGTATCAGCTGAAAAATACTTCTTGCCTTTTGAACTTGCCTGTCAAAGTAAATCACCTCGAATAGTTGTCACTGCACTTGATTGTTTACAGGTTTGAATTATTTCTATTTTATGTGATTGGCTTATTTTATTAGTATGGTATTTTGTTCATGCATATTTTATCAACCCATAGAAATTAATTGCGTATGGGCATTTGACTGGAAACATACCTGACTCTACTCAGCCAGGTAAACTATTGATCGATAGAATCGTCGAAACAATATGTGGATGCTTCACAGGCCCCTCCACAGATGAAAAAGTACAACTTCAGATCATCAAGGTGAATTTACTATATAAATCTTCAAAAAACATACATTTTCAAATTTATAGTTATTTCATCTGACATTTATTTTGCAGGCCGTTTTAACTGTTTCAACTTCTCAACATGTTGAAATCCATGAAGGTACCGTTCTTCTTGCAGTTCGCACTGTTTATAACATCTATTTGGCCAGTAAAAATCTTATCAATCAAACAACTGCAAGAGCAACACTTACTCAAGCTATTAATGTTATATTTTCAAGGATGGAAGCACAAGCTGTAAGAAAGTTTTTTTTTATTTGAATAGTTTAAATATTTTTATAAAGGTTTTCATATAAAAAAAAAAATAATGAATAAATAATTTAATTATAGTTGTTTTAACTATCATGCGATAAGATAGATCCTTTACTATGATGTTTGATTATCATTGGTAATCTATTTGAAACACTTCAATAATAACCCTAGCTGACCATAAGTTGACCATTTTCTATTAATTATTTGAAATATTTTTACTTGTTTAACACTCAAATTAAAAATCTTTAATGTTGTATTAAAAAATAATAGTATTTATGAAGTTATACTAAGAATTTAAAAGATAATGGGAAAAAAATTGATTAGCAGTTATTGCTTTATAACTGTTTACAACTGTATTATGAGAATAAATAGCTTTTACTGTTCAACCTGATAGGCTTGGAATTTCAACCTAGGAAATATAAGGATTCATTATACAATAATAATTGCATTTTCAGCAGTTTTTGTTTTATTTTACTACTCCATTTATTTTAAATTTAATTTTGGATTATTATTATTTTTTTTCCTTATAAATTTTAAAATATGCCTACTACTATATTTTATATTAAAATTAAAAATTTTGATTCAACTTTATACAGTTATAAATAAGTTATAATTTCATTAAATAAATTGTCTTCATGAAAATTTTTATTTTCACTCATTGTAAGGAATATCATCTATGTCAGTTGAAAAACACTGTTCATCGTTAAACAAAACAATTTGGTATTCAAATCTGTCTTAATTTACGGTTGTGTAAGATTTCATTATGCATTGTAATTAGTATTATAACTAATACAATCATGCTAAAATGTAATTCTAAGTTTTTATAAATGAGTTATTAAAATAATTACATAAAAATAAATATTTAAATTTATTGATTATTATAATCACATCATGATTGCAATATTTTCATTTACTAAGTCTACTAATATTTTCACTAACTAATATTTTTATTTATTATATAGAAGATCTTTTATATTTTTATTTTGCTTTTTGGTATTAATTTATTTTCCTCACCTATTGCTTCATACATCTAATAAATAAATTAAATACGCTATTATTTTGTGTAGTAGTAATATTAGACATACAAGATTTATACAGCTAAGATGTATGTGTATTCATCTTCATATGATTAGATAATTGAAACTCAGTTTTAAGAAAGACTAAATTTAATGTTTTCTCACAATATCTGCATTTTAAATAATTGTTTATTTTAATACAAAAAAGCAAAACCTTTTACACAGGTAAGAAATTCACAAATGCAGTACCACTGGCTGATAAATAATAACTTAAAATATACAACTTGAAACCAGAGATAGACAAAATCAGAATCGATCATTACAAGATTAATTAAATGATTAAATAAAACTTAATTTTATATTTGATTCAATAGAACTATAAAAATAGCAAGTGTGGCACGATTACCTGATTACCATTTCAATCTGAAACTTGGTCATTGTAATCATGTTATCAAGATCACTGTAATCGTATTGATGTTACCATGATTACTACAATCATAATCGTTAATTATGCTTGAAACTGATAAACTGCAAATTTTGATCACAAAATCTTAACTTAATTTATGTTTCTTCTGACTGTCTTCCAGATATTTTGGTGGATTTAACAATTTTGAGATATGAATAATGATTAATTAAATTTTTGTAGTTGTCTTTTGTAAGCTTTGATTGATAGTTCTAAGCATTCAGTTTAGAAATTTGACCATCGCTAAGTTTTGAAACTTTCAGTGCCTACATGATTTGGAAGTGTAATAAAAACTAGGATTTAACTTTGGTTTATTTTCATTAATGAACCATTGTAATTACACAAAAAATTTAAAAACTTAATCCCCTCTCAAAATTTGAGGTTTTACGTTTCAGGATACGTAGAATTCGAAAAATGAATCAAAAATTGTTTGTCCGTCCGCACAATGTCTCCGAAATTACTGGACCGATTTTTTTTCAAATTTGGATTTAAAGTCAGAGGTCACCCAAGGATGATCCTCCTTCATCAACATTACTATCTGCCGTTTCCTTTCAAGATGTCGGCCGAAAAACCTGTATTGCTATAGACTGTAACGCCTAACTTAATGTACTGATTTCAATGAATCTTTTCTAAAGTCTTCTTCTCGATGCCCTTTTATCTATCTAACATATTTCAACGAAAAGAAGCTGGGAAAAAGTTATGAGAGGTGATAAGATTCCTAATGACTCAAAAAGTGTACACTTTTTTGTTGATATTGTATATGGTTTTTTTAAAGTTTATGAAATTTCCTAAAAAATCAAAAATAAAAATCGTTAAAATCGGACAACTAGGAGCAAAGATATGGTCTCCACTTTTTTTTAATATGTTCTACTGCAGGTTATTTCCTTTGTTTTGGATTTTGATTTTTGAATGTGTTATTGAAGTAATGATATATTTTTTTTAGCAAATTACTAATGAAAATAAAAAAATTTAAGCCAATCATTGGAACCTCCTTTTATTTCTTTTTCTTTGTTTCTAGGAAGATAATGTTACTTTAGATGTATAATTGTTTGGAAATAATAAACTATTGTGAAATAATTTGCAGATTTTTGTGTATCTGTAAAAGTAATGATAGTGAATCCATTCACTTGTTTATTGTATTAATATTGCTTGTGTTTTAATACTGATGTTTGCTAATTAATATAATGCTATCTATTGTTTGTTATTCATTATGTAACATTATCACAATAATGTTGTCTTCCTTGTCAAAAATTCAAATGGAATCTGCAATTTTAGTTGTTAAAGTCACTATATTGGCAACACAGTACAGGAATGATTGACAAAGAGAAGAATAGTTGGAGTGATCAGTCAAATAAGAAGGCAAAAATAAATGATAATATTTATTTTTGCCTTCTTATTTGACTGATCACCCCAACTATTCTTCTCTTCATTATTCACGACAGTCAACCATTTATCCACAATTAGGAATGATTGACCACAGTTCTAGTTTTAGATCTAAAAAAATAGTTTTAATTGTTACAGAATTATCAAAATAGTTTGATTTACTTGCCTCTCCCTCCCTTTCAGCTTATATGTTATAATTATTATTTTTCCCCATTTTCTGAGGCGTAATTTAATTGTTCTATTATTCTTATAAGCAATAAGTGTTATTTTATTTTTTATTTAGCTCGATGATTTGTATAAGCAGCGTGATACGCTTGAAGAGGCCTCTAGCACGGAAGTTGTATCAGATATCTTGAACACGATTATCGATAGCATTCCAGGTTGGTATTGCTTAGTATTTTAAATAATTTTCCACCAATTTTTCTTTACATTTATTCAAAGCTTATTTCTGTTAATCATGAAATGTAGAGTAGACTCTCGATAATCCAAACTAATACTAAATCTTTTCCATGGTGTCTTGTCCGCTAATCAAAGTCACATAGATGTGAGTCCATCTTGTTTCTGGCTGTGCCTCATCCTTTCTTTTTACTTTCACTTACGTATATATGCAATATTTAGTGAGGGTAAGTATTGCGATCGTGGAAATTTTCGAATCTCAGTTTTCAACGGAAATACATGTTTTGAGGTCCCCTGAGTCCAAATAACCAAGTGTCGCAAAATGGTCTGTGTGTGTGTTAACAGTCTAGCTCATAAACGAAAAGTAGTACGAAACTGATATTAAGTATTTAAGGTTTGTATATGGGCCAGATGTGACAGCAACTTTTTTGTTAAAATCGGCTAACTGGAAGTGCCACTTTATATGAACACTGAAACACATTTTTACAATTTTCTCAAAAACGGCTCTGACAATTTTGATTTAACTCGGTGTATCATTGTATAATTAAATAATAAATAATAATAATAAGGCTTAGCGAACCCGAAGGTTCGATGCCGACACCACCAATCGCTTGTTACACACCTCCCTCCACCGTTCGCCGTCCAAACCCAGTCCCTTACACCTCCCTCCATTGTATAATTAAGTGATCTTTAATATCATTTAACTCTTATCCCCGTTGATTTAACTTTACAGGGCTTAAATGTCCAATGTTCATATATGTCTTCCTCTAAAGTACCTTTAATATGGTTTATTTTAAAAAGTTAATCATTTCGCATTATTCAGAGTTACAAAAAAATGCTACATATAACTTTTGAAAGAATTTGATAAGTTAATAAAGGAGAAAAAAAATAAAAATGCAGAAAAACCTGCGTTGCTATAGACTAGCACCTAAACGAATATATCGATTTCAATGAAACTTTGCTAAAGTCATTTTCTCGACACCCTTTAAATTTATCTATATCACATACTTCAACGAAAAGAAGCTGGAAAAAAAGTTACGAGGGATGGTGAAATTAAATTCCGAATAACTCAAAAAGTATACGCTTTTTTGTTGATATAGTGATAAGATGTTTCAAAGGTATTTAAATTTCATACAAAATGAAGGAAATTTCATCGAAATCAAAGCACGATTAGTAGAGATATCACGATTTTAAACTATTTTTTCTTCTCTTTTTAGCAGCCCACATTGTCCCAACATATTGAGTGTGTCTTCTAATATTAGGATCCATGAAATTCACTGAATGGTTCACTGTTGGAGGTTTGTAGTATATTCCTGCAATTTTCTGTACATTCCTGCGTGATCTCCATAAATCAGATATTGTTATTCCTGGAAGGATTGTTTCTTTAATGCATTCCAAGAGAGTTGCTGAGATCCTGCCTGGGAGAGCTCGCTGTAACCATTCCTTCGTCATGCGCCATATGCCTCCTTCCTCCAAATACCCGATGTTGGGTAAATATTCTTCCAACATTGTACTACATTCTGCTTAGAAATCTTTACAGTTATTTCAGATTATCCAATTTTGATTGTATTGTTCAGTAGTAGAAGAAGAAGAAAAAGTCTTTTTATTTATCAAAATTAAAAAATAATATTTTTGGATTTAAAACCGAAAATCAGACGTGCTACATGGTCTGTTGACATCAGAGGAGTCTGTTTCATAACAAAATTATATTTCTATCTATTTATATACAACAAATTAATAGGAAAATAAGAATAATTATATTTACAATGTAAAAGTTATACAAATATTTTAATTACAAAAACAGTGGTACCAAAATTCTCCAATTTATTAATTGTTAAATTCTCTGGTGAGCATTATTCTATAGAAGAAAGCAGACTTGCAGTAATTTACCAATGTTATGCAATTTTTTCCGTTTAATAAATCAATTACTTGATCCCGAGGTAAATTTCTAGACCTTAACCATTTAATTCTAAATTCAGACAGTATCGGACAAGCAGCCAGGGAGTGATAGAGATCTTCTGTTTCATTTGTATTACACATGCTACAATTATTACTTGTTTGCTGGAAGTGTTTATAATTTAAGTTCAAAACATCAGCTCTAATTTTAATTACTCATCTGGATTGTTCAGTACGTTACTTTCACAAACCTCCCACTGAAAACTCTTCCGATCCGTCTATATCTGCACAGTACTTCATAGTAGTGTACTCCTCACACTAGAAATAACTAAAATAATATGGAAATGGTTAAAAATCATCTTGTATGCTCTAATTGGAGAGTATTCCCTTCTCATTTCAACACAAATGTGTATAACACCTCTACCTATCTACCTTCATAAGATGTACTTTATTCCAGAAATGAAATGAAAATATATTTTATTATTCTGGGACTGTTGTTGTCCATTTAGAACAAATTATAAGTACAGAATGCATGTCTGTGTGGTCATAAATAAATTAAATAATACAATAATAGCTAATTAAAAGTCAAAATAGAGAAAAAGAGATAAGAAAAGTGTACATATATATATAAAACAAATATAGGAAACTAAAATAACATTAGTAAACAGAAATTCTACCTGGGGGTACTGACGTAGTTCTCTTAGGTACATTTTGTAATCAGTCAGATTGGAAAAGGAGTAGGTGTTTAAAGAGGAGAGGTTTGATGGTGGAAACTGATTGCGCCTGTCAAATATCAGGAGAAATAGAGAATTCGAAAGGGAGAGGGCTTGAATTACAAAGGATTTGTCTAACGCAGCAATTCGGTGAAGAGGAGGAGGAGGATAGAGGTCAGAAGTATGAGATGTAGTGGCACAGGATTGAATGAAGTATTTAAATTGTAATCTATGAAATATGTAGGAGGATCACTGAGTTCCTGGTACAGAAAGGTAGCTAGGAAGTTCTGAGATAGAGTCACTTTAATGTGATGTAATACTGGGTAATATGTGTATCTCTTGAGATTCCGAAAACAAAATATATTGAGTAATTCATTAGGCGTTTAAGTTTGACTTTGAAATGTCCTGGGACTCCACCGTACACTAGAGCCATAGTCAAAGTGGGAGAAAACAATAGAGGAAACTACGAGTTGACGGGACTTATATGGAAAGAGATAGCCTAGACGATCGAACTGTTTCAGGGTGGATATAGTATGACAGGAAATTTGTGGTTTCCAAGAGAGGGTTTAGTCGAAAGTAACGCCAAGGTTTTTATGTAAGTATGGAGTAAGATAGGTGAGGTGTTGAGGAGAAGATTAGGGGGTACCAGGAAGGATTTGAGGAGTGGAGGATTCGAATAAGATGACTTTCATCTTCTCTGTGTTCAGAGTGAGCCTGTTGAGGTTTGCCCAAGCACTTATTCTGTTAATATTTTCTTGGAGTTTTCGGATAGCATCAGAGGGATCTGTCTGATTGAAGGAGAGGTAAATATGGATGTCGTTAGCATACAGGTGGTATTGATGCACTGTCTTGCTCTAGAATAGAGGATGTGAGGTCATTTATATAGATGGAAAAAAGGATGGGGGTTATTAGGGATTACGACATACTGAGAGCTACCGGTAAGGAAGGATTCGAAGCACTCCTTATGGATAATTCTAGCTTCCTGATGAAACATTCCTCTTGTCGTTAGTCACTCTAGAGTAAATCCTAAGTGGAGTTGATTTCGCTAACTAAATGAATCTTTTAACAGATGTTTATATAATAGAAGAATTAACAACGTTGATTAAAATATAATTAATACTTTTCTATAACAGATACTTTTCCTGTTTAAAAATAACTGGTGGGGCTAATTTGCAAAAGAGCCCAAAATGGAATTAAGAACCAAGTGTGGATTGCACGCTGGATATAAATTCTGATCCCCTTGCAGCTACAGATGCTGCACCTATCTTTTTACCTTCTCTCGTCCTGCTTCGTGGTATTTCGTTGATTAATGTTGATTTAACTTTTATTATTATTTATTTTTTGTATTATTTAATTGGGCTTTGATTATTATATCATCATCTTATGGTTTCATAATTTTTTTTTTTTAAATAAGCAATATACGTATATATAATAAATTTATTTTAATCATAGATTATTTATTTTGAGTTTTACAAATAGAGTTACAAATTTATATTTTTACTGTGCAGTTCAAGAAGTTATACCAGATAATGATGAAAGCGCACCTGTATCCCAAGCTAATTCTCAAAGCAGTTCACTCAACAGAGCGCCATCTCAGGTACATTTAACTAACTTGTTAAACAAATTTCTTAATGATAGCTTTCTTTTTATTTATTTGATATCAATTTCTTTCCTAAATAATTTCTTTATATAGCAATGACTTTCAAAATTTCTTCCTCTATAATATCTTCAATTATTTTTTTTATTTGAATTAATTAGCAATTTAACATTGTAATCTGCTATATGAAATGCTTGAATGTTTGATATGAAAGAATGTGATAATTATTTAAAGGAGAAATTAGGGGTCATGATCAATGGCATAAACCCAAGCTTGGTCGAAAGTTTAGAATAAACTTCTATACATAACAGATGATTAATAAAATATGGGCTCACATAATGTATAATTCATAAATGCTAGCATTAGTATCATTTAATTGTGTAGATTGCAGCAATATAAAATTTAAAATTTTTATGTGTATATATATATATTTATATAATGCATATATACATACACCAATGCTTAAACAAATTAAAATACCTACAATTAAATATAAATAAATAAATATATCATGGCACTTAATTATTCATTATAATCAAATAAGTAATTAAAATATACAGTTGTCTAAGGAAATGGTTAATGACAAAAAAAGTATAACTTCGTATGAAAATACCTATTTGTGCTTTTAAAAAAGGGTGGTAAGTGGAAGTTGTGCGATGCGCACACCTCACTACATTTTTTAATTACATGAGTTCTATTGCAACTGAAATTTTTGTATTTTTTTTTTTTTTCGATGCAGGTGTCCAATTGTGCTGAAGTTGATCGTAATTAATTTTTCATATTTTTTTTGTTTTGTTGCTGCTGTAGGACAGTATGGACGTGACGGCAGAGGGTGGAGGAATAGTCGGAGTCGACAGCAGCGGAGGAGAAGGCCACACCAACAAGGTGCAAGCCCAGTTCACTCATATCTTACAGAAGGACGCGTTCTTGGTCTTCAGGGCTCTTTGTAAATTGTCGATGAAGCCTCTACCGGAAGGAAATCTTGATCCCAAGTAGGTGTATTGTTGTGATTGGAAAAGAACTTTCATATTCCTATAATATTTTTTCTTTTTCTCTTAATATCAAGAAGTGCAGTAGCTCAGTGGTGGGGCATTGAGCTTTCAATGCTTAATGTTTCAAGTTTGAATCCGTCTGATAAATTATTATTTATTTTGTTTTATCAGCTGTGGATTAAACCTGGTGTACATTCTGCCTTTATAAAGTGGGTACCTTTAATTCAATAATTAATTAAGGGGGAACCTGGTGGTTGAGCGTGATGTCGGTCGAATCACCTCCTTCCACTACCGTAGACCAAGTAATAGTGCTTATCCTACACAGTACTGAACCCAAGACCCTTTATGGGTTTTTGTAGTATAATTTTTTTTTTTTATTAATATCACTTGATTAGTGATTTTGTACAAATACACATTACCACAATGATTTTGCAATATTAATTTTACATTTTCTTACTAATAATAGCTGTTTGAACTACTTGAAAAAGCCAATAGTTTAGCATAGGTGCTGTCAAACTATGGTACACCTATCATTGAAGGTACTAATAGGTGTGTGAATGTGAAACTAAAATTTTCACTTGTTGCTTTAAAATATTTTATTCAAAATGTTGTTCATCGCTAGCTATACATTTTGATAAGAAGTGCAGCGCTTGTGATGCATGAGCAAGTGCTTATCTCATCTATCAAAGTAAATAGTAATTAGATGAAGCCAAGACTGGTGAATAAGCCACATGTGCTAATATTTCCCAACGCCTTCACTAGTTTTTCTGTGTGTGATGGTACATTAAGCTAAAATACTTTATAATTCATGAAGCTAAATACTTTTTGATGTATTTTTTTATATTCTGGTGGTTTTTCTTTATTTATTTTCCACGAGCATGCTCACCATAAGTTTCTTTCTATAAGTATTTAATGCGATTCTGCTACAGTTTTCTTTAATTTTAACTGAAAAATTAACGCTCTCCACATAATTCATAAACTCAACGTGTTCAACACTATTTAATCAATGCTGTTAAATGAAACTTGTATTGTTGTGAATTGAAAATCTTTGCCAGCTGTCGAAGAAACAAAACGGTGCCAATAATCAGGTTAAACAATAATTATATTAACAACTAGAGCCATCTATAGATAAATTCTGGTTTCATATTTACATTCCTGGTAATTAAATAAATAAATTGAACAAAAAAAAAAAAATGTTACCTGAAATGTATAAGTGGTACACAGTGATATAAAGTCCGGAAACTGATGAATTGGATAGTGTAATCTGCCCTTAACGAGGATGAATTTGAAAATTAAATAGCGGTATAGAATATTTGTAATAAATTTAGTTAATATAAATTTAATTATTCTATTTTCAGGTGTCATGAGTTAAGGTCGAAAGTTCTCTCATTGCATTTGTTGTTGTCAATCCTACAGTCAGCTGGGCCAGTATTCAGAACTAATGCGATGTTCGTGGCTGCAATCAAACAATACCTCTGTGTTGCTCTATCAAAAAATGGAGTTTCGTCTGTACCTCAAGTATTCCAGTTGTCATTATCGATTTTCTTAGCTCTGCTTGACAAGTTCAAGATGCATTTGAAAATGCAAATTGAGGTGAGTTGTTTACATCATTCGATTTCCTTATATTATTTAAAAAATATTTATTCCTCGTTACAGAATATGTAGTACTTTTTGTCGAATTATTAACGTCCGTCTATAAAACTTTGTGAATGGCTTTATCTTATCTTAACCTACAACTTAAAAAAATTCTTTGAAATGAGGTGTTTTCAATCTGGAGATGGATAATCTAATCTTTATCCATTTAATGAAGTACTAAACACTCATTAATACCCATTTGTTTTTTCACTTGAATCTTTAAATAATTCGACATGACCTTCATCCCTTACATGTCAAAATAAATAGGTTATATAGGCCAAACAATCCAATATTTTTATAGGTCACCGGTTTTATTAATTTTGTGATCAAATTATCTTACGCGTAAGGTGGAAAATAAATGGGTATTCGTGAGTTTTTATTATCTCAATAAATTAACCAATTTAATGAGAAAGCTGGTAATTTCTGAAAAATTTTATAGATAAAAATGTTATAGGTTACAATAAGATGAAACCATTGATAAAGTTTTAGACAGATGCTAATACTTTGATAAAAAGAAGGGATCTGTACCGCGAAACAATATATCATCGCAAGATTTTATTTTTTAAAATTATTATTTTCTAATTTGGTTGTAACCCATGATGCTAATGAGTTGTTCACTTTTGTTGTTTTTTATGTGTCTTGCGGTTAGATCATAGCAGACAGGATACCTTGGGGTTTTATGATGAATGTTGGTTTTCACTTGATTTATTAGTATGTGAAAAAATATTGAACTGTTAATGTTTGATGTTGTTTCAGGTCTTCTTTAAAGACATATTTCTTAACATTTTGGAAACTTCAAGCTCGACTTTTGAACACAAGTGGATGGTTATTCAGGCATTGACTAGAATATGCGCTGACGCTCAATCAGTTGTCGACATGTACATCAACTATGACTGTGATCTGAGTGCTGCTAATCTCTTTGAAAGGTATTAATTATTTATTCGTATATAATACTTATATTAATTATTATATAAATTTTAAGTATGTATTTTATCTAGTGTCGTAAAGGCTTGAGTTACAGCCTCTTAGGGCTCTAGGTTTGATGAATTTATCTTTAAAAAAAATTAAATTATTGTACATTTTCGTAAATAAATATATTTTTCTGTTTGCTGTAATAATCTTAATATATTTCCGAAATATAAAGTGAATATATTATTTTTCTGTTGATATCAACAATATGAATATATTTTTTAAATATTGTGTAAATGAATAGATAGAAAAAAAGAAGTAAAGTTCCAGCCGCGACTCAAGCTTATTACTATGAGTAGATAGATAATACTTAGTTTTACTTTCTTTATTTGTTGAGCAAGGAGTTTAATCCCCCCTCTCCAAATTTTTTTTTTAAAGGAGAAAATGGCAAATTTTTGGGTAGGTGGATGATACTTTTTTTACTTAATTTTTTTTTCTTGGGGGTGGGAAATAACTCCTCTTTCCGAATTTTTTTTAAGATAAAAAGGGGGAAAGTGTTTGGGTAGGCTGGTGGTACTTTTTCTACTTAAATTTTTTTTATTTGAGGGAGCGAATTACCCAATTTCGAATTAACAAAACGTTCTTAAAAAATCAGCACCATTAAAAAAAGTAATTAGTGTCTTTATTCTATAATTCGACGATTATGTGGGCAGGGTGGTCGAATGGGCTAAAGTGTGTGCACTGCACCGCCGTTGCCCGGCAACCAGATATATGAATCAAAGATATAAAAATAGTCACGAGTTCGCGTCCTGGGAGGGGGAGTCTTAATAATCTCCGCCCACACCCCCTGGCCCGGGAAAATCCCGTATAGCCTTAACGGCGAGAAAGGGAAGGACCCAAAAAAAAAAACGATTATTATGTAGGTGGGTGATACTTTTTCTTCTTCAATTTTTTTTTTTTTTGTTTTTGGTGGGGGCGAATTATATAATATTATAAACAATAGACTTTGTTTCAGTTAAAACTGTAATTCAAGGAACCGTAGTTAGTAATACTACTATCAAACATCATGTAGAACAGTTTACTTTGTTATAAAACAATTTAAAAAGTTCATTAATAAACATATAGTAAAAACCAAGTAAGGTTCGAGCCTTTTCTGCTGAGCTCTTAGGACTCGAGTCGGGAAAGTTTAAGCCTTATAGCCTTCTCACTGATTTTTTTTTACAACACTAATTTTATCAAACCAGCCAAATCATGAAAGTTGTTAATTAAATATCTATAATTATTATCAATACTTTATTTACTTTGTACTGAAGTTTCGTGATTTTATTATGAAATTTCTTTGTATGCTATCAATGTATTAATAGAAGTCATCTTTGAAACCCAGTGTTCTCAATAATAATTTTCTATTTATTAATGGACTACTTTGTTTATAAAAAATGATTTACTTTTAAATTAAATCTGACTTATGTTTATAATATTTTATTACAGACTGGTGAATGACCTATCTAAGATAGCTCAGGGTCGGCAGGCGTTGGAGTTGGGCGCCACTCCAAACCAGGAACTGTCAATGAGGATTCGTGGATTGGAGTGCCTAGTTTCCATTTTGAAGTGCATGGTAGAGTGGTCTAGGGACCTATATGTTAACCCTAACATGAATGCTAGTCTAGGTTTGTATTTAGTTAGCTTTTTTATTAAATATTATTTTTTCTATTGTTCATATAACATCAAAGAGGTACACCTTGATCGGGATAATATTATGAAGTGTGATGGTAATAAGAGTATATTTTCATTTTATTTTTAATATCTAAGATACAAAAGATTGAAATAACCTAATAATCATATAACCTCAACTTAATTAAATCCATTAAAAAATAAGAGATTAAACCAGAAGAACTCAGATCCTTTGCTGTTGAAACAATTGGTGAACGTTATCTCAGCCTTCCATGGATATATGTGCCGGTGGGTCTGCCAAATTAGCAACACTCAATGGAGGTGTAGGTGCATACTAACAACTGTTTGCTATTTCGAAATCTGTTGGGAAATAGGCCTCAAAATTCGACAGCGAAATTAAAGCAATTTTATTGGCACTGCAAGCCTCGTCACACTTAGATCCAAAAATATAGTATTATTTGTAGATTCAATGGCGGCTATTCTCGCTGTCACGGCCCAACAACTTCTTTGCTCAGGATATTCTGAAATGTCAAAAGATCATAGAGAGTCTATTTTTATTAGAAAAGTGGTTGGCCTTTGTCCTGTTATTCCTCAAAATGCAGCCATCCAAAGGTCACTTTTTATTATGCGACACATTGATCTGACAAGATTCCCATTTCCCGAGACATGATTTGTTGTTTTCGAATGGAATTTCTTCTGAATCGAACAGCCACTGCATATTTGTTCTCACAGTGCCGGGACATCGAGACCAGGGTCGAGGTCTGTCACATACAGATAAGGCCTCATATCTATTTATAGTGTGGTGCTCGAACATACGGCTGATACTCAAAGGTTTCAAGTGTTTGAAGTCTATGACCTACATTTTCCAACTTTTTGTTAGGCGATCATAGCTATTCGGTTTTCTTTATCATCCCACTCCATGTTAACTGAGCGAAAGAAAAATACATAATAATTGGGATTATTATCCCGACATGTAAAGAAAATAACCTGATAGAGGTAAGGATCATATAAATAATACCCAACGATGTAAACAAAAGTTCAACTTTTGTAACACTATTTATAGCAGAACTAGGTATATGATGATTTGGTTGATAATTCCGCTAAAGAAAAAAAAGATTATTTAAATTGTACAGATATTAGAATATATACAGCTTATTGATCTTTGTAGGCATGTTATTACTTATCTACCGCTACTAATTAAGAAAAGTATTGTAATTGAATAAATATTTTGCGATATTCCTGGGCAATGGTTGTTATAGTTCAATCTATTTTAGGTGTAAAAGCTTTTATTTTCTAAAATCTTTGCCTCATTTAAAATGTGCATCTTATTTTATTAATATCTATCCTAGGTTTAGAAGGGAAAGTGAATGACGATTCTAGTACCCCAAAGGCGAGCCTTCGCTCATACGGTTCAGTTAGCTCACTCGGAAGCGAATCATCTAGTAAACAGGACGTCCCCCAGCAGTTGCAGCAACTTAAGCACCAGAAGGAAATATGGGAGACTGGCATCGAAATGTAAGTTTTTTTTTCAATATTGATATATAGAAATAAAATTTATCCTAATAATCTTGGAAGTCTGTTAATATAACATATTTAGGCTGCTTCAATTATTACATTAATTAAAATTTCATTTTTAAATTCTAGTTACCAAATATTTTGTTCCTACCATTTTAATTTCATCGTAATGAATTTTTATTCATCTATACAGGGTTTACTGTAAATAGAGCAAATTTACAAGTGACAAACTAAATGTTCCTGATCCTAATATCAACGTTTTAATTAAAATAATTGAAGCAATCAGCAGGGTTTTTTTTCATTAAGTAAATTTTAGGACAAAAAATTTTATTTTGTTACTCACAAATACAAATCAATTCCTCTAATAGATATCTGGGTGAAAAACGCAGTTTATAACACGTTTACCGGAAAAAATATTTAAAAAATTAGGATTTTTTAAATTAATTTTTTTTAAATAAAAAGTTTGTTTAGGCAATAGGGTTTATTAAAACACATCACAGATCATGGAAAACCAATAAATAAAAGTTTTGCAACAATTAATTGTAGTCATTTTTGCTGAACAGCTGTACCTTTACTTGACAGAATACAAAATATAATTTTTTTACAAAACTTGAGCTGAATCTCAATTTTTTCCCTAATAAATCTCAACTTGATTAATACGAACATAAAGCTTACTAAACAAAAAAATTTTTGTAAAAGTGAGAAAACTTTAGTATTGATGGATGATGATAAAAAAAATGGCAAATAATTTATGATTTTTCTAAAAACAGTACTTAGCTTAGTTTAGCCGCTTATAAGTCCTCTGTAAATGGTGGTTACAATGATAAATTCAATTTTCATTTACAGTAAATTTCATCTTATTTACAATGAAGCAATTATTTACCCTTTAACTGCTAACCACGGCTATAGTCGCACCAACTGAACGTTCCACTGTTGCTAATGACAGCTATAGTCGGAGTACCCAACTCCTACCCTCTTTGCTAATGTCGGCTATAGTCACGTCGACCTTGCTACGTTCTACTGATTTTCTAGTGAAGTACAGCTTCTAACTAGAGCCCACAGATGGCATGGGAATTTATATTGGAGCTTTTCTTGTAGAATTCAAGAACCATTATGGGTTACTACCAGCCATGTCCTTTCTCTGGCTGACTCTACCATTTTCATTTCTTGTTTTACATTCTATGTGAAACAACCTTTTCTTCAACTGCTCTCTCTTTTTTATTATTAACATTATTTTCCTGGGAAGAATGTGGTAGTGAGAAAACTGGAGTAGACATTCACATTTTTTTTTTTTAATGAATTTAAAACGTCAAAGAATTGCATGCTCTGCCATCTGTTGGCTTTAAAAATTTTGTTAATTTCGAAACCATTCAAGAGATAAAACCAGTTCATTAGATTTCTTCGGTCGACTTTAGCACTGTTAACTTAATCATAATATTGAATACTTGATGGTTTCACCGTTCCGTTATATATTTATTTCAAGTCAGCGTTTCGACTTGACTTTGCCAGCCATCTACAGGACTGGAACGAACAAGATATAGAAAAATCTGGAAGTTACATGATAACTAATATACACAATGTGAATAAACTTATTCAAATTATAAACAGTGTGAATAGAAAGTACATAGCAATATTAACAAAAATAATCTGTATAAACAGAGTATACCTAAGTAACCAGATTCTAAACTAAAGTAAATAAATGGTAACAATTATTGTAGATAGGGAAAATTAAATTGAAAAAAACTATTTTATTTCAAGCCAACGTTTCAATTTATCCTATCTACAATAATTATTACCATTTATTCACTTCAGTTTAGGGACACTGTAGTTGGGTTTGGTTACTAAGTTATACTCTGTTTATAGAGATTATTTTTGTTAATATTTCTATGTACTTTCTGTTAATTTTTTTAATTTTTATCTAAATATCATATAACTTCTACATTTTTCTATATCCTTTTGCATATTGTTCGTTCCAGCCCTGAAGACCAGCAAAGTCGAGGTCGAAACGTTGGCTTGAAATAAAATAAGTTTTTCACAATTTTAGTCTTTTTATGACCGCCAGCCTGGACCATCTCCTTCCTCATTAATCATTATACGTTAGCTATAAAGAGCTTTTGTTTCCTAATTATAAGACTAAAAATAATATTTATATTGATTAACAAATAAAATAATTGCCTGTACCTGTAATAGGTGCATGAACCTTTTTTTTTGTACACTTGAAATAAATTTTGAAAGTTTACTTACATTTAATTCCTGTCCGTTTACTTCAATGAGGATAAGACCTAGTTGATATTAAAGGTCATTTATTTGTACATTGATATAGTGAGTTTAATTAAAATATGTGTGAGTGTATATGTGTATATTTGTGTGTATATATATATATACATGTGTGTTTGTGTGTATATATATGTATAATTATATATATATAGTTTTCTTATGTATATAAGACTAAAATTGTGAAAAAAATATTTTATTTCAAGCCAACGTTTCGATCCCGACTTTGCTGGTCTTCTAAATTATATTTTGTTTTTCTTGTAATTTTAAGGATTATAATCTATTTTTTCATTTATATCTTATGTGGGTTTTTCATGAGGTTTTTCCTACTGTATAAAATGGATTCCAATCTTCTAAACAGCATTCATACCACTAGTATGTCATGTATAAGGTTACTGTGACCACAGACATGTAATTTATCATTATAACATGATGTAATGTATATATAAATAAATAAAAAATAAAAAAAAAATTAAAATAGTTTTGAGCAGTTTTTGAGATAATTATAATAAACTATAAAAAAAGGATTTTCAGCAGAATCCTAGATGGTATGATTGATCCACTTTAGTTCTCAATGCTTCAATAATAGTTGTTAAAGCTATTATTGCCAACAGCTCGTGTAGTATTATCAAAATAAATTAATATCTGGTATTAGCATCTTATATCCATTGATGATAAACAGTCATTGCATGTTGCTATTTCTAATATGCCATAGTATCAATTAAAAGTATTTAATTAATTTATTTATTCTGTTTTAGGTTCAATCGAAGTGGTCGAAAAGGTGTTGTTTACCTTCAAGATCAAGGTATCCTTGGCAAGAGCAGCAAAGAAGTAGCTGAGTGGTTGTTGACTGAGGAACGGCTGGATAAGACAAGCATTGGCGACCTCCTTGGCGACAATACAGATTTTGCCAAAGAGGTATGCTTAGCTTTATTGATTATTGAGATTAAATAATGAATTTATCTTGTTACATTTTTATTTTATGTTTAAAATTTAAAATATTTTTTGCACATTATATTGTGGCTATAAAGGTGGTTTATTCTATTAATCCCTATGATTTAGGTAATGTACAGCTATGTGGATGAGATGAACTTCAGTGGTAAAGACCTGGTAAGTGCTTTGCGGCAGTTCCTTTCTGGTTTCCGACTTCCTGGTGAAGCTCAGAAAATTGACAGGCTCATGGAAAAGTTTGCCAGTAGATACTGTGAATGCAATCCCAAGTGAGTATATTCCATTTCATTTTTCATAATGTAATGCAATTTATTTTTATTTTTTTTTTTTTTATTTATTGAATTTTAGTAATGGACTATTCGCAAGTGCAGACACTGCATACGTGCTGGCCTATTCCATTATAATGCTTACGACAGACCTTCACTCCCCACAAGTAAAAAATAAAATGACAAAAGAACAGTACATTAAACTGAATCGTGGTATATCAGAAGGCGAGGAATTGCCTGAAGACTACCTAAGTAAAATATATGATGAGATTGCCGGTCATGAAATCAAAATGAAAGCCACTAATAAACCAGGAAAGCAAGGTATGTTTCACTTTTATTGAAATATTTTTTATTTTATTTTGATGTTATATTTAAATATCTATCTAATTGAAGAAGATGTTATGGCCGATGTGATGAGGATCCTACAGTTTCTTCCTTTTTTTGGGGCGCGGGTGGGAGGGGGTTCCTCAGGCCAGGGGAGATGGTTGTAGATGAATTACAGAGTTAAAATCCTGTAATGATAATTATTTTATCATATTATCTTCTGTTAATCAGATTGCTGGGAAATTTGTGTTCTGACGTAATGTTTAAGGTTTACATTTCCTGAACTTCTATTTCTCTTAGCATAAAATAATCGCCCTTCTTGTTTACAATTACATTTTACATTTTTTTTTCCTATTATAAAGTGACTTATTATCTGATATGTTCAAATTTTATCATACAGATTACTTTTTCCAATAAAAAATTAAGGCTCCAAATCAAAGTTCATAATACAAAAGTTCCAAACACGGGCGTATCTACGGGGGGGAGGGGGGGGGCTTTCGGGCTGAAGCCCCCCCAAAATGGAAAAATATAACCATGTTTTATGGAAAACAAATTTAAAAAATACCTCTTAAAGTATTATTTTTCGTGTAATTACATTTAAAAGTACTTAAGGAATAACTTAAACACCATTTCATATAGGTAGTTAGTTTCTTTCTGTTTTTCCAAAGTAATTATCGTTATTTTTATGAAAAAAAAAGGTTTCGGGCTGAAGCCCCCCCCAAAATTAAATCCTGGATCTGCTAGTGGTTCCATATAAAGAAATTCTACTATATATTCAATGTAATTTTAAAAGAAATCATTAGAAAAAAGCAATTTTTAGTGTTTCTGAATCTAATTACTTTCGTTTGGTATGAAAGAAATTAAGTTATGTCTAATGTCTCAATAGCTTGAATATATAAATGAATGAAAATGAAATGAAATGAAAAAAATGTTTTATTATTCTGGGACTGTTGTCCCTTAAGAACAAAATATGAATACAGATTATATGTCTGTGTGGCTACAATTGAATTGTATATTTACAATAAAGTTGACTTACGATAAAAATACAGAAAAGAGAAAAAAAAAGAACAAGTAAATTGTACATATGTATGAGAAACTAAAATAACCTTAATAAATTGAGGTACTCTCTGGTGGTGCTCAGATATTTCTCTGAGATATATTTCACAATCATTCGGATTGAGAAAGGAGTAGGTGCTTAAAGAGGAGTGGTTTAAACGAGGAAACTGATTGAGCGTGTCGAATATCAGGTGGGATGGAATTCCAGAGGGAGGCGGCTTGTATTGCAAAGGATTTGTCAAACGCAGCAGTTCGGTGAGGAGGAGGATAGAGGTCGGAAGTACGAGATCTGGTGGGACGGGATTGGATGGAATATTTGAATTGTAAGCTGTGAAAAATGTAGGAGGGTCGATGGGTTCTAATAATTTGGTACAGAAAGGTGGCTAGGAAGTACTGACGGCGATAGGATGGGTAGAGCCACCTCAACTCAGTGTAATACTGGGTAATATGCGTATCCCTTGAGATTCCGAAAACAAATCGTAGTGCGCAATTCATTAGGCGTTTAAGTTTGGCCTCGGAATCTCCCGGGAGTCCGCCGTACACCATACAGCCGTAGTCGAAGTGGGGGAAAACAAGGGAGGAAACTAGGAGTTGACGGGACTTATATGGAAGGAGATATCGTAGACGATTGAACTGTTTTAGGGTGGAGATAGTGCGACGGGAAATTTGGGAGATGTGAGGTTTCCAGGATAGGGATTGATCGAAAGTAACACCTAGGTTTTTAACGGTGGTGTAGAATAAGATAGGTGAGTTGTTCAGGAAGAGATTGGGAGATACTGGGGAGGATTTGAGGAGTGAAGGGGATCCGATCAAGATGGCTTTTGTCTTCTCGGCGTTCAGAGTGAGCCTATTGAGGTTTGCCCAAGCACTTATTCTGTCAATATCTTCCTGAAGTTTTTGAGTGGCATCTGAGATATCTGTCGGATTAAAGGAGAGGTAAATTTGAATGTCGTCGGCATACAGGTGGTAATGACAGTGCAGGATAGAGGATGGGAGGTCATTTATATAGATGGAGAAAAGGGTGGGGGATAAGGAAGAGCCTTGTGGGACGCCTCTGGTCAGAGGTAGAGATTCTGATGGTGGGTTATTAGGAATTACAACGTACTGGGAGCGACCGGTTAGGAAGGATTGGAACCAATTAAGGGAACTAGAAGAAAAAGAGATATTTTTAAGTTTGGTTAGGAGGATGTTGTGGTCTACTGAATCAAAAGCTTTGGAGAAGTCTAGGAGAATAAGGATGGTTAGTTTCTGCTGATCTATGGCTGTGTGAAGGTCTTGGGAAATTTTGATTAGGGCAGACTGAGTAGAATAACCAGGCCTGAATCCAGACTGGTAGGGATTTAGGAGATTATTGTCCTCTAAAAAATGGGATAGCTGGGATTGGACTAACCGCTCTAATGGTTTTGAGAGGTTTGAAAGGAGGGAAATCGGTCGGAAATCATTAGGAACTGATGGGTTTGAAGTCTTCTTCAATGGGCGTACTAGGGCGGTTTTCCAGGATGTAGGGAAGGTAGCATTTTGAAGAGAATAATTGTATATATGATAAAGGATCGGAAGAATGGATGGCAATGCGGCTTTAATCCGCACATAAATGTGAAACATTTATTTATCTATTAATTTTATGATTTGTTAATGTTTATTTTTATTTTGTTCATGCTATCTTGTAGGAAAACAAGGTAATTTTCATTTAATATATGAAAACTCTTATTGATATCTGTATTTATTCATTGTTTGCATAAATACAGTTATGTAAAAGTAAATATTTTATTTTAGTTATCGCGAATGAGAAGAAGAGGAAGTTATTGTGGAATATGGAAATGGAAGCAATTTCTACCGCGGCTAAGAACTTGATGGAATCTGTATCTCATGTCCAAGCTCCTTTTACATCTGCAAAACACCTAGAACATGTCAATCCCATGTTTAAGGTACTATTCTCTTAAGTTGTTGTTATCTTGATCTGTTAAAAAAAATATATTTAATTAAAGCAATGAATCTTAAAAAAAAATATTTTAGTGAGAAAAGTTTTAGAATTCTTTATTACCTTTCTATTCTTTTTATTTTTTATTACCTACAATAATATCTGTTATTTTTTTTACAATTATACTTCCCAACTTAGTTTTCCGAAAAATTGCTAGCTTGCAATTGGAAAACCTTAAGTGGAGTTAGACTCCTTCTTATGTTTCTGAACTGAGAAAATTTCCATTTGTTCACTTTTTTATTAGCCATCATTCATTATGAAATTTATCAACATGGAACTCTTACAAATTTCCTTCTTTAACTTGAATTTAGGGGATCTACATTCCATTTTGATTCTATAAATCTGTCTTTTGGCATTGTATCTCTTCAGTAAATCATTGTCAATCATTATTAAATATAGATAATCAGAAAAGATAGATAAGATAGGTGATCAGAATCCGGCTATTCCATTGGCGTTTTGGTAGATGTCCACCTTTAAAAAGTACTTCCACTTCAGGTCTCCTTCTTTGAAACTAACTGTTAATTTTAAAGCTAAATTTAACATATATACATTTTTTTTTTTTAATGTAAATTTATTTTACGATTTAAAAGAGCAAGAAAAAAAGCAATAAAAATCAAGTAATCTCTAAATTTTGAATTTGGTGACATATATTCGCCTTTGATATGAGGCCATATATATGTCAAATGTGAATCATTCATTTTAAATATCCTCACTTATTATTTATTATTTTTATGTTGAAAATCCTGTTTCATTTAAATTTATTTTTTAATATGTTTCATGTCATTATCCTTATAATCGCCACTTACATTATCACTTATTTCACTGCATACTTAATTTTATAAATTCATTTTAATATTCACCGTTTTATTTTAAAAATAAAATGATATTGTTTATTTATTTATTTTTTCCTTGATTATAATGTTATTTATTTCACTTGAATCAAATTAACAAATAATTATTATTTAAATTAGTTTGTTTTTGTAATAATTTGTTGTTTTTTTTTTTTTTTTTGCTTCACTTAGATGTCGTGGACTCCATTCCTTGCAGCATTCTCGGTCGGGCTTCAAGACTGTGATGACCCGGAAATAGCAGCACTCTGCCTCGACGGGATCAGGTGTGCGATTAGAATCGCTGCCATTTTCCATATGACGGTAAGTCGTTCGTTTTTTCTAACTCTCTAACAAAGCTAGAAAGAATCAATGTTTTGAACTTTTATTTTTGTTCTGACAGCTCGAGAGGGATGCCTATGTCCAAGCATTGGCCAGATTCACTCTACTGACCGCCAACTCGCCCATAACTGAAATGAAAGCGAAAAATATAAATACCATCAAGACCCTCATAACTGTTGCCCACACAGATGGTGAGTTTTAATGATGTTTCTGACAAAAAATGTGTATCAATTTTTAGTTTTGGTTTTACTAATATTATGATCTGATTATTTTAAAAATTTGAATCTGATTGATTGATAAATGTTTTTTTTGTTTTCTCAATTCCAAAGGTTTGTAAGTCTAGTATTTGTGCGAGAGCTTGAAAAAATGTGCTCAGCATTGAAAATTTCCACCCTTGTTTTATATTTTGGACATCAAACAACAGATCATTCACCAGTTTTGATGAAATTTTTAGGTGTTGTTTGGCCAAGGTACTTGGATGATCCCATATCAATTTCTTCTAATGCTATCTATTGCATTCGCATTCGCATTTGCAGATATAAATAAATGTTACAAATTTCTTAAGACCTGCCTATATTTCAAAACTGGGACTCGTTGATTTTTCCATAAGTTAGGAATTAGTAAAAAATTATGCTCCATCAATTTTATTTAATTTCAACCATTGCTTCTTCTCACTTCTAGGCAAACTTATTTTTTTTGTTAGGCCTTTATCTCAAAAATCATATCTTTAATATGGCCCAAAGCTGTAAGAAATTTGTGAATCATATAAATAGACAAAGACAAAACAGTTCAGTACCTTAATCTAAACTGTTTATCAATAATAAAACATTAGAAACAGTTTATACAAATAAAATTATAAACCACTAATCTCTGAAAGTTCTTCACCATTTGCTTTTGAATTTTGATACGATGTTGCAATCAAATTCAGAATTGTTGTTATATACATTTCATTATCATCCGGTATTTCATTTCAAAATGGCAAACGAAACATGTGTGTTGCTCTAAACTATAGTGCCAAAACAGCTGTAACGATTTTAGTGAAAGTTGACATCTTCTCCTTTAAGCCCTTTTACTTTATGTATATAGCATGTATAACAGACTTCTTTGAAAAGAGGATAACTCAAGAAGTACACAAATATTGCTGCACTGTTTTATATCATATGCATGTATAAAAATGTATTTACATACATATAAAAGTAGAAAAGAAATGTTGGAAACATGCAAATTCATTTGTTTTCCTCAAAATTTCACTGGATAAACACTAGTATATAAAAATGACCTAGCACCAATATCTTAAAATTCTATTTAATAACTGAAATTAATTTATCTAATTGCACTCATGACATAACAGACACTCCTAACATCCTAACAGCGACATACACAGGTCTCACTAATGCTACAATATCACTTTTACAAACTACAAGATTGGTGCAGGATGCGGAAAATAAGATTAAACTATGACATATGTCAACACACAACATTTACATTAAGACACGAAACTTGCCCTTCTGTATATTTCATTAACATACCATTACTGCAAACAGACATGGTCAATTACCTAGGACTAAAATTTAATAGAAGACTGACTTGGGGCCCACACATTAAGAAAAACATAAAATTTAAATCAAAGAAGTAAACTGTTATACTTATTACTCATACCGCAATCAAAATTAAAACTGAGACAGAAACTTGCTACCTACACATACTTACTAAAACCGATTTGGTCTTACGCTTCTCAAATTTTCGGTTCTGCTAAAAAGACACCAATACAAACACTCCCAACATTTCAATCCAAAATGTTCAGACTTATTACACCTCGATACGTTTCAAACACGACTTTACACACTGACCTTAGAATGCCCAAAGTCAGCGAATACATACGAACTCACTACAAAAGATATCATGACAATTTACAAGGACATAAGCTTATAGTAAAACAATATGAACAAAAAAATAAAAACTACATCTGGCCAAAAATTACATTAGTCAATATTAAAAAATATATAGTATCTTCAGTTAAATTATATTAAAACAAGTAAAAATAACACCATTTTGAAAAAAAAATAAAATAAAAGAAAACATTATGTAAATGAAAAGAGAACAAAATAAAATAAACCTGGGTTGATTTTAACAACCTATCAATTTTAACAACCATTCACCTCAGTAAAATTTGTTTCGCAATATTTATTTCATTGTATAACGTCATTTTGGGATGTGAGAAGGAATTGGTAAACATGATATTTAAATGAGGACAAGGAAGAGGCATGGCGGATATCAGAAGGCAAGGCATTCCGGGGTTTAAACTGTAGGAGACTATAGATGTTGGAAGGGTGTCGGGTGTTGATCGTTTGGAATAGGAAAGATCCAAAGAAATATTGTCTGCGGAAAGAAGGGAAGAGCCACGTTAACTCATCGTAAAGGTGGGACACATGAGACCGCCTCGATGTACCGAAGACAAATCTTAGGCACGTATTCATGAGTCGCTTCAATCTATCCTCAAGTACCATCAGGATGCATCTGTACACCACACAGCCATAGTCAAAGTGGGGGAAAATGAGAGAGGATACAAGGAGCTTGCGGATGGGTTGTGAGAGTAGGTGGTGGGAGCGATGAAATAGCTTAAGGGTACCTATTGACTTACGGGAGATGAGGGCGATATGGGGTTTCCAAGAGAGGTTTTCGTCTATGGTGATTCCTAGGTTTTTAACGGAGGAGCTGAATGTGATAGGATGATCGTTGATGACTAAAGGAGGAAGGAAGGAAATGTTTTTGAGTTTTCATCGCGTTTATGATTATTATAATATAATTATATGCAGTTGTAAGATTTTACAATATATTCAGAATTTGATTTAATAAAATTTTGGGATTGTGAATGTTAGTACCTTGATGGTCCAATATTGAATTTATTAAATTCCTTTAACCTTTTTCACTTATACGTGCCTTTTTCCTTGACAAGACTATACTTAAAATATAGTTAATTATGTAGTAAGCTATAGGAATGGTGAGGAACCTACATAGACCCTTGGCAGATGTTCTTTAGTTTAATTTAATAAATATAATTGATTTTTCATAGAATTTGTGTTTATTTTCTCAAACATATTTTTTTTTAGGTAACTATTTGGGTTCTTCTTGGCTTGACATAGTGAAATGTATATCTCAGCTTGAGCTGGCGCAGATGGTAGGAACCTCGATCAGGCCGCAGTACTTTGCCAACAACAAGACAGCTGATGTTCTCGCCATGAAATTGAACCTTACCTCACTTGACCGTAAGTATTATATTATATTTAAAATTGCTAGTTAGATTTTTTTCAAAGATAGCGAATTTTATAAAATGATTCTATTTAATTCTATGAAAAATTTAAAATCTAATCACCCATTTTCAATAGGCACTATGCAAAACTAAGAAAGGTAATCATTTTTTCTAGATTAATATAACTTTTGTTTATTTATTTTATTTTTTATTTTATTTACAGCTAGTGTGAAGGAATCAATTGGTGAAACCAGCTCACAATCAGTAGTGGTCGCCGTAGACAGGATATTCACCGGTTCAATGAGACTTGACGGAGATGCTATCGTTGACTTTGTCAAAGCTTTATGTCAAGTACGTAAATCAATATTCTGTAATATTTCTTTTTCTTATATTTTTAAACTAGTAATAAACTTCGGAAGATCACTTTATAGTATTAGGATACTTCTAAAAGAAATAAGATATTATTAAATAATAAACAAAATTATATGAGTATTAATTTATTAAACTAAACTTTATAATTATTTTATCTCAGGTTATTATTTTATCTGGGTTACTGACAGGCAGATCAAAACACTCAGATAAACTATTATTATTTACACTATTTATACTAAAATGAAGCTCTGATTTTAAAAAATAAAGTCAAGTATGGATTGGCAGGCTAATCTTTTTTCTATTCATATTGTTTCTTCCTTGGTTACACTAAATTCATTTGACTTCTAACATTTTCCTATGTTCTGGCAAACATATTGTAAATTACTTACTGAAAGTTTAATTGTAAATGATTAGTTTTGGCGGGAATAGGCGAATAGCCTTCCGCTTTTATATCGGGGATTGAGGTTGTTTACACTTGTGAATTATTAAAACAAAACCCCAGCACTGGATATAGACTTTTTTTTAGGGTGTTGAACTGCCATTGGGAATTCGGGAATCTAATACCTTTTGTGACCTTTAGTGAGAAGAAACAATAAGAATATATATATTGAATGTGGGACTTAGTAAACACTTTGCATGAATTGACTCACCTGGTTTATTCTTCAATCGTGAGGCCTATAGGACAACTAAATGAAATGACTATTCACTCCTGTCTAACAAAACAAATTTATTTTAACAACTGATAATAAATGAATATATATATAAGTGAACGGTCGGCTTGATAATCTTGGTCTTCAATGTAGAAAGCCTCTCTTCCCAGATGACGTCTTCTCGTGTTCCTGTCCAGCCCCAAAGTGTCTTCTGACAACCTCCTTTCTACCTGCTGGGTCCTTTCGGTATCTCCCACCTTCTTCCTTCCTTATCGATTATTTATCGATATGTAACTTTTCAAAGAACAATTTGTCCACTGCACAATTGAGTACAATTCACAGTGCAACCTCACATTCCCATATATTATATATTCCTTCTCATTCCCTCACACAATGTCAACGAAAGGAGTAAATACAGGGGGCTATCTACTACAATATCTTCCAAAATGGTAACACTTTCTTCTACTCAACTAAAGCTCCCTGGGAGATCCTTTCGATTCCACACAACTTCCAAGATGGTAATACTATTTTTTACTCACTGGAGCCAGGTTTCCTTCTTCCATCTTCTCTTCACCCCAGCCAAACACCAACAACTTGCCAAAACAAAATCCTTTGTCCATCCCCTCTCCTCTTTGGGATTTTCTTTTCTTGAGAAACTACAGAGCTTTTTCCTAAACTAGTGAAACTAGATTAGCTTGCTTTTTAACTGTTACATTAATTTATTAAATCATTTTTAGTAACTTTCAATTAAAGTATATATTACAATACATATATAACCTAAAATTTGTCATTTTAGTATTAATATTCGTTAGCATTGATCAAAAACATTATAAATTAAAATTATTACAAAGCAAGGTTTTTTCAAAATCATTTTATCTAATTAGTTGTTATATTAAAGGTTTAATTTATTTTTTTGTATTAATACAGGTTTGTGCCGAAGAACTGAACCATCCAAGTGGCCCAAGAATGTTTTCGCTGCAAAAGTTAGTCGAGATCTCATACTACAATATGGGACGTATCAGGCTTCAGTGGTCTCGCATCTGGCAGGTCATTCTCACTTCTTAGTAAAGAAACATTTTCAAATTATACATTATATTATAAACTTATTTTATATTGTGTATTAGGTGCTCGGTGAATTGTTCAACACAGTTGGATGCTCTCCGTCCGAGGATATCGCTATATTCGCTATAGATTCTTTACGACAATTGTCAATGAAGTTCATAGAAAAGGGAGAGTTCCCTAATTTCAGGTTTCAAAAGGATTTCCTTCGACCTTTTGAGCATATCATGAAAAAAAATACGTAAGTGTAATAATCTTACACACCCTTACTACATATCAAAAATTTCTACTTTTATTTTCTGTACGTCTGCTACTTCATTACTTTGAAAAGCACTTAGACTAAAATGGTAGATGCTAGTAGTATACATGCATCTTGTGGTAAATTCTTAATGTGCTATCGTGCTAAGCAGTCAATATAAACTTTTATAAGAATGTTAAATGATCTTTGTGTGCTAATCTGCTAAAGTGTTATTAGTTTTAATAAAGTTATAATTGTATTGTTAGCAAAGCTAGCGAGTTCTCTTACTTGACTGATCTAATAACGTTTTTATTTAATTTTAAAATGCTAAGGTGAAACGAAACAGCAGAGTTGCTGAATTATTTGATTAAAAATGCTTTAATAGAAAACATGAATGTAGATTCAGAATGCATCTATGTTAAGCTAATGAGATATAGAATAATTTTTTCTTCTTTCATCTGTGAAGAAGTCTGCTCATCGGTACCAGAAAGTGTATCCCAAAATGAATGATGCCAGATTGAGGTAGATCGTGATATTTGATATATACCAACTTAATTTTATATAATAGAATAATAGGCTTAGCGAACCTGAATGCTCGATGCCAACACCACCAATCGCTTATTACACACCTCCCTCCACTGTTCGCCGTCCAAACCCAGTTCCTTCAGATCGTCTTTAACGCAATATTTCCACATTCGCTTCAGTCTATCCCTCGGACATTTACTATTCTTTGTAAATACGGCCTATTTGATTCGCCGCAACGTAATCACCTATATTAACCGGATAAAAATCGTACAATTCGGCGTTTCCGTATTCCGTGATTAGGCTAGTTAAGATTAAAATGAATATTTTATAACATACTGGAAGGAATAAAATTCCTCGATAGTTATTACGATCCATCCTCGGACCCTTTTTGTGAATCAGAAAAAGAATAGATTTTTTCCATTCTTATAATAAAATTGAGAGACCCTCCTGTTTTTCACCGAGACAGTACCCAATTTCTGCCCCATTCTTTGGGGTATTGTACAGGATTGTATCGGTTGACTGTTATTGTGCAAAGACTATACATGACATAAAAATCTCATTATAATCTTTTCTGTGCATTTACAAAATTATCACCGCTTTATAGGATCCCAGACTATGTTAAAATGAGCTAATGTCTATATTTAACACACATTACTTAAATAAGTTTGTTGACTGTTAAACATTTAAGAGGTTCACAATATTTAGCACTGGTTGCTTGAATACCTCTTATTTTATTTGCCTATTAAAATTGATAAACTTCATTAAACAAAACTTATTAGCATGATTAAATTTGCAATAAAAATAAAAAAAAAAATTTATTTCACTTTTGCTCAGTTACATTTTCCTTTTTTTTTTCTCTCAGAAAAAAAACCAACTAAAAATCACTTCTGTGAAAATATATCCAAATTCTATGGAACTACTCGTTTTATATCTGTTTCATTATATTATTAAATTAAAAGATTCCACTAATCTGAGGTTAACTTTGATTGATACAAATTTTTTCCCTCACAACCTTGGAATTTCCGTAAAAAGGGAACTTTTACACCAAAGTGGAAACCTATTTGATTAAATAACTTAACCTATTGGTTAAGTTAAGCTTCATATTTTGCCATATCTATGCCTTCCACTGAACATTATGGTTCCTCGCAAGTCAACTTAATCTCAAAGAGTCTTGAGTTTTGTTTTTGGCATGGAAGATACCAGACTACTACGCCAAGTTTAAATATTCTCAAACATCGACTTTCTTAACGATCTACTAAGATGTTTAAGTATGATAAGAGTTATTTCTGTAGTTGCATTATTTTTTTTAATTTTTGAAGCCTAAACATGAAATAAATATACCTAAGATAAAATCTGGAAGATCAAAGTTTATCTCAGAAACATATACAGTTCAGGGCTTTAAATGTTATCTTGATGTCTTTCATAATCTTTATAATTTTCAATCTACCTACTTTTAAAGCCTCGTGAGTTTTGAAACCTCCCACTTTTGTCAATTATAGTTGTAATAAAGTTAAGTTTTGAAATTGGTATAAGAAATTGAAATCAAATTGGTATATAAAGTGGGTACCCATAATTGATTAAGGTGAAAAACCTGGCGGTTGAGCTTGATGTAGGTCAAATTCCCTCCTTGCACGACCTTAGACCAAGAAACAGTGTTTTCCTTAAGTAGTACTGAACCCAAACGTTGTGGGTTGTAGTGGTACAGGTTTTTCTTATTAAATTTTTTTAAAAATTGGTATCCATCACTTCTTCATGGATGAAATCTCCTATCATTTGATACCTCATTCATTGAAATCCATTGCTCCTGAGAGGTGGTAAAGGATCTGTACTACCGTATCACATATAATGTATATTTTTCCTCCTCGACATTGTTCTTTGAAAATTATTTTCAAAATGAGAGGTTGACCTGGATTCGAATAAATATTGTATTTGCCCTTTAATAATGTTATCCAGAATTATTGAAATATTCTCTCCATTAGTCAAAGATTGATTTTATAACTTGAAATTCCATAACTAATGTTCCAAAAAAACGTTGTGTACTCTATTCATTCATATTTTAAAAAAAAAATCATATAATGTACATCAAGTTTTTATTTTTAAATTTTTTTTTTGATTTATTAATAATTGTATAATAATTCATATAAAAATGTTTAAGTGTAAAATAAAAGGCTGTGAGTTTAAAAGGGGTTTTGTAAAAACTTAATCATGTATTGATTAAACATAGTAATAGTGATATTATTAAAAAATATCATAAACAATTAGATATTATCTTAAATGGTTTATTATTTTTTCAGAAACCCTACAATCAGGGATATGGTTGTCCGATGTATTGCCCAAATGGTCAACTCTCAAGCCCATAATATCAAGTCAGGTTGGAAAAACATATTCAGCGTTTTCCACCTTGCCGCTTGCGACCAAGAGCAGTCTATTGTTGAAATGGCTTTCCATACGACAGCGCATATTATCAGTGAGTTTTTATACTTATTATATTAGAATAAATTCTATGTATATTTATGGTTATTGTCAGTTTATTTTAAAAAGTCGTTAAGTTTTATAAAATTAAATTACTTAGTACTTTAATGAATTTTTCCTTTTTGAAATCGGTACATTATTCTACTTAATGTATCATATGATAAATTTAAATGTTGGAATTTTGATTAGTTATACAGGATGTTTCAGGATTAAGTGTCCAAACTGCAAAAATTATCTAAGGATCTCAAAACAAGATATTCATATTAAATGTTGTTCATAGTATCCTGCCACTGCTGCTGTTGAAGAAAGATACCGAGCTTGTCTTAATGCTCAAGGAAATCACTTTGAACAACATTTAATATGAATGTTTAATACGAAATTTAATTAATAAAGTAGTTAGTACAAATAAATAGGTTTTATTTACTTCATATAATGTAAATAATTCATAACAATGAAAATCTTTGGGTGTGAATATCTTCTTAACAAAGCGTTTGCGGACATACTTTCAGAGGACATTTTTTTCTTGTTTTGAAGTCCTTAGTCCATTTTTGGAGTTTGGCCACTTAACCCTGAAACACCCTGTATAAAGTTATATAAATTTGTCTTTTTTTTTTTTAGATATTCAGTGTTTAAAAACAATTTTACTTATTTTCACTATAATAATCAATTTAAAGTACATAAAAAAGCTTCTCTTTAAGGTATGTATATGGGCCAGACTATAGGCAGTGAACCATTTTTATCCTTATATTATTTTTCTCAGAACATTTGTACGCTGAACACTTCAGCGTAATGCTAGACAGCTTCCAGGATGCAGTGAAGTGCCTCTCAGAATTTGCATGCAATGCGAGCTTCCCTGATACGAGTATGGAAGCCATTCGTCTCATTCGATCCTGTGCAGATTGTGTCCATGACAAACCAAATGTGAGTTATTTTAATTTTTTTTTTTTATATTAACTTCCTAAAATTTAAAATACAAAATTGAATAATAATGATATCCCCCGATAGGTCGTATCAGAGCATTGGGAAGACACTGAGGATGGCCCGTGGGTTCGAGGGTGGTTCCCGCTCCTCTTCGAGCTGTCTTGCATCGTCAGCCGCTGCAAGCTGGACGTCAGGACCAGGGCACTCACGGTCCTGTTTGACATTGTCAAGACGCACGGAGCATCCTTCAAACCGCACTGGTGGTCCGATCTCTTCCAAGTTCTCTTCAGGATATTTGACAATATGAAGCACCCGGAGCTGCAAGCTGATGTGAGTATCTTAGAAAGCACTTTCGGTTCCATTTAAGTTTTGATTTTAGATGCATTTTGTATGACCATGGCTGTGGCACATGTAATTTTAAAGGATTATTATTAATTTTAATAATAAAACGACATATTTGATTATTATCGTCCTATTTTATTTGTTATTTTACATCAACGTTTCAGCCCTTAGGCCATTATCAAGGAAAGAAATCTATTTTAATGATAATAATATCATTATGGACTGAATTGCCCTTTGGATTGGGAAAGTCAAGAAATTTTTTGTTCATTCACATATTCAATTTAACACGAGTGATAGTTTCCTCAACAATTTGTGTAAAACATTTTTTAAGCAGAAGTTCCTATTTTTTTACCCTGCCATACACCAAATATCTTTGTTTTAATATTGTTGCTTTTTAAATTTATTTCATATCGTAATATCTTATAAACATATATAGGTAAAAAGATTTAAATAAAGTAATATTCCTAATATGCTATCTTGTAAATGGCCTTTTATTATGATAATTATTTTACACTCAGACAATTGAGTTGGTGTTATGAAAGTATCTTTTTTAGCTCAACTTTTTCTCTTAACTCTGCCATTTTTATAAATTAAATTTGAAAACAAATTTGTTTAAAATTCTGTTAGTTATCCTATTAGGAGCATTAATAAAAAGAAAATGACCTTGGACACAAAGTCTGTTTTTTTTTATGATTATATTTTCTTTTTATCATGCTTCTGATTTCCTTACTCATAATATACTGCTATATTGGACAATATTTTTTAATCCCTTTTTCCTTATCTTAATTTATTAAACAATACGATTAAATGACTAACGTAATTTTGTACTAGTCCCCTCAATATTTTAACAAGAATAGCTTTAATTGATTTTTCTCATGTATCAAAATTAATATTTGACTTATAGTACGTGCTAATGGTATCCAATTGACACATAGCAAGGAAGTAAAACACATTCAGTACATGAAAAGTATAGCCCTTAAATGCTTATGGGTCTGCAAAAGAGCAATAGAAAAAAATTGGGGACTCAAACCTAAAATGGTACACTAGCTGTATATAATGATAGTCAGACCCATTATATTATAATCAGCTTTGCTGTGATGGCACAAAGCAAAGACTGTAGTTAATTCAACCTTATTGGAAAAAATTCAAACATTAATCTGTCTAATGATAACGGGAGCAATGGGATCCATCCAACTGCTGCTATGGAGATTATGTTGAACATGCAGTTGTAGGTTGAGGCTCGGACAACAAATATATACAGGCTGAGCAAGCTAAAGAGCTGCTCCTACATCCCTTGCCAAGGGCGACATACAAAACTGCTGAATGGGATTGGATGTGACGGAGTATCCGTGAATATCTGGACTGCAAATGTAAGGTCGAGATTGATATCAGCGGACAACATAAACCAAAAAATGGTATGAATTGTTATACAGATGGCTCTCTAACAGCCTACGGCTCAGGAGCAGGTATCTATCGAAAAGATAACAAAGAAAAAGACTCAATACCTCTTGGCAAATATTCTTCGGTATTTCAATCCGAGATACAAGCAATTTGCCGTTGTGCTCAAAACCTATTGCTAGGCAAAGTGACTAGGAAAAAGATAATAATCTAAAGACAGTGAGGCAGCTTGTATAGATGCCCTAAATAATTATTATATATACTCAAAGGTTGTTAAAGAGTGCAGCATAGCACTTAACAATCTGTCTGAGCTTAATAGAGTTGCAATTGAGTGGGTCATTCGAGCATTCTATGTAACTAAGAGGCAGACAACCTAGCCAGGTTAGGCTCAGATACTATTGCCGTAACTCCTGAACCTGTTTGTGGAAGCAGTCTTAGCACTGCCAGAAGAAGGATTAGGGAGACATGGAAAAATTCAAACAACACTGAACTGAGAAGAAACGACGACATTCGAAGCTGTTCCATGTGATAAAAGAAGTAAACTGCTACTGAGTCTGGACAGAGCAGCTCTCAAAATCCTTAAAACGATCAACACTGGCCTCTGTAAGTTGAATTATCACTTATTCAATCTCCGAGTGACCACGAAGCCACTATGCAGATTCTGTAAGGAGGAGAACGAAACAGCCTTTCACATCATTTGTCGATGTGTTTGCAAGGCTTACAACTGGAGCTATTTGGGGAGGAACAAATGGATCACACCCGTAGCTATGAGTCTGTTAATCCGATAAGCCTATTATAATACGGGAAAGCGACAGAACTAATCTTTTAGGAAAAAATGGACCAACATGGTGCACAATAGATCCATAATGGTCGCAGTGCTATTTTTTTAATTATTTTAGCCAATAATAAATATATATATATATATATCTATTTATAGACTGCAGCTCTTTTGGGAGGAACAAATGAATCACACCAGTAGCTATGAGTCTGTTAATCCGATAATGGATCAAATGGGGAGGTACAAATGGATCACACCAGTAGCTATGAGTCTGTTAATACAATAAGCCTATTATAATACAGGACATCGGCAGAACTAATCTTTTAGGAAAAAACGGACCAATATGGTGCACAATAGATCCTTAATGGTCGCAGTGCTATAAGCCAATAATAAAAAAAAAATATATATATATATATATTTATAGACTGCAGCTATTTGGGGAGGAACAAATGAATCACACCAGTAGCTATGAGTCTGTTAATCCAATAAGCCTATTATAGTACGGGGAAGTGACAGAACTAATGTTTTAGGAAAAAACGGACCAATATGGTGCACGATAGATCCATAATGGTCGCAGTGCTATAAGCCAATAATAAAAATATATATATATATATATATATATATATATATGTATATAGTACGCGGTACAGACTTCTTTTTATCAAATTATTAACATCCGCCTAAAACTTTGTAAATGGCTTCATCTTACCGTATCCTACAACTTTATTATCAACGAATCTTTTCAGAAATATGTTTTCTCATTACATTAATTAATTTAATGAGACACTATAAATTCATGAATACCCATTTGTTTTCCACTTGATTCATAAGGTAATTTAATCAAAAAATTGAGAAGAAGAAGAAGGTGACCTAAAAAAATATTGGCCCATTTGACCTTTATAATCTTGTTATTTTGACATGCTGGGGGTGGAGATAATGCTAAACTGCCCATTATTTTTGTATGCCATCTTTTTTTCTCAATTTTGTGATCAAATTATCTTACAATTAAAGTGGATAGAAAATGGGTGTTTCTTATTTTTAGTATCTTATTAAATAAGCAAAGTTTACTGATCTTCAGATTGAAAACTCCCCATAAATAACAAAGTTGTATGTTATAATAAGATGAAGCCATTGACAGATGTTAATATTTTGATAATAATATCTTGTTAAGCGGGACTATTACTCCTCTTATGATTTTTGACTCTGGCAAAAATATTTTTTTTTTTAAAAGTAAGAAAAATTAACTTCTTACAATTCCTTTCAAGATTAACTGTAACTATTTTCATTGGCTTTTGTAGTTTCGTGCACATAGATATTTATGTAGGATGTAGTTTAGTTTCTGGATGTGTAGTACAAAATCACTTTTTCTAACTGCTGATGTTTATAGTGGTTCATTTATTATATTTCCGGATATCTCGCCTGTGACCGAGATCCAGAAATATAGAATTAAAAAAGTTCAATCTTATATCTTGCTGATGTGTCAGGTTATCTGCTGTTATTTTTCTTATCAAATCTGAAAGCAGGTGAGTAAACTGATTTAGTTGGTAAGTTTCTTATATTTCTATGTTTTCTACTACCGAAATAAAAGTTTATTAATTTTTATTACAAGTCCTGATGAAAATTTCTGACGTTCCTTTTCAGTATTTTTTGTGTGACAGTGATTCAAGTTCTATGACATCTATAAGGCACAATATTATAAAAAGTGGATAATAACCTTCAGTCTGAATAATAGTTCTTTATATCCACATATCCAAACCCAATTTGTTATTGATCTCATTAGAAGTAGGGCATATTCAGAGCAATACCTTACTCACTGTGTTATTAATTTTTATTAATCAACTCATTTTTAAATACCAGTTCCCAATTATGTAGCCCTGTTCCAATAAGTAGATTTTGTGGTTCTTTTTGCCTTCTCCTGATGGCTACCTCAAGGTTGATTGATTTCCTGCAGCCGGCATGAAATAAATATTAGCCGACTTAGGTAGGAATAGAACCTACAATATTAAGACCTATGTCCAAACATCCGCAGCAATCATGTCCTGCAGGCAGCTCCATTTATAAAACAAATTTGATTAATTTATGTCATTTTTTTTAATTAGTAAAAATTGTTTAAACAAAATCATATGATTTAATAAAGATATTTTCTAAAAGTGAAAATATATTTTCCTAAACAGATTTCATTTTATATTTTTATCTATTTTGCTAGGTGATGACATTTTTAGTAGAACTCCATTTTGAATTGATAATAGTAGCCTTGATAAAAGTCTGTAAATTCTTGTATATTACAGTAGTCGTCAATAGCTGAGATTCATTTAATATTGGATTGGCAAATAAGTTCTTTCGTTTTTTCAGGGTGAAATAAAACTCAATATATTATAGACATAAAATTTATCTTAATCTACAATATATTGACCCTTATTTAATATGCTGTTTTCCCATCATTCCATTAACTGCATAATATCATGTTGATAGAATGTCTGAAGTTTATTGTTAAAAAACTGATCCAAATGGTTTTTGTTGTCCTCTTCCTTTTGGGATTTCTTTCCAGTCAAGTGGTTATGGTAGTCACTTGTAGCTAGGTCTGGTGAATAGGGAGGGTGGGGCAAATGGTCCCATCCAAGGCTCAATAATTTATTGTGAGTGACCAATGAGGTGTGAGGCCTAGCGTTGTCTTGGTCGAACACAACACCCTTCCGATCATTCAGAACTCTTCAGGATGTTCTCCAAATTTGATGTTATTATACCCGTCGGAAAGCTGAATTATTGCTCTTCAAAGCTTGTATGAATGTTTTTTTTTTTTAATTTAAAACCTGCATAAGGAATAAATAAACCAAAACTCCTTATAGGTTTTTATTTTTTTATCTCCATTTGTAGTTTGTTTATGAAGGTCCTGTTGATGTCATTTTGTGTAGTTTATGTGGCCCTAAATTCCTTGTAGATAGCTAGTCATATTGAAGTTATAACATTTTTTGTGGTTTAAAAAAAAAAATCATGTGAGGAACACAAACATAAAGCCTGGAAACATAGCCGAGCTTGTGCAAATGGTTTTCTACGCTTGTGTCGGCCATAGCAATCTCTTGCACTCATTGGATGGGATTTTAATCAACAATGGCTTTAACATTGCTCGTTTCAGTTTCATGTGGGCGACCAGATCGTTGAGCATCATTGATGTCAAAATTTCCTGAATGAAATTTGACAAACCAATTTTGACAAGTGCGTTCGGTTAAGGCACCATCCCCATAAACACTGCAAATTTTTCTATCAGCTTCTACAGCACAAAATTTTCTATACAGATGTTTGTTTTTTATTCAAAACCGGTGCTATGTATAATCTTTAATCCCTTCTCAACGAATTTCTTTAATTATAAGAATTTCATACTGTCAAGATGTGTCTGGACATCTTTTGAAGTTCAACAAATAATCATTTTTAACCATGGCAAAGATTAAATTTCCAAAATTCATGTGGGTGGGGATAATTTTGGCAAAGTTAAAGTGTGCAGAAGTAATCAATTTTAATTCGAAGGTATAAGTTTGAAAATCAGTTAAATTTGAAAGATTTGACTGGCCGTTGGGAAGTGAGAAAGCTTTGTCATAATCCTGAAAATTGAAAAGACACCTTTAATGATTGTACCTCAGATAAAATTCAAGGTATGGAGAGAAATGGCCAAACAAGTTAATGAACAAAATATAAGGAGAATTCTTAAAGAAGCAGCATATAATGAAAGTTTCTAGACAAAACCCCTTTGTGAGTAAAGAAAAAGGATAAAAGGAAATTATTCTTCACAAAACAGTCCCAGAATTATTCCAACAATTTTAAAAGCGATTTAATTTTTGTTGATAAATTTAAATAAAGAAAAAAAAGTTTCAATATTAAAAAAATTTTTGAAACAGTGAAAAAGTTTGAAAACTTTTTTTACTGACTGTACTGGCGGTGGGGATGCCAATGGCCGCCAAATGCCAACTCCGGAAAGTCCGAACGGCCCAATGTTTTTGTAGGCCACCTTTATTATAGATTTTGTGATCAAATTATCTTACGATTCCAGTGGATGAATGCAAATTGGTGTTAATGAGTTTTTAGACAAATTTTGGGGATGCTCACGTTGAAAATGCCTCATTTCCAAAAATTTTTGTAAGTAAAAAAGTTTGTAGATTAAAATGAGATGAAGATATACATGAAGTGTCAAGCCGATGTTAATAATATGATAAAAATGCGTCTGTACCATGGGCTAGTGCATTTATGTTAATGTTTTAGATGAATCATGGTGCACCGAAATCTCTGTGTAATGACAAAATAAAATCAGACTGAGTTAAATGGCATTTTTCTTTATTTTCAATAATAATATATACAGTCTACCTATTATACATGAATGTCTGTTTTTTTCAAAAGTTAGTATTATAAGGATAAGAAAATAAATAAAAATGTAAATTTACTTTGAAAAAAAAAAAAAAATCAGAAACAGGAAATAAGGGATTTCGTCGCCTTGCACTTGTGAGTTCTCTAAGGTCACCTGTGGATGGATGATAACATCACTTATTCTTTGCTCTTGTAACGCTTTTAAATTAGATTAGTTACAAGAAAATAATAATTTCATTCTGAATTTAGCCAATTTATATTTAAATTTTCTCAAAGTTTTAACTTACAAAGCTTTCCTTGTAACTAACCACCTCACAGGTGCTCACGACTTACCGAAGTTTAATAATAATAAAACTTGTAGTATCTAAGTTAAATTAATAATAAAAATTTTTAGTCAATAAGTAAAACTATAAATATTAATTGATAATTAAAGAAGGGACAATCTTTTTTATTTTATTTATTTTTTCCTTTAATTACTTTTTTTTTCTTTGCCTTTGTTACTTTATAATAGCCGTAGAATATTATTTTGCACAGCCTGGGTCTGCTACCGTCTTACAATCTCATCCTGTTAATACCTCTGGCCCAGTTCCTACGGTGAGTAAAAGAGTGCGTTACTAATATTTACGTTTTTTTTTTTTTTTTTTATTCTGTTATACATATATATATTCTGGTATGCTTCATATCACTACTAAATGTCGTATAAAGCATGGTACTTAATCCAACACATAGATAAGCTATTTATTGTCTTATCCTATTGTAAATATTTTCAAAGTTATAGTTTTTTTAAATTAGTGAGTCTACAAACAGAATTTCATTACTTTTACCCAATTTTGAAATATTACTCATAAAATGAATAATTTGTATTAGGTTGTATTAGATAAGAATGTTAAAATTTTCAGAAAATTTAATTAAATGGATTTAATCTGATTTTATACATTATAAAATATATGTTATCTGTTAATAAATTAATTCTAAGAATTTAATAAAACCTTAATAACTTCTTAGAATTCATTTATTAGTAGATTACATATATTTTTTTTAAAAAAATTTCGGCTGTTATCTTGTCTTTCTCCTCAATCTTGTCTTTCTCCGATGAAGACGTGAAACTTAGGCGAAAACGTTGGCACAAAATAAAATATATTGTTTTTTTTTACGTTTATTTACATTTCTCACTCCCAACTAAGTTACCAGCCTTACTGTTTACAGTTATCTATTTCTTCACCATTTGAAATATTTATTTAATTGTTTCTACTTTTATACATGTAAATGTTATTAAATTTTAATAAAATTTAAATTAAAAATATTTACAGTTTTACATTTACGTTATATTTACATACCTCTTTTTAGCAAATTATAAACATCTGTCTAACACTTCATGAATTGCTTCATCTTATCATAATCTATAACTTTTTTATCTACGAAAATTCTCAGAAATGGTATGTTTTATGATTAAATTAATTTATTTATTGAGGTACTAAGAACTCATGAATACCCATTTGATTTCCACTGAAATTATAAAATAGTTTGATAATATAATAAAAAATCTGGTTCAGTGTGCGCATCACACAACTTTCACTTACCATCATCTTCTTAGCAGAAATAAGTATTTTCAGACAAAGAGGAAGTGAAAGTAAAAAATTATAAACGCTACATTGATTTATATTTCATTGTGGGTATTTTTATAAAAAGTACTCTTATATATACAAATTTTAATATTTATATATATATATATAATTTTAATATTGTCGGAGTCCATATTATATTAAGCTCATGTTACTATGGAAGTCTGTTCTAATCTTCGGACGAGCTCGAGTGCGCTTTCGTATCCCTTTGGTTCCTTCATTACAACTATTCTCTGTTATGATCTCTTATTTCTCCTTTAGTTAATTATCAAATTCTTTCATATTTTATATTTAACTATTTTTTTATATTAGAGGTCAATATAAAATGTTCAATAGTTTCAAATAAAAAAAAAATTAAAGGTACTTTAGAGGAAGCAAATATTGAAAATTAGCCATTTAAGGCCTGTTAGAGAACATCAATGAGAATAAAACGTACATGATATTAAAAACTGCTTAATTTCACACTTACATAATGAATTGAATCAAAATCGTTGGAGCCGTTTTTGAGAAAATAGTCAAAATGTGTTTCATCGATGATATAAAGTGCCAATTCCGGTTAGCCGATTTTTACAAGAAAATTGCTGTAAGATCTCAGGTATATACAAACCTTAAATATGCAATTTCACTTTCATACGACTTAGTTTTTGAGCTAGACCTGTCACATTTCATGATCGCAATACTGTCACTTACTATATAGTTCTTATATAGGTAAGTGACAGGAAAAAACAAAGGCAGCTTAAAAAATATTGTACTATTTGGTCTACATCACCTAATTATTTTGGCTTGTTGGGGGTGAAGGTCATGCTCTAACAGCAATATTTTTATCGGTCACCACTTATCTCGATTTTGTGGTCAAATTAACTTACAATTAAAGTAGAAAGCAAATGGGTCTTTGTAAGTTTTTAGTACCTCATTAAATAGACTAGGTTCATCGATCTTTAGATGTAAAACACCTTATTTCTGAGAATTCTTGTAAATAGAAATGTTTTATGAGAAGGAATTAGTCGAGGGTGCGGTAAAAAAAAAAAAAAATTAAAATATATAAATAATTTTAATTTTTGCCGACGTTTCGACCCACTTTGCAGGTCGTCTTCAGGGCTACAAAAGATACAAACATGTTGAAAATATAAAAATAAAATAAAAAATAAATATAAGTATATATAAATTACGAAGAAGTTGTCAGATACAGAAATAAAAGATAAAGAAAATAAATACATGATAAGAAAATAGATAAAAGAAAATAAATACATGAATGTTAACGAATAAATGAATGTTAACGAATAAATTGATTGAAAATTGAATAACTTTACTGTAACAATAGTTATTCAATTTTCAATCAATTTATTCGTTAACATTCATTTATTCGTTAACATTCATGTATTTATTTTCTTTTATCTATTTTCTTATCATGTATTTATTTTCTTTATCTTTTATTTCTGTATCTGACAACTTCTTCGTAATTTATATATACTTATATTTATTTTTTATTTTATTTTTATATTTTCAACATGTTTGTATCTTTTGTAGCCCTGAAGACGACCTGCAAAGTGGGTCGAAACGTCGGCAAAAATTAAAATTATTTATATATTTTAATTTTTTTTATTTTTTTGACCACACCCTCGACTAATTCCTTCTCATATCATATCAACGGTCAACCAACTCTACATCATTAGAAATGTTTTAGGTTACGATAAGATAAAAAGCCATTCCTGAAGATTTAGACGGATGTTAATAATTTGATAAAAAGGAGTCCCTACCACATACTGTAAATGTTACTCAATTTTTAAATGAATTGAAAAAAAAGTTAAAAATATTTATGTTCAGAATCAATTATAACAAAATGTCTTTTTCCTCTTCTCTCCTACAACTGACTATGCGATATCAAAATCTTATTTGCCAAAGAGTTATTATATATTTGTAAATTTTGTGTATTTATTCATACAAATTAGGGTTGTGTTATTTCACCGTATTTTATTTTTTACGCTGGCTACGTTTCAGCTCCGATGCTATTTTCAAGCCATCTGTAAACGCCCAATTCATAATTAATTTCGTACAAAACTCCATTTAACATGCTGTGATAGTGATGTTAGTCATCTTTTAAAAATCGGCATTGTATAAATTATAGTCTTGACCTGAGTCAATATGTTAATTTACAAACCAATTTAAATACAATAAAAGATAGAATTAGAATATTCTATAAATAAAACTGCATATATTAAAGAAAGATCAACCAGGCACCAGTTCCTAGTGAATTTTAATATTCTTACTTGATTTATTAATGTTCCTTATATATAGTCCGTTATTGGATTTTAATCTATGTAAGTGTGGTTGGGAGGTTACATAGATAGATAGATAGAAAGTAAACTTTATTCTGGGACGAGGTCCCTTACGAATAACAGTTATGAACAAGAAAATAAAAACTACATCTGGCCATAAATTACATTAATCAGTATTAAAGAAAATATACAGTATCTCAGTAAAAGTGTATTAAAACAAGTAAAAATAACACCATTTTGAAAAAAAAAAAAATTATTTAAATGAAAAAACAAAACAAAATAATGTAAGCATGGATTGATTTTGAAAATTAAAACTCAATCAATTTTAACAACCATTCGCAATATTTATTTCATTGCATAACGTCATTTTGGGATGTGAGAAGGAATTGGTAAAGATGATATTTGAATGAGGACAAGGAAGAGCCATGGAGGAAATCAGAAAGCAAGGAATTCCAGAAGGCAGTTGATCGGGCAATAAAGGAATATTCAAATGTCTTAGTTCTATGGGAAGGGATATAAAGGTCGGAAACACGGGATCTTGTTTTCTGGGAGTGGACCACGGGTTTGAACTGTAGGAGACTGTAGATGTAGGAAGGGTGTCTGGTGTTGATTGTTAGGAATAGGAAAGATCCGAGGAAATATTGTCTGCGGAAAGAAGGGAAGAGCCACTTTAACTCGTCGTAAAGGTGGGACACATGAGACCGCCTCGATATACCGAAGACAAATCTTAAGCAGGTATTCATGAGTCGCTTCAATCTATCCTCGAGTACCATCGGGATGCCTCCGTACACCACACAGCCGTAGTCAAAGTGGGGAAAAATAAGAGAGGATACAAGGAGCTTGCGAATGGATTGTGGGAGTTGGTGACGAGAGTGATGAAATAGCTTAAGGGTACCTATTGACTTACGGGAGATGAGGGCGATATGGGGTTTCCAGGAGAGGTTTTCGTCTATAGTGATTCCTAGGTTTTTAACAGAGGAGCTGAATGTGACAGGATGATCGTTGATGACTAAAGGAGGAAGGAAGGAGATGGATTTAAGAATAGAACTGGAACCTATAATAATGGCCTGAGTTTTCATCGCGTTTTATTGTGAAATTAATTGTGAATTGGGTCTTACAGATGGCTTGAAAATGGCATCGTAGCTGAAATATAGCCAGTGTAAAAAATAAAATAAAATATGGAGAAATAATACAGTCTTACTTTATATTTTTATTCATTTATTTTATACAATATATCTTAAATCGAGCATGTTTCTCTCTTCTTATTGGCATCATTAAATATTAACTAGCTTATATCCTCTGGTCTCTGGCCATAATTAGTCAAGTTGACTTGTCCTTACGTTGCTTTAAATTGAGTATTCTTTAACTCTTGATCTTTTAGGCCAAAGGTAAAATTCAAGACGTAAGGATAAGACGACTTAACTAGTTATGGGCAGAAATCAGAGATATTTTCCTCATCGTTAGAAGAAAAATTAACATTTTCATTGTTTTTTTTTATCGCTACTAATAACCTGTCGGTATTTGAATTGATTCAAACTAACATGCATATTTCTGTGATGTGAAGATGTATTATTGCTTTTTGATGTATATGGTTGTGACGCATTATTTGTAATGAATGTATACTCTATATGTTATGTATTGGTTGTAAATATTTATTGTGGCTGTATTTATATGTACTGCTTTGGGATGAAAAACCAAAACCATTACTTAACATTTAGATTATAATTACCTTGTGTAATTTATTTTTATTTAACTCACCGAATACTGTGGGTCTCATGGAACGCCAAATGAGATGGGGGCAGGAGAATCTTTTTGTGATTCGTTACTATTTTTATTCCAATTTCAACCTTGCATTGATAAATAGGAAGTTAAAACTTGGTACTTCCATATGAAATGAATTTCAGCTTGTAAGTTTAGTTGAAAATGTTGTATTCTTTTTGCTTTTTAAATTTTCAGCTCATTAATGAATTAATTTATTGTGTTTGATCAAGATATATTTTCAAACTTGTCATTGAAAATAATTTTTAATCTTTGTTATATTAAATTATTTTTTAGTATTTACGAATGATCAAAAGAAATTTTTTTACTTCCATAATGTTTTTTCAGTTTAGTCTAAATAAAACCTGTTAAACATGTTCTATTCTTTATATCCTGAGTTTTTTTTTTTAAAGGAAGGATGAAAAATGGTAAAAAAATTATTCATATTGAGTTTGGAGACATTTCTACGCAAACGTATGGGTCATCGGGGCAATGATTTGAAGGTCAGACAAGAAAAACTCTACTTCTTTTTATTATTTAACGTCTTAAAGCTAGGATAAAGATTAAAAAAATTAATAGAGTATTTTCAAGGAGCGAGGGTAGGAGGATGTATGAGGATTTGTCACTGACAAATGGCAACACTTCTTCCAGTTGATATATCTATTTAGCACAACCCACATAATAACTAGCCATTATTTTTTTACCACTGCTTTAATTTTTCATAAGAATGCAAAAAGTCATTACAATATATCAGATTCCAACACCGCTTCATTGATATTATCAAACTTTAAGAATCTGAATCTTTTTCGATCTCCTTCAGAATTTTTAAACATTTTATCCTGATTCAAAGTTTTTGATAATGTTCTATCATATTTTGATAGTGGTCATATTATGTAAATACTTCATATTTTTTGTCCAGATCAGTGGAAAATATGCTTCTATCATAATGTCTTTTTATTTAATAAAATATTCTAAAAAATTCACTTTATGAAGATCTCCGTCTTGATTTCCATTCTAAGAAAACAATACTACAATTCAACAATATTGATCACTATAGATAACTATCAATTCCAAAACCACATTCTCTATGATATTTCATAACTATTACCTTGAATAATTATAGCACACTTCTTTTGATTTTTCCTAGATCTAAAATTTTATAAAATATTTAGTCATAATAAATTTTGTTTTTAAACACAGGAAACAACAATTTGAACTGAATTTAAAATGAAAATCTTTTGCCGTGTTCAGAAAATCTCACCCTACAATATCTTCTCCAAATAACCATTGCTTTGTTAAAAATAGTGAAACTTTTTTTTTATTACCTATTCTTATGAATTTAAACCAAGGGCCCCTTTGATATGAATTATATCTTTCGTTTTTTTAAATGTGACTTTTTTTCGATATATATAGAAATTTTGTTCCATTCATAGAGATTTTATTCGATATATGAAAATTAATTTACAGAGGATAGATTGTATTTCTGTAATATATTGATGTTTCTTTTTTTGAATTTATAATGTATTCTGAAATTGTATTCAAATTTTCTGATATCAGAAAAGAAAAACTTTAAAACCATTTATCAATAATCAATATGAAAATGTTTGTTTGTCCCTGTTTGGGCGCCAAATTATAATGTTTTTCAGGCAATTTTGATCATAATAATTCATTTCTTCTTCATTTCTCTATTTCAATTTTATCAGAAAACCACTTAAATAAAATAATTTTACAGTTCTCCTAAGACATTTGTTGGCCAAACTATTCAATGTTAGCTGCTATCAATTACCAATCGAACTTAACACTGAGACAGTACTGATAAATATTCACAAAACAAACGCTTGACAGAGTTCTTCACCACAATCAATCTTCTAGGTGTGTGGAGGGTAAATTGTTCTGTTATTTCAACTGCAATTAATTTGTATAAATTGTGTTACAGAAGGCAGAATGGATGACTACAACTTGCAACCATGCTCTTTACGCTATCGTCGACGTGTTCACCCAGTACTTCCAGACTCTGGGACCCATCCTCCTTCAAGACCTTTACGGCCAGCTGCTGTGGTGTGTTCAACAGAGTAAGTGGTTCATCACTGCCGTAGCGATAGTACTTGACGTATTGTTATTCAAGTGTTTCTAAATGACTGATTTGGCACTACTGTACAAGTGTTTTTCCACTCTGATGGGTGAAAACAAAATTTCATGATCATGCTATGAATGGAGAATGGAGAATGGCTGGGTGTGTCCGGAAGTAGAAGGTGACATAACTAACCGTCTGGTAAGGCCGTCACATCAACTGAAAAGGATCTGTTGGAGGTCGTACCTTAACCATTTTGAGCGAATGAAAGTTGAAAGCAGCAATGTAATTATAGCTAATTGAGGTCCCGTACCTATTTTAACTGAAAAGGACTATTTGGAAGTTGGTGGAAGTCATAATCATGATCTAAATAGAGGGAGGTTATTCTTATCAAGATGTCAATACTTGACCAATCTCATAATTCCATTTATAGTGTGATCGTGAGATACTGTACCTAGCCATCAAAGAGGAATAATTCTTATTTTCTTATAAAATTTATTTAAATAAATATTTATTAGACTGTTTTATATATTTTTAAATGTTGCATACCATTTGACAGTCTCTTATTAAAAATTACTCATTTAATTTATTTATCCCCCATTATATATTAAAACTGTTCCCAATATTCCAACTCTGTTCCTACGTGATAATCCCATCAAATTCTATCCTTCCATCAAAAATCTTGGAATGATCTTTGATCTAACGCTTTCCTGGAAAAATCATATATCCAACATCTTCCGCCGTACCATTTCCACCTTAAAACATCTAAATTACTCCCGTCACCTATTTCCCCTTGAAACCCGTAGACTCCTAGTAACTTCCTTAATTTTTCTCCACTTTGACTATTGCTGTACGGTATATGGGGCGTCTCTGGGGATCTCGAGGCGAAATTAAAACGTTTGATAAATTGCTGTGTACGATTCATCTTCGGGATCCCAAGGGACGCCTCTGTTTCCCATTTTTATACAGAGTTGAAGTGGCTTTATCCTTTCTACCGTCGTAAGTATTTTCTGGCATCCTTCCTCTTTCAGGTCATCCAATCTCACTGTCCTTCATACATCTCCGAGCTCCTTCAATTCAGACCTTCTGTTCGTTCCCACAATACTCGTTCCCGGTCTTGTGATTTATACATAAGGGCCCACCGAACCGCTGCTTTCGACAGATCGTTCATTATCCGATCCTCATCCCTATGGAACTCCATCCCTCCCGACATCCGTCAATCCAAAACTCTTCCTACCTTTAAAACCCGCCTGTTCAATCATTTCTTATCTATCCAGTCCCAATGAAATTGTAAATATGTATATAAATTATCAGATCGTTCCTCATTATTCTTACTTTATGTTTATTTTCAATTTCTCATTTTTTTATTTTTTTATTATTAACTAATTTAAATTAGAAAGTAACTTATAATTTCTTTTATTTTATTTTTTTTTTTTAATTTGACTATTCACTTACACTATATTTTTGTTTATGTATCTCTTAGCCCACATTTTTGTCTTTCTGTATTATTCTAAAGGGAATCGTCCCAGAATAAATAAATCATTATTATTGTTATTATTATTATTATATAATTTCATACTAAAAAAATTTTAGATAACGAAACCAGACAATAAGCAGTGTTAAAATTATTGATTTTTTAAGTAGAAGGAGTAAATACCAAAGATATAGGATGGTGTTAATTTATATTACAATCATATAACAAAGTTATTCATATAAATAAATTGTTAATGTTGTATTTAATTGTGGAATGTGTTGCTTTACAACGAAAGTTCAATTTGTTAGGTGTAAATAAGAAATATTAAATTACAGACTGTCGAATGGTATACAAATTAAACATTTAAAAAATTGAAACTAGTTTTCATTGTTGATTCTCATTACAGAGAATGAACAGCTGGCTCGATCTGGAACGAACTGCCTTGAAAACCTAGTTATCTCTATCGGGCACCAATTTGACGACGAGACTTGGGAGAAGACGTGCCAATGCCTGCTCGGGATGTTCCACTCGACCGCTCCCGTAGACCTCCTCACCTGGAAACCGGACGATAAGAAGCATCAGGTTTGTCTCAAATTAATTTTATTTTCATTTTATTTCAATTTTGAGTTCTATGTTAACTTTGAAATTTTACTTTTCAGCCAGAGATGTTCTTGATACAAAATGCCGTTCAACTGGAACTAATTCAAACCGTGGATAGTATCATCTTCTACCCAGCTACTTCTAGGAAAGAGGACATCGAGAATCTCGCTTTAGCTCAGGTCAGCCAAATTAAAAACGATAGAATATTACTAACAAAATGTATTATAAATTATTAGAACATCTATAACTTTATGTAATATATTATGGGTCCAATAGTTTTAATTAATATTACCGTTTGCTCTTTTCGGATATTTTACAGTATTAATATTTACTTTTCAATAACTTCAATTATCATTACCATAATAAAAACACTGAGGTATGTGCTTTAGACCACACGATAGATGTGAAAACATTGACAAAGCGAGATTAATAATATGAAATATAAATTATAAATAATAGCTCATTATCAAGAGGATGAAATGATGAACAATTCCCTTTCTTACATTATGCAGGTTTGATTTTTAGTTTCTGAGATATTTTAATCCATATATTCCATAAAACTCGTTATCATTCGGTTTTCGACACTATTTTTTCCTTTTCGCATCGCTAACACAGCATCGCATTAAAATGCAATTTTGAATAATAGCCCATTACAGAGAGGATGAAATGATGAAAATTTCCCTCGCTTACTGTATGCAGGTCCGATTTTTAGTTCCTGAGATATTTTAATCCATATCTTCGATAAAACTCTTTATAATTTGGTTTTCGACACTATTTTTTCTCTTTTTGCCTCTCTAACTCGGCGTCATGTTAAGATACAATTTTGAATAAATGGTACAATAACAATTCCCTCGTTAACAATATACAGGTCCGATTTTTAGTTTTGGAGATATTTAAATCCATATGCAAAAATACTTCAATTAGTTGACTCCAGCAGACTGTACCCGAGCGTTACACAACAGAGATCTGACGGCACGATCTACTAATTCACTCTACACTAAAAGTGCGAAATACGCCTAAAGAAGTTTTCACTTCAAAAAGCAAAAATTATTTATAACAAACCATATTAAAGGATTGTTACTCTGAAGCTCTAAATTCTAAATTGTCTTTCAAAAAGATAATTTTCCAATATGTTTTAGTATTTGAGCTCATGTTAAATTCATTTGAATAGAACTTTTTAGTAATGCATCCATTTTCTCTTGTATCTGAAAAATTTCCTTAGACTTTCCTAGAATCTTTTTGAATGTCTCCATGTGTGGATTGTATCACAAAATTTCGTTAGAGTCCTTCACTACAGTATACTTTATGTAAAGGATACCTTCCGATATTAAAAAACAATTGTCATTTTTTTAATATTTTGTATAGCATGGGACAACTTGAATAATTAAAATTCTGTTCAAATAAGGAAAGGTTAAAGTTGCTTTAACATCCCAGGCAAGTACATATCTTAAATACATAAAATTTATATTTTTAGGTGTTATGGTTTATGAACTAACCTGTTCTTCACATACAGATAGACCATTTTGTGAGACTTTGTTATTTGGACTCAAAAGATCTCAAAATGCGTATTTTGAATATAAGTTGAAAACTCGGATTATAAATTTTTCATGACCGTTATACTTTACTATAATTTATGTGAATGTGTATTTCTAGATTAAAAATGAGAGGAATATATTCAACAAATGAATTTTTTACTATCATTAACTGAAATATTATATGTACTAGTTTTGATTTAAATATTTTTTGAACAGGGTGAGATGTGCGAAAGGTTGGCTGAAACTCAGCGTGAAGAGCAGGGGATGTACTCGTACCTGAGCAGCAGGCACCTGATTACGTTGGTCGATTGCTTGCTGGAGGCTCACGTCCTTGCCAAGAAATTCAACTCTGATCATAATCAGAGGAACCTTTTGTGGAAATCAGGTGAATATCTCCATTATCATATTCAGCAGTATAATAAGTGGAATAAGATATATATTGGGTTGGAAAATAAGTCCTTTCGGTTTTTCAGGATGAAATAAAACTCAATATACTATAGACATAAAATTTATTTTAATCTATAATATATTGGCCATTATTTAATATGACTTTTTCTCATCTTTCCACTAACTGCATAATGCTATATTCATAGAATGTCTGGAGTTTATTGTTAAAAAACTGATCCAAGTGGTTTTTGATGTTCCCTTCCTTTGGAATTTCTTTCCATTCATGGAGTTTTGCAGAGTGCGGAATAAGTGGTAGTCACTTATTCCGTAAAAATAAAAAAAATTTTATTTGTTTTTCGAATTCTACTCATCCTGAAATGTGAAACCTCAAATTTTGAGAAGGGGTTAAGTTTTTGAATTTTTTGGTCGATCACAATGGTGGATTATTAAAAATAATAAACCAAAAATTGTAGAATAAAATTCTTTTATAACAATCCATAATCTATCAATTTTCTGGATATAATCATCTGTTTTTCTCTTTATTTAAAATTTTAATTAATTTTTTTTTTATTTTGTCACTTTTAGGGGCTTACAGCAAGAAACCTGAACTCATAGGCCAGGAAACAGCCAGCTTGGCCTGCGCCTTGCGTATCTTGCTCAAGATGTCCTGTGATGAGAACAGAGCATCTGATTGGCCATCTGTGCAACACATGTTATTACAGGTTTGTATTCAATCAAGTAAACATTACAATAAAATAGTGATAAGAGTCGGCATATTTGATTTCTGATCTTTGTTGTGTTATAAATAAACTGTTATCAATTTTTTAATAATAAAAAAAAGGAAAATCTATACAGATTTTATTTGAAGATTATATTGCTCAGTTTAAAAAGGATTTCTGGAAACATTGATAAAAGTAGCAAGGATTAAGTTTAAACTGAGAAAGAAAGATAAAGGCATCCTAAAGGATCTGTATGCAGTGTGTTATACAAACTAATTATCTTAGTTTAGTCTCGAGATGAAATGTATACAGTTGTTAGGGTTGACTTTGAGACAAAATAAAATAACTTTTTGTTCCAGGTGTCCTCGGAAGCACTGTCGTATTTCTTGGCCATTTCATCCGAGATACACCGCTCCGTCTGGACATCGCTTTTGTTGCTGTTCTTCACACGTCTTCTAAAGATGCCTGATGATAAGGTACATCATAAACTTGATATAGTTGTTTTCAATAAATTATTTGTAGTTCAGAATTGAAAAGATGAATGAAGATCTTCTCGTCTTCTCCTTGTAGCATTAATAACCCAAGATTTCTAGTCAATTACTTGATTTTTCAGTGGATTCCATAAATCTTTACATTAAAAAAAGAATTGTAGAGTAAAATACTTTTATAACAATCCATGATCTAACAATTTTCTGGATATTTATATTTATGAACATAAAATTGGACATAAAAAATTAAATTTGCAATCTGCAAATTTCTTTGCAATGAGCAAATTTTTTGGCAGCTTCACAGCGTTCCATTACAATCCAGTAAATAGTTCAGTTCAGCAGGTGTCTTGGCCACCGCCTACGTAATCGTCGAGGTGGGCTGTACGGGTTTCTAGTGCTTTTAAGGTTTTCTGTCAAGGGATTTGTGTTGTAAGTTAGTCTTTGGTGAAAGTTGTTGTAGTTTTTTTTTTTTTTTTTTTGCAGTGTCTGAAATTGTTGGGATGTTCAAGTCTTTATGTAATCTATCATTTGCGACATAAAATGGTGTGTCAACTATTCTTCGTAAAATTTTGGATTGGAAAGACTGGATTTTTTTAATATTAGAAGTTTTAGCGGAACCCCACAGTTCTATGCCACAAGTCCAAATTGGTTTTAGTTAAACTTTATAGAGTTAATTTGTTAGTCAATGATAATTTTGAGTGTCTGTCAAGTAACCTAGATAAAAGACCGTATCGTCTGTTTAATTCCATACGTTTTTGTCTAATGTGTGTTCTCCGAGTTAGTCTTTTGTCGAGGTAAAAACCCAAATATTTAATTTCCTCGGATGCAGGAATTTCAATGTCATTAAAATATATTTCAGGGGAAGGGGTATGATTAAGAGTGAATACTACGTACACACTTTTTTTTTTCGTTCATTTTAATTTTCCACCTTGTGGCCCTATCAGCAATATCATTCAAGTAGTTTTGAAGAGTGGTGGATGCTCGAATAGGATTTTTATCTGAACTGAGGATTGCGCTATCGTCAGCAAAAGTAGCCAGTAGGGTGTCACTGTGTTGCGGTAGGTCAGACATATATATATTGAACAAATTTCTGGATATAACAATGTAAATCTGTATCTAGTTTGGTTTGTTACTTAAAAACAAAGAAATAAATCTTGATATAAAAATGTTCTATATAAAACAATCTGGAACTTAAGAAAAAGTTGTTTTAAGGATTGTTTAATTTCTGTTATAGGGATATATTTATTTATGCAAATAATTGGTTTCAATAGTTTTGAATGGATGAAAAATACCAACATTATAGAAAATTAATTTTAACGCAATTCTTGTTTACTCTTTCCGAGTGCTATGTGTAATTTTGTTTCCAAACTGCCGCTTCCCTCTTGTGAATTTTCTTTGAGCTCCCCTCCCTTCTAATGCGTAATATTCTTAATTAACTGTTAACACATTCAGTTAACAAGTGTCTAACAAGAAATATTGTGAAGTGATCATCTGTATTTGTATAGGTTTTTAATAATAAAAGGCCTTTGGTAAGGATTGTATTTTAAATAATAATTTGAATTGTATATTATTAATACTTACTACGTAGCTCTAAAATCCGAGGTGGACCTTGGCTTCCCAGACAACATTGGAGACATTTCAACCCAAACATGTGGGTCATTATCAGGGTGTGTTTCGAGGAGTGAAGGAATTCACGTACTGAATACCTTCATTGAGTACTTGAATACCTTCAGTGCTCGAAACACGCCCTGATGATATGACACACATGTTTGGGTTGAAACCTCGGCAGCAATAAAAACTTTATAGTGGCTGCGTCTTTGGGTTGAAACCTCGCCACCAATAAAAACTTTATAGTGACTGCATCTTGAGTATTTATCACTCATAAAATATATATGGTATTAAGAGAAGACTATTATTATTAGGCTTTTAAAATACTTGTAAACTGTTATTGATTATTATAAGAGCTTATATACTCTATTACTTTTAATATTTATAAAACCTAATGATCTTTTTGTTTAATTATTTAGTTGGCTGTCCACGTGAATGCCCACTATCCTCTCCTCTGTAGCCTGATAGCTGTGGATATGAAATCGGAGCTGCGGTCCGTTCTCACCAAGCTGTTCCTGCGAATAGGGCCGATATTCTCGATCGGCGGCTCTGCCGTAGTCCAGCAGCAGATATAGTACCCGAACCGTCAGCCACCGCTATCGCTATCTAGTCGTACGGGCTGTCCTGTGAGAGGACTTGATTGTACTTACCAGCATTGATATAATTATACCATCGTCGATAAATAATAAAGGAAAAAATAAAACTATAAGCAGAATTGGCTGCTGCAGAATATTATGGTGCTACTGATGTAGACACCCTCTGGTTTTCAAATTTAGCAACTCTCTTGTCAATGGTGGCTTGATAGAGCTGGCAGGAGATGAGTGGAAGTTTTCTCTCACACAGGGTTTAGGTTATATTCATGCTACTTTATTTTAGCCCATAGAATAGTTGTTTGTGACTGAGTATTATTTTATTTTTATTTATTTCGTTTTGTTATATGGCATTGTAATTAGTTGTTATATGTTTGTAAAATTGATTGTATATTTATCACAGTGTTGTAAAATTTATTGTTTGTGTATGCATTTTTTTTTTTCACTTGTTATACAAATAATTAATTACTGGCCATAGTTTAGGTAGTTTTCATTCTTTCTGTTTTATATGATATTCCTGCCCAACCCCGCACTTTGCTGTAGATCACATAATAATTATTGTCACATAGGTATTTGGATTCATTTAAAAAAAATATTTGGCATTGGTGTTAGGTCACTAAATAAATCGCTACAATCGAGTTTATTTTTTAATCTGCAAAGGAATTGTTCGAGTTCCTTATTTATAAGGATTATACACGGATTCAACAAAAATCAATAGACGAATGCCAACACTTTTGTGTCATTAAACAAACTGATTGGCTTTAGTTGTTGGCAGTTCTGGCGGCAACATCATAAGTTTGGCATTGTAGAACGAATCCGTTGGCCCAATCAACAACTAGTGTATTATCTCGGTTGTCGTCCATTAGTATTTATTCACCCAGTGTGTAAGCACTTAAAAACGAAAGTTTTGGTAACATGGTATTCGGTATACGTAAAGGAACCGAATGAACCAATAACCCACTTTTAACTGTACGTACATGAAATTTACTCACTGCACCTTTATACCATTTTCTAAATTGTGACAATTTTTATTTATTTATTTTCATAGCGATTGTTATTTTCAGGATAGTCTATTGGATTACCTCTAATTACTTCATCCACTTAGTAAAATTATTCATTTATATTATATATAAAAGATGAATAATTTCAAAAATAAAAATTAATTACCAATTAGAAATGACATTCCATTACCTGTTACCTTTTAATGAATTCAATATATCGAAGAAGACGGAAGAATTGATTTCTATGTGATAGATAATTTCTGTGATGTCGCTTTAAGTATTTTATGCGTTTGTTTCTTTTTAAGTATTGCAGTTGATGAATTTGCAGAAGCACATCATGGCTTGGAAATTAATTTAAGAAACATAAACTTATTATAATTTATAAAAAATATAATAAATTTAAGAAACATAAATTTATTATAATTTATAAAAAATATAATTAATTAAAACAGTAGTAGAGTATTATTATGTACTGTTATTTAGATTCTTTACACCGCCTGCTGTTTTAGAACTAGTAATAAATTTCTTCTTTTTATAGACTAAGTATATGTCAGAATAATTCTTATTAGTGCTGATTGGGTTTTAACAATTTTTTTTTTTTTTACTTTTATTATTAGTTAAAAATAAAGAGAGAGTTTTATTTTAAAATTATATTTCTCCAATGTGATTTTCTTTTAGGTTGTTGTTTTTTTTCACTCCAGAAGTTATTTATTTGTAATATAAATTTTAAGTTCTGTTTTATCAGATTCGTGAAAACAAATAAATTACAGTTTTTTTTAGGATATAATACTTTTCAGTTTAATTTTTGTCAATTATTAAAAGATATAAACACATACAAAAAACATATAATCCAATATTTTCAATAATTGTTCACTTCTCTGCTTTTTTTCTATTTATTATTTTTTTTATATGCATAGACTTAGCTTAGTATCCTCATTCATTATTATAGTTGATCGATTTTGGTTAATTTTTGTTTAATTTCAGAGTTCATTTTAAAAGAAGTGGTATTTTTTGACATAACTTTAGTTCATACTATCTAATTTTTTACATACTTTTCATATACAACCTTTTTATCCTAAAAAAACTGGTCTGATTTTCTTTCTCGTTATGGAATTTTGTAAATAAACACCCATGGCCTGAGTTGTAAGTTAGTTGGTTTAAGTGCAATGAGGACGTTACGCAGTTTATGTCTGAGGCCCAATCTAGGCTTGTGATATTTTGTTGCTCTGTACGTCTAAGACTGAGTTTTGCAAGTATGGTATTTGTCCGCGAGGTGTCGAGTTCCTCATAGCCAATTGAAAGAAAAAAAAATCATTTCAGAAATGGAAACGTTATTGTTTTTATTTGTTTTATTTAATATTACATAAATATTCACAGATGTGCGTATATATATACACCTATGTTTTTTAAATTTTAGGCATCTGGTTTTACACTTTTTTCTGTTATAAATATTCAAATTTAGAACTAGCTAATACATAGACTGTCACTCGTATTATTATCATTAGGACTATACCAGTAATTTTATTTAAATAAATATATTGTAAATTAAAATATTAAATTTTTATATAAATATGAATTATTTAAAATATATATATTTATTACAATGTATGATATGTTATGTATAGACTAAATAAATTTAAAGTTTTTTCTAAAATTATTGTCCCTTGCATGAATTTTTTATTAAATTAACCTTAACACTAGATTTATATTAAAACTAGACAAAATTTATTTTTATTTATAAAGCTTTTTGAAAGCTTTTCATTTTAGTAAATATCATGGAAAAGTGAAGAATTTTGGGGTTACACCAGTTTTCTTCTATAATAGCAATATTGAAACATATATTAAGTTGTTATGCATACACATATGTTCACTCACAAAGATTCTAAGCTAGCAGTGTATTTAATTTAAAACTGAAAAGTTTTTTGGAGCCTTGAAAAAGAAAAAAAAACTAGGATATTAAATTAATTAATTAAATTAAATTGACTTTTTCAAGGCTACATTAGACAGCATCTTTACCAACTCCGGTTCTGCCTCCTGGATTAGAAGGGCTGCCTAGGGATGGGCGATAGTCGATATATATTGATAGTTTAGTTTAAATCGATAATACTTACTATACTGAAGGCATATAAATTTTAATAATATGTCTTCATTCTTCTACCCATTTACTGATGAACATGGCAAAAACGTTTTTTTTTTTCATTACAGATTTTTTTTCTAGATCTTTTGCCACCTTAACAAGCCTGTTCCATCTATGCCTGTCTTGGGCTATTTCTTTCCATTTATCTGCACCCAGCTCTTTGCATCTTAGTTGATTATATCTATCCATTTGCTTTTTGTCCTTTCAAGTGGTCTTTTTCCTTCTATTGAGGCCTTCATTGTTAGAGGCTTCCAGATGGATTACTGCTAGCTACATGCCCCACCCATCTTAAGCTCCGTGCCTTCATATCGTAAGATATTGATTGACCATTTTCTGTAAGTATTGATCTTACTTCTCCATGTGTTAGTACTGTGATTCCAAATCGCTCCGGTTATTGTACTTTTATCTATATTAGTTTCCAGGTCTCACAGCCATATATTAGAACTGTCTTTATCATAGCATTGTGCCCCCTTAATTTGATATTTTGTGGGATTTCAATACCTTTGAAAGGGAGAAGAAAGCTTATAGAAACAATATAAGAATGCAGAGGTGCCCAGAAGGGGGTTTAATAGGGCAGGTTGCCCCATAAAAATTTTCGAGGGGGCATATTTTGATTGGTTTTTGAATTTTTGAGGTGGACATATTTCGAGAGGGTTATGAATTTTCAAACTAAGGAAAAAGGGGTCATCATGGAACATACCGCAGGAAGTTTAATTGTATATGATCTACAATTTTTATAATTCTATCTTAGGTGCTCTGTTTTTAAGAAAAGGTGAACAATAAAATATCTTGGAAGGATGGGGTGGGGGGGGCTAGATTCTTGTGCCATGGACCTTGGGATGATGGGCCACACCTGTAAGAATGAAATGTTTGATAGCAGGGATGCTCATCCTCCCCCTCCCCCTTTATGGTAAATTGTAACCCTGTTTTATGGAAAAAAATATTAATCTCTTATAGTATTATTGTTCGTGTAATTACATTTAATAGGATTTCAGGTATCACTTAAACACCATTGCATATAAACACTTAGTTTCTTTTCTTTTTTTCGAAAGTAACTATCATATATATGAAAAAAAAAACACTCTGACTGAAGCCCCCAAAATTAAATCCTGGATCCGCTAGTGCCCCTCAAGGTCCATAGCCCATGAACCTCCCTAGATATTTTATTGCTCCCATCTTCTTAAAAACAGTGTAATCTAAAGTAAAGTTTTAGAAATCGTTGGTCAATTACAATTACATTTTCAGTAGTCTATTCTATGTTTCCCTCTTGTCTCCTGGTTTGAAACTTTTCATTTAAAAAAAACAATGTTGAAATTGTCCTCTTCAAAAATTAAAAACCCTGTCAAAATGTGCCCCCTAAAAAATTTTGTTGGAACAACTTGTGCCTTAAAACCCTCTTCTGGGCTCCGCTGTTTGATCTTGAAAAACTGTTCCAAACCGACACGTTAAGAAAGTAAATGGGCAGAAGTATGAAGGCATGTTATTATTAACAACTATTCATATCAATATATAAACTTGAACAACAAGAAACCCTCAAGTTAAAAAAATAAAATAAAATCTCATATTACTATCTTGAAAAAAAAATTACCCCTCCAGTCATTTTGATTGAAAACAAATTTACATTTACCTCTCCTTTTTATTATATTTTAAACTATTATTATCCAATTATGTTTAGAAAATTATAATCTTGGAAATTAAAGGACATTTCTATCCTACTTTTTTTTTATCAAAAAGTTCAAACAAGACTATATATGATAGGTGTTTTTTTATGGAAGTATGACTTTCTTAGAAATGAAAGTAATTTATTTTTCTAAATAAATATATTCTTGTTATTAATTTCTTTTATT